ACCGAAAAGTTTCGAATACCGAATTAACATTTTGGAATACTAATCGAGCAAGCCTGAGGCGAATACGAAAATTTTTTGAGCAGAGGTATCCAATGATCTTTGCGGACGAGCGAGCACGCGAAATGGAGAGAGGTCACAGAGAAAAACACTTTTTTGCCATATTTTTATAAGTTTTGTGTGGAAAAAATTGATTTTTTGGGGAAATAGTACTCTGTACGGTATAAATATATGTCATAAACTCTTCATGTCAATGTTTCCAAAAAGCTGCTACGTTTTTGCCATTTTTTGATTAAAAAATTTCAAGCGGCAAAACCCCTGTTTTGTCTGGCCGGCACTCCTCATTTTGTGTGCTCTCTCATAAAGAAAACCCTTAAAATTTTGGCAGCCACTAACAGTAGCAAGCTAACACTTTCATGGGATGGTTTACATCTATTTTAGACCGAGTACGCAAAATTTTGAGTAGCTTCGAATGCAACGATTTTTTATAAATAAATTTTTATAAAAAACAGCCTCAATTTCAGCGAAAACTCAGTTGAAATCTCAACGTCATCTGTAGGCTCCAACTTTATCGTTTCCTTCACCTCTTCAACTTCAATTCTCCCCTAAATTACCGGTTGTCCTCCGCGATGATGACATAACTTTTTCCCCATTTCCTGTCCTTTTGCCTTCGTCTTTCCGCAACGCAACAAAAAGTTGTTTACCGTCCTTTTCCTCCAAGACGTCGACGCATTGCACTCATTACATTTTCATGCAATTACAACGCTAATTACAACGGGAATAAAGCCAGACGTAAGTGGACCCGAGCGTTTTTATGCCAATTTCCATTTCGTCGTATGTTCGAGAATTCATCGTCTTTTTACACTCTTTATCACCTACTGTGGATGTAAAGCGCGTCACTGGCTTTGTTTTTGGGATTTTGGATTCTAAAAAGAGATGTCAACGTCTTGGGAAAAGGCTATTTTCAGGTCTTGAAACATCTCTTGGATAAGCTCCAAAAAGGAGGGATTTGAAAGTAAAAACACAAATTTTACGTGTAAAAATTGTAACTAAGAATGCTGTGAAACCTTACTTTGAAACTTGGCATTCTTATTTTGGATTCTAGCGTCTCAATTTTCAAATTTTGAATTTCCCGCCAAAAATTTTTCTCCTTGGCATTCTGTTCTATGCCTATATATGAGTTGTAAGACAGCTGTAAATCTTCTTCCACGCTTCCTTTTTTGGTTATAGCGTCTCAAATTTTTTAATTTTAAATTTCCCGCCAAAAATTTTCCTTTTTGGCATTCTGTTCTATGCATGTAGATGGCTTCGAAAACAGCTGTAAATCATCCCCTGAAAGTTTCAGCTCACAATTTTCAGCTTCAACTGAGATATTCAACAGTCTTTGCTGACGAGAGAGTGTGCAGAACTCGGAGAGCGGTCAGAGAAATTTCATAAAGCCATAAATTCAAGTTTCCCGCCCTTTTTTCGATATTTATAAATTTGATTTTTGAGTCTCAAAAGGTCAAACACGTAATTTTTGCTCCCCCTCGTCTATACACTGCTCAAAAATGACCTTAAAATAGCCCCATCCAAACATGATGCACGAAATTTTTGTCACACTCCACCTAGTCGTCTTCTTTTTACGTCAACCGTTCATTTTGATCTTCTCATTGGAACATTTCCACCTTCAATTTTCGCAACTTTTTAATCAAATTCTCAAGGCCTTTTTAACGGCTCAACTACAAATTTAGATTCAGTTCACGGGTTGGGAAGTTTTTTCTGCAGACTGTAACTGTATCCCTTGACATTTTCAGCCCTTTTTTCGAGCTGAAATGGGCGGAGTTTTTGAATTTTTACCTTGTTGTAAAATCCGTAAAAGTTTTTTCCATTTTTCGTTGTAAAACTGTAAAGAGGGATGAAAGTGATTATGGTATTTGAAGTGGGAGATAAGTACGAGATAGACGAAGATCGGTGATACCACTTTCACAAAGTCTACGTACTGTGTGGTCGGACTTTGAGGGATTTCCTGGGATAAATATGGGATGTTTGGGATAAATTTTATTTTTGATGATATTGTATATGAAAAAACCATGTTAAAATTGAAAGAAATGTTTCTAAGGATCATGAAAAGTCGTAGAGAAATGATTTTTAGAGTTTCCCGGTACTTTTCCAAATTCAATTGTTTTCGTGGTGGGACCCAAAAATATTTTCTGAAGCATTATTTCGCAATTTTTTAGGGTTATTTTTTGTTTTTTGTTGAGAAGATACTTAAAATTTAATTTTTGGAAGCCATTTTTTATTGTGCAGGTTTTCGTGGCGAGACCCGAAATTTTTGTAAAAATTTTAGACAAAGTTTTCTAAAATTTCTGTTTGACATTTTCGCCAGTAATTCCCAGAAACTTTCCTATTCGTATTTTGCAGCCTTATTTTTCATTTCGTTCATGTTTTATTCCACCGCCTTATGACTTTCATTATGACCCATTGTCACGCAAATATCTAATGAAACTTACCGAAATTTGGCCGCCATTTCCTCCACATACGTTTGTTTTTTGTCTGCGTCCCTCAGCACGTAGGGAGAATACTTGCAATTTGCATATTGGAACAACCTTTGACCCGGGCCTGTTTTTTTGTTTTTGTATGGAAGAATGTCGTGTTTGGAAGAGCGTTATAATTAAAAAAAGTGTTAAGAAACAAATGAAATAGTGGTGTTTATGGAACGTATGTGTTTTCTGGAGGGTGGGAGAGGGAGTTGGGTGAAGGGGGACCAAATTGAAATTTCTGAAACTTCAAAAAATCGGGTTATTGAATATCCAAAAAAATTCAAAAATTCAAAATTTTTTTCTCATATTTTTTATTGAAACTAGTCAAAAGTCAAGCTGTAAGTTTGTAAAGTTATATGCAAAAGTTTTTTCTCAAAATTTGCCAACATTATCGAGATTTTCAGGTAGAAAAAATCAAAAAATTTCATTTTTTCTTTCAATTTTTTTTTTGATAAAAAACCCCATTTTTTCAAACTGCATTATCTAAAGTTTCTACGTAAAATCAATTTTCCCTATGCACAGCATTCCGAATTATTTTTGCCGCCGACCGGCGTCCAAAAAAATGAAAAAATGAGATACGCCTCTTACATTTTTGCCAATATCTCGCTAGCCTCGAAGTGTAGCGTGAATCTGAAAATTGTGTTTCAAAGCTGACACATTTGTCCTTCAGAATATGTTAATTTTGTAATGATACTTGTTATGTACGGCAAGGAAACCGTTGCTGAAAAATGGCAAATTTCAACATTCAATGCCAGAAAAATATACTTTCTAAGTGCCAGATCGCAAAATTATGGGCCTCATTGTGTACAGCATCTTGAACACTATAAGATATAACAATTTCAGGCATTTTCTGGCCCGATTCGCAGAGTTATACCCGAAAAACTGCAATTTTGGCCTTCTTATTGAGCTGTCTGCACTTTATAAGTACATACAAAAAATCCCTCTTAAATTATTGTTGCCCAGGTTGTGATGGACCATTGCGCAAAATCTCAGCTTTCCAGGACTCCTCCGGAAAAAGTTATAACCGTTACAATGTGTGGCCCTTGTATGCCCAATATTTTGTAAAATACAGTACACCATGGTAAAAAATAGCTCTATATGGCCTACGTAAACTTACTCGAAACCTGAACACTGTTTCTCAGATTTTTCCGCACGAGGGACACGATTTCAAGTTTTCGCTATACTGAAGGGAAAACAGTGAAAAGTTGGGGACATAGCTGGGAAACTTTTATATGTAGTTGACCGTGTAATTACGATAAAATTTTTTTACCCCAACCAACGCGACAGCAACAATAGAAATTCCATCATATAACACCATATTGCACCATAGTTCACCGTATTTTACTAAATATTGGACATACGAGGGTCTCATATTGTAACCGTTATAACTTTTTCCGTAGAGGTCGTGGAAGGTTGAGATTTTGCGCGATGGTCCATCACAACCTGGGCAACAATAATTTAAGAGGGATTTTTTGTATGTACTTTTAAAGTGCAGATAGCTCGATAAGAAGGCCAAAATTGCAGTTTTTCGGGTATAACTCTGCGAATCGGGCCAGAAAATGCCTGAAATTGTTATATCTTATAGTGTTCAAGATGCTGTACACAATGAGGCCTATAATTTTGCGATCTGGCACTTAGAAAGTATATTTTTCTGGCATTGAATGTTGAAATTTGCCATTTTTCAGCAACGGTTTCCTTGCCGTACATAACAAGTATCATTACAAAATTAATATATTCTGAAGGACAAATGTGTCAGCTTTGAAACACATTTTTCAGATTCACGCTACACTTCGAGGCTAGCGAGATATTGGCAAAAATGTAAGAGGCGTATCTCATTTTTTCATTTTTTCGGACGCCGGTCGGCGGCAAAAATAATTCGGAATGCTGTGCTATGTGAAATTTGCAAAGAGATAAACGAAAAATGATTTTTCTAACCGCCTCTCTTCATTTTCCATGATCTCTCGTCTGCAAAGATCGTTTAATATCTCGGCTGAGGCTGCAAAGCACGGGCTAAAATTTTCAGGACTTGATTTGAGGCCATTAGAGATTGTGATAGCCAAATTTGACAAAAATCGGGGATTTGTGCCTTGGGCAATTTGATATTGAAAAAAATTTTTCATTGCTGAAAAGGTTTTTTTAAACTTTTTTTTTCATTTTGAATATCTCAATTTTTCGATCTTTACTGCCCTTCTGCATATTGTACCTGTTTACCTGATGCTTTTTGTTTAGTCTCGCAAAGTGGATTATGAGCTCTGTTTTGTGGCCCCATGTTACTCATTTAATTGACGTCAAAGTCGGTGTTTATAGGAGGGCCGCGGGATTATGGCGTGCCGTTTAACGTGTGCCTGTAATTTTGGGATCCTCCATTCAAATCTTCATCGTTTTCAGAAGTGATTCTGCTTCTCGATTTGGAACACTGGCTAGATTTTCGCTTTTTTCCTCGTCGACCCACTCACTGCAAAGCTTTCACAACACACGCCTATGGAGTTTAAATTGTAAGTTGTTGGATTGTAAGCATTTTTTGAGAAAAAGAAATTTTGTAAAAATAAAAAATTTTTTTTTCAAAAAAATTATTTTTCACCCGTCAAAAGCACATAAAAATCATCAAAAAATTTTCAGAACGTTTTCCCTTACAACACTCGCACTTCTCCTCACAGTCTTCCTTTCACAGTCGAGCACGGCCTCAGCCAGCTTCCGACTTTGCGGCTTCAAACTCACAACGACGCTACAGCATTTGTGCAAACATAAGACCTGTGGTGGGTATCAGCTACACACGAGAAAACGTATGTTTTTTTATATATACTTTGAAATTTTTTAAAATTCGAAATGATCAACAGGGGGGACCAAGGCAAAAATTTTTGAAAAAATAAAAAAATTTGCTGACATTTTTTTTGTCGATTTTTATAAAAATAACGTCATTCTAAACGATTTTTTATAATCTTACCGTAATTTCCCTTCAAATTTCCCAGTTTCAAGCCGAAAAAAAGAACAGTTGCCACCTATCGGAATCGAACCGACGACCTTTGGTTTACAAGACCAACGCTCTGCCCCTAAGCTAAGGTGGCGATGCGTGCGGAGCGGGCAGGAGTGCGTCCGAGTCCAGTGGGAAAGAAGAGGGGAGAACGGAGCTCCGATTTTTGTGGAATTGAAGGGAGATTTGGAAAAAAACTGCTGTTTTTTGAGATTTTTGGGGAGAAAATACGAATTTTGGCTTTTACACGAGAGTACAAGCCGCTTGGAAAATAAAAAAATTTTAATTCAAAAATTTTTTATTTTGAAAAATGAAAAAATCGGTCGTTTTTGAAGCAAAAAATTATCAAAAAAGTTGATAAAAGTCCAAAAAAATCAAGATGACTATTTATAAAGCCTTATTCAGCCATAAATTATCCTCTTTTCAGGGTCGATTGCGTCGTTTTTGGACGAAATTTCGGCCGAAGCGGCGGCCTTGGTGGACGAGCGACCCGCCGAGGAAGTGGACGAGCATCCGCTGCGGCCGCTGCTGGCCGACCTGCGGATACGGAAGAGGTCGGGGATTGCGACCGAGTGCTGCGAGAAGCGCTGCAACCTGGCCTACCTTCGGACCTATTGTTGTGCCGGCTTCGAGGCCTGACTCCAATCGTTTATTTAATTTATTTTTGCCATTTGCAAGTGCATAAGGATCTCATTCTTTCGGTTGATTAATAAACCTGTAATTGTTTGTGGTGTTGGGATGAGTTGCGGAGGTGGGAAGGGCGGCTATGGAGGTGTTTAAAATACGCCACAAACAGTGTATATAGCGAGACAGGAAGTCAGAGAGGGCGGCATGGTGAGCTACAGTTTGCACCGCGTCGCGACTTTTCGGGTCGACGACAGTTCGGGCCAATACAAAATCGGTCGAGATGGCAGGTAGGTGCCAAAAAAAGGGTTGGAGGAAGTTAATACGCGGCCTGGCAAAGTCGTTGGATAGTCAGCGGACGCTCTGCCAAGGCTCGGCGGAGAGTCGGCGAAGAATATTCCCACTCTTTCTAACTACAACTTGGGCCTGTCATATTTGGTGGACAGAAAACGGGGACCCTCAGCTTCAATCTGATATAAATTTTATAGAAATTGGTGGATTATTGGCGGAGAAATACTTGAAGTAAGGATGGAAGCTTCGGCTGAACTACCATGTATAATATATTACTAACGTTAGTTTTCCTTACCCTGGGTTATTGTAACATATAAAACATCAAAATTTGCGCCAAAAAAGGGAAGATCCGAAACTTTTATTTTTGTAAATACATGTGAAATACCTCAAACTAGATGGTAAGCTATCCTAGGACAATCTTATTATTTCTACTAACTAAGCCTTCTCCTAGCCTTCCCCACACATACAACGACGAACCGACGCGTTCCATTGTATCGTTGACCCGAGTTATCGCTGGCCCGAAAAGTCGATGTCGTACATCAATCTAAAGTCAACTTGTTGAAATTTACCAATTTTAAAAGCTCACGTTGCGCGGAATTTTATTTTTCTATTCACTCCGTTTTGTGTAAAAACTTCTTCCAAGGCGTCTTTACACAATTATTGCCATGACTTATGGCCATTATGGTTTTATCTCGTATTTCACACAAGTAAACTTCAGTCCGTACGAATTTATGTTATATAATAACACCATAGCACCTAATGTGAAGTCTACATGCACAGACAAACAGAATGTGAGCTTCACAATACGAGTTTCGGCTGCTATCGTCAAGCAGCTGCGGTTTCTTCACTTAACATCATATCAGCTATTATTTGATCGCATGGAGGTCCACATCATCTTTGACTTTTCCTACTGCATCTTGGGCATTTTACTTTCATTTTATGTCATCTTTCTCGTGCTGTTCCGCACACATAATGGGAATGTGAGAGTGTACAAGAAAATGTTGATCATCAGTACTGTCATCGACATCATGTATGGGTGCTCAACGGCGTTCTCGATACCGGTAAGACGATTGTTTCCTCAGCCAGATTTTCTTTGAGTTTTGCACACATAGCAGGCATAGGTCACATATCAATTCCAGAAAGTTTTAGCTCGCTTTTGGCAGGCGCAGCCAAGGTATTTGATTTTGGGCCAGAGAGTGCGCAAAGGGCGGAGTGCGGATCAAAATGCACGTGCTTTTAAAGCAACTGTAGATTATTCTAAGGGGCGACAAGTCCGAATTATTTTCCTGATAGGCTGACGGTGCTCCACAAAGTTCAGAACCCAAGTTCAAGTACAAATTATATCCTTTTCGAAGCCAAGAAAAAGTTCAGTTCAAGTCCTAGTTTAGGCATTCAAAACCTCCAAGTTCGAACCCAAGTCCAGAATGGCATTTTTTCGGAATCGTTACTGTAAATTATTTCCTTTCTGTGTGTTGTCCATCAGTACGATAGAAGAAAAAATATTTTGTAATGCCCAAAATCGATTTTCTTTGAAAAGTTTTCTGTGCCTGACATGTGAGACCCAAAAAATCTTTTGCCCAATTTTCCGCTTAAATACATATTAGCTACCGACTTTCAATCGCACTTATTTCTCCCATGTCTGAAGATTCCGAATGTGCCAATAATTCCCGGGACTTTCAGAGCTACCTGTTCTGCGAAAAGAAGCTGTTTGTCCTCTTTGAAAATCCAGTCCTGCCGGACGATCCGAAGCTTCTTCTCCGTGCCTTTCAAATACAAACTTTCTTCATTTTCATCAACATCTTGATCGTCCCAATTCAGTTCTATTTCCGTTACATTGTGGTTTGCCAGCGCAACTACAACTTCCGAATGGTGCTCAAGCCTTTATTAATTGCACTAGTCTACGTCTTTCTCCACGCCGCAATGATTCAGAGGACTTTTGAATTCAGAAACGAGGTGTACGATGAGATTTTAGTGGAGCAAGGACTTGATGTCAAGCGGGTGAAATATATGGTTGGAGATATTGTGAGAGTCTTTGAAGTTTTATTTTAAGCCTGTACCGTCGTTATTGACCGCATTTTCTATTGATAAAAATGAGCTACTTTTACAAGGGAGGTACCCCAACTGCGAGGCTCAGATTCTGTTTAAATTTAGTTCAGACTGATGCGAGGACATACAACAGATAATAAATTTAGCTTCCACTTCACCAGGTCAGCCGAGATGTTCAACTATCTTTGCAGACAAGAGGGTACGCGAAACGCGAAGAACCGTCAGAGAGGAAAACGCTTTTTGGCCGTATTCTTGCTAATTTTGTCCGGATCAAGTCAAGTTTTTTTCGAAACGTTACCCACCCTTGTCAGAAATAGACATGAACTTTTTCATCCAAAAAATCAGCAAAAGAATGCCGTATTTTTCTCAACTCTTGGCCTAAAAATCTCTATCATTTCAGCGAAGCGACGAAAAATTGATCAAACTTTCTTTCAAATTTCACCAGACGTCGCACTTGTAGTACTTCCTCTTCTACATGTGTTAGTATTTGTTATTTTAGGACAAAAAATGTATCTTATGTAAAAAACCGCATTGACCCCAAATTTTTCCAGAGCAAGCATCATCTCCTCCTTTATTACATGCTCAATGGGCTTTTCATGGCATGCCTTACATATCTCCTTGTTGGCGCCTATTACTGCCTAACCCGGCGAAGATTACGGAAGCTAAAATTTAGCTTGAGCGAGTCCACGAAACGAGCTCAACGACAAGTCGGTCAAATCGCCACAATCCAAGTGAGACCTCTTGAAAATTAATACTCAATACACGTCATAAATTTTCAGGCAATCTACCCAATGTTGTGTATATGCACACCTTGCATTATGATATGCACAGCGCCGTTGATTGGGCTAAAATCTCAACTGTTCGGCTGCATCTGCTCGACGCTATCTCACATCTTCCCGGTGCTCAACGCTTTGTCAGTGATCATCTGTGTGCCTTCGTACCGGCGGAAAACCCTCCGATTTATACGGCGGGCAATCAGAAGGAAAAACGAAGTCACCGTGATAAAAGTCTCGTCCATAACACCAAATGATGGGGTGGAATTCTTGAAAGAAGGCTCGAATTTTGTATTGACAAGAGTTGAACATTCCGTGCAAGTCCTGGCACACATACCTAAGCCAAAATGAAAATAAAGAGTCAATGGTAAAGTGGATGATGTCATAATGAAAATTTATGCGATATTATGGAAAGCGCCAATTTTTGGCCGTATGTTATAATAGAAAGTTTCGCGAGAAAAAAATGATTTTTTTGTTCATCGCATAAACGAAAAATTTTATTAATAAAAAACGCACATGCCTCGAGTACCATCAGTCTGTCGGGAAATTAATGAGCACAATTTTGCACGCCGCTGAAAACGAAACTAATTTGATTTTGCAGACACTATCAAGATTTAGATTAGATAGTCGGGGTCTAATGAGGCCCAACTTGCCCTCTACTCCTATTAGTATGCCCCTAATAACCTGGAGACCACAGCTAGAGAATTCTAGCTGAAAAACTGCGAACTCACGCAAATTGATTCCTGAGCTTGGACCACCAACGGACTGTATCAAGGGGACTTCCAACAATTTATAAATATAGGTTTATTTCCCAAACGAGTGACCGAAAAGCGATTGGTCTATTAAATTTATATCAAAATATTCGTCGGTTTATGCTAATTTCTGGGAATTCTTCACGGAATCGTGAAAACACACACAATTTATTTTCTCGGCGCCGGTGCGATTTCGATGTGACATTGTGCTCACTATTTTCCAGACAGACTGATCAACCCTCGAAAAAATTGAATATCTTCCTATATCAATGATCATCCCAGCTCAAAAACTCATCAAAAACAAAAGCTTCGTAAAATTTCCACGCTTATTTCAAGGCGATTACAAAAAAATCGTCAAAAAGCGGCGGAAAAAGTCATAATTTGTTCTCGAATAAAAGTCGATGGAAGGAGAGAAAAGCGTCGATCTTAACCTTCCTAATCAAGACGGTTTGTGTTGGGGAACTAAATAAATCGAAACAGGGGAAAAAGGTGTGGTCATTGGGGTGGGAATCACGAAAGTTCCTCTAATTTGTATTTTTTTGCTATCTTGCGACCGTTTCCGTATTGTTTTAAATTTGCCGCCAATTCCGGGAATTTTTGACGTTTTTTTGTTTCGAAGTTAATTTTTTATTAGTATTCTTGATTTTTTCTAAAAGATGTTGTACAAATGGTCTTAAAAAATAATTTTTATTTAGTTGATGGCAAAAAGGGTCTTTTCGCAAGCAATTTGTCACGCTTTTTTCGCTTCTTTTTTAATCAGGAGAGCCTTATAGTGACGCTTAGATTTGCTATCAGTATGTCGGGAAAATAACAAGGAGTATGATAGAGATTTTGTAGTGACAACTCCATGGTACAGATAAGTATACCAGTATATTGAATTCATCCACCGCTTTCAAAGTTATTTGAGTTTGTTGTGAACATTTAAAAATGCTTGGTTAACCTTATGGTGACTATTCAAGCCACTATTGCACCAGGAAACTTAGTTCGTGGCATCTACTGTCAAGCCCATTGTTTGGTTTTCCTGTTGTAAGCAAATGTCGGCTGATTTCCAAACTTGGCCGTAGAATCTCCGTGGTTCTTCTAGCTGCCCGAAAAAGTAGTTTCCCGCAAGCGTGGCGATTCAAAAGCGTGACAATTACTTATTATTTTCCGACAAACTGAAAGCCAATTTGAGCGTTCTTTTCAGATATGATTATAAAATGCTAGCCACGCTTTATCGCCACAGCCAGCTGTTGTTTGTAAATATTGGATTCGCGTTACTCTGTACATCTTCATTCGCTCTGGACGCAGAAAAAGAGGTTTTTTATAATGTCGGCGATCTCATAATTGAATGCCCTGAAGGTTGGTTGGCATAACATTTATAATATCAAAAACGACCTTGATAATTGGAATTTTCAGATTACTTCCCTGTCGGCACTTATTGCTTTAAGATTACCAATGCCAGCTTCGATTTCCCGGCTGCCAAGCGTTATTGTGAGCTGAATTAGTAAGTGGGGAATACGAGTTGGTTCCAGTTGATTCGCCGTTCTTTTTTAATTGGCTATCAGTCCGTCGGAAAAGCATGGTCTTTTTTAATGAAACTTGAAACAAATTCAGAATATTTTTTTCTGAGACATATGCGCGAATCCTAGCTCGCGCTTTGCAGAAACAACCGAAATTTTAGGTCTAAAGTTAGCGAAAATTTGTCAATTTTTGCCGAACTTCGGCACGAAGAGTTTTGTGCCTATTTGTACCATAGAGGGTAATGTTTCCACAGAATATCAATGTTTTCCGCGCAAAACTAGCAAAGTTATGGCCAAAAAGCGCATTTCTCTCTGACCGCTCTCCACGTTTAGCGTGCTCTCTCGACGGCAAAAATTGTTTAATATCTCGGTGGCGCCTGCAAAGCGCGAGCTAAAACTTTCAGGAAATGATACTTAGTTCGTGACCGACGTGTGTGCAGAATTTAAAGAAAATCTGAGCGTCGCACTTGGGGTACTTCCCTTGTTAGTGGAGAGATATTAATGTCTGCAATTCCTTCAAAATTATCACGTTTTGTTCCAAAATTTTATCTCCCTCGGTTCCGTTTCGACCGGAAACAATAATTGGCTCTTATCTCAACTAGACTGCATTTTCCGGAAAAGCAAAGGCAAGAGCGCCGGAAGCTTTGCTGACCAAAAGTGATAAAGCCATAACGGACGGCTTTATCGGCTATTCTTCCTGGTGCTACAGTGGCGGACCTGATCCAGTGGCAAAAACCGTACCATGTTGCATGGGAAGTATCAAAAATGTGGCAAAATGTTTCCCTCTCCAAGTGAAAAAACTACGATTTTAAAAGCTCTTTTTGTGAGGGAAATGGCGTTCCTTTCAAAACAAAGTTTTTTCACTTGAAGAGTGAAGCATTTTGCTACATTTTTTATCCTTCCCGGATGTAAAATGGTACGTTTTTTGCCACTGGATCAGGTCCCCACTGTAACAGGAAAAGTTTGCCAAATTCAACCTCAGCTTTTTTTTGATGTTACCCACACTTTTTTCCGAAGTCGAAGTACTTGTAAAAAGCAGCGAAATTAAAGCCACTTCCCACACGACAAACATGACAATTTCAGTCAACGAACAAACTCTTTATACAACCTCTCCAATTGGTACTTGTCCCGTCAACTTGCCGATAATCTCTTTGAAAAAACCAAAATCAAAACGCTTTGGACATCATGGCAAATCACCATCGACAAACCAAATTTTATGGACGATATTGAAAATGTTTACGTCATAAGCAATTCGAGTGCCAACGGCCGATCACGCCTTTTGAATCCGGACTGGGCCAGTCTTCAGCCGAAGCTGCCAAAAATGCGAGGATTCAAAGGCGGGACCTTGTGTGTGGCGTTTAACATCGACTTCACTGATCCGTTGAATTACGGCTGGAGTCTGGAGGACTGTAGCCAAGAAAGATACCCGGCACTTTGTCAAACATTTGGCTGTTTGAACAGTAAGTTGGTTGGAGGGGAAGGGCTGGTAGCAACGATCAAACGTCTGCACAAAAAACTGCGGCAGCCCGAAAAAGTAGTTTTTTATAGAGAGGTGTTGTTGCACAAAAATTTGTTGTACATTCACTCTATTGTACAGGGTGGGCCACTTGAAACTTCCAACCTCCTTTCAGGTATTTCTCCGCCAATAATGCACCAATTTCTATAAAATTTATATCAAATTAAAGCTGAGACACCCCATTTCTTGACCACCAAATATGGCCCGTCTAAGTTCACTTGAGGGTAGTAGTGAGAGCTAGAAATATTGCAGCTATATCCTATTTTGGATAATGTAGGAAAACGCCCAAACGCGACACTGAGCTTTTTTTTTGGCCCTCGTGGGCATGTATGGCCTGGAATACGGTTCATTTCTTGAAGGTTTTACAGTGTATCTTGTAAGATAAAATGAGATATTCAACGATTTTTGCATCCGAAAAAGTACAGGTAACACGGAGAGCGGTCAGAGAAAATTGGCCGCATTTTTGCGAATTTTTCCTGGAAAAATTTTTTGAAAAATAAAGCTGATCGTGAAGTTTTTTTCACGGTTAAATTTTCAAAAAAGTGTTGGTTTTAGTTAACTTTCAGACTAAAAATCTTGGTCGTCTATGCAAAACGAAAGCTGGAAATCTCATACTTTTTTACAAGATAACTTTTCAGTGAAGGACCAAAACCTGACCCAATTCCGTTGCAAAGACGATACCAAATGCATCTCCATGACGCAGCGATGTGATCAAAGGCAGGACTGTTGGGATGGCAGCGATGAGGAGGGCTGTACAAAGAAGTTCGAAAAAGAAACCGTAAATTGTGAAGACTTTCACACGCAAGAAGACAATTTTGGGACGATACAAGTCGGGAGATTTGCAAGTTCAGCCGCCAAAAATTGCGTTTGGCATATTCGTTTCAAAGATGCGGACAGAATACGGGTTAATGTGAGTTTTCAAACATGTCGGCATGTCAGTAAACATGTGAAGAAAAAAATTGGTTCAAAAGAAAAAAATATCTGAATATTTTTTTATTTTTTAGTTGATGCTGTCAAGAAAGAGAAAGACAGGATACATTTCGATAAAAGATGCGGAAAGCGAGCTGGAGGAGAGGCTGAATTCAAAGAAAAATTCGATTGAAGTCCCACCAGACGTCTTCATTCGCTACAATGATTTGGTCGACACGCATGGCGGATTCAAATTGGAGTATTATGCGGAGGGTGAGCTATCTTTGCGCCTGCTAATTTTTGAGCTAACAGGGAGGTGCTTCAAGTATGGCGCTTATATTTTCATGAAATTTTACATAAATTTAACAAACTTAGATTAATTTTTTTTATAAGGCATTCGCGAATCTCCTATAGCGATACCGAGATTTTTAGGTCCAAAGTTCATAAAGATGTGCCATGTTTTTGTGAATCCTAACAAGGAAAGTTTTACATCTGTTTCTATCGTAAAGGTCAATGATTTTCAACAGCCTTTGCGGCCGAGAAAGTACGCAAAACACGAAGAGCGGCCATAGAGAAAAAATTTTTGGTCATATTTTTGCCAGGTGTGTTAAAAAAAATATTTTTTTGCGGAAAAATTTCCCTCTAGGCTAGAAATAGGCATGAAACTTTTTATGACAAAATTCGAAAAAATTCTCCTATTTTTGCCAACTTTCCACATAAAAATATCGACCGTTGCTGCAAAGCGTGGACTAGGAGGTTTGGATTTTTTGTAAAAAAACTTATCTATTTTTTTGCCAAGTTCCGTCAAAATATGAGCGTCGCACTTTGAGCACTTCCCTTGTAAATCTACGCTGACAATAAGTCATCTGACAGTCAGCACATCACACTCCCAGCCTTTGAAAAAACCATTTTCAGGCCCGCCAACCTGCTATCGAACGTTCGCCTCATGGAATGGCTCGTTTTCCTCGCCGATGCGAGTAGATCGACCCGGCGTTTACCGGACATCGCGGCATTGCGAATGGACCCTCAAAAACAAGGTCGGAGAGCCTTTGGCAATCAAAATCCCAAAGTTTGAGCTAGCTCCAACCGATCATTTACTGATTTTTGAGACCACCGGGACCAGAAGCACCTTATTCGGAGACTTCACATCAAATAATCGACCGCCTGCGGCGTTTATTTCGCTACAAGAAGAGGTAAAATTCAAGTTTCGAACGGCGAAACATACGATTGGCGCGGCTGGCTTTGAGGTCAGCTTTGAGCGCCGTTCTCTGGATGTAACGCTGAAGATGAATAGTGGGGTGATTCAGTCACCCAACTACAACAAAATGTTTGATCATATCCCCTTCGAACACACTTATCGGATCGAAATCCCATGCGATTATGGCTACGAATGCCCGGCAACTTTGTTTTTCGACCATCTGAATATCACAAATCTGGATGATGTTACAGTGAGTCTTGTAGGGGTGTTGTAAAAAGTGGATGGGAAAGTTTGGAAATGTGTTTTCACCGCATGAGAAGCATTTATCTTCTACGTTACACATTCTTATTCCGAACTATCCAAAAAATGAAAAAAATGGGCCTCTTACAGTTTTGCCAATATCTTGCTAGCTGCAAAGTGTACTGCGAATCCAAACATTGTACTTTAAAGCTGACGAATTTGTCTTTCGGAATATGTTAATTTTGTAATGATACTCGTTGTGTACGACAAGTAAAACGTTGTTGAAAACTGGCATATTTTAACATCCGATGTCGGAAAAATGTGCTTTCTATGCGCCAGGTCCCAAAATTATGGGCTTCATCGTATACAGCATTTTGTTGAGTAGTCCATTATACTATTACTATAACATAAAATTTTTATACATAAAATGATTATTTTTCGGTCGCTTCCGGTGATAAAACACTCATATTGACTGGAAACACATTGCCCACGGCATTTCGAGCACAAAACTCTGTTATCCAAATCGGGATGATTGGAAAGTCAAGCGTCTTCGCCGCGCGAATATCTTTCTCCATCGGTAAGTCTACTAATTTTTATAATTCTTTTTGTAATGCTTGAAACTCAAGTCTTCTACTCAAGTCTTGAGCACAGTTTTATGTACATAATACTTCTACGTTTCAGACTGCCGACTCCCTCGCTCTCCGAACATCAAATTCACCGATCTCGAGTCAGCGACATTCCGCAGCGTCCGAGTGTTTGAGTGTTTCAACGGACTTGACTGGTACTCGTTTCCATCAACGTGTGAAGCCGGCGGAGTCTGGTCGGCGTTTCCGGAGGCTTGCGAAACAAATAGTGAGTTATTTGTTTGTCGGTTCACTCTGTTTGATAATTTGTTCATTGGGAAGTGAGCGCTACAGTGGCGGACCTGATCCATTGGCCAAAGACGTACCATTTTGCATCTGGGAAGTATCAAAAATGAAGCAAAATACCTCCCTCTCCAAGTGAAAAAAACTCCGATTTCAAAGGCGCGCCCACTTTTTTTGTGAGGGAAAGGGCGCGCAGTTCAAAACGTAGTTTTTTTTAGTTGGAGAGGGAGGCATTTTGCCACATTTTTGATACTTCCCGGAAACAAAATGATATATTTTTTTGCCACTGGATCAGGTCCGTCACTGTAACTTTAACTGATCGATATTGCCCTATATATGACCCATCTGAGCGGTAAAATTGAAAGTTAAAAAATTGAGGTTAAAGATCTTATGTTGTGCTTTTACCTAATGTAGACGTTTGATCGGTATTTTTGACCAAGTTAAACCGGCCAGATTGGCCATAATTCGAAGTTAAAAGTCATACATTTTCTTTTTATCCAATGTAGACGTTTTTATTGGTATTTTTGGTCAAGTTAACCGGTCAGATTGGCCATAATTCGGGGTCAAAAAGCTCAAAAATATTTTTTGTCCAAAAAAGGCCTCTGATCCGCCAGCCCCGTCCACTTGACTGGTCGAAATTGATCAGATTGCTCAAGCTGACCATTGAATAATCATCCATCTTATTTTTAGAGCAAGACCCTTGTGTTGTGGAGATCATCAAAAACGGACGTATAACAAACTTAAACCGCTCGGCAGGTTATATGGAATACGAATGTGGCGTTGGATACAAGCCACCAACTGGCCTGCATCCGACGGTACCAACTGCGAACGCAACTTGTTCGGCTAGCAAATGGAGTCCAAACGTGGAATGCAGCCGTAGGTTCGCTTTTCTATTGCCCAGGGCACTTTCTATATTCATTGAAAATCGGGGCCTGAAGTAGATTTTTTTTATTCTCTCAAAGCAAAAATGTGAAAGGCTGACTAATTTACAGGGGCTGTATCAAGATAATACAAGTTAAAAGTGGTCACTATGTCTACATGGTAGGCGGCGGTGCTGTGAATTACTTTTTGTTGATGAGATTCAAGTACTCTTCGCGGGTCTTTGGGTCGTCGCGGAACACTCCGAGCATGCAAGAGGTGGCGGTGGTCGCGTTGATCTTTTGAACACCTCGCATCACCATGCACATGTGGCTGAAAGAATAGCATTTTATTGGCAATAGAGCCCTCTGATTTTTTAAAAAATTAAGCATTATTTATTATCAGTCTGTCGGGAAAATAACGGCGGATCGTCGCGCCTCGGAATGCCCATCATCGCTTTGCGACTGCAAACCGCGGCTGGGGATTTGGTGCGCGATAGCGGCGAGGCGAGACATTTTGCTGCGACGATCCGCCGTTATTTTCCCGACAGACCGATATAAACGGTAAATGGGGCATATACGAATCCCGGAAAACTTGGACTCTGAGGATGTACCAAAGCTGGGATTTTGATGATTTTTTGAGGGAGTACGTAAAATGTGGGGAAAGTTGAAAAATTCTCGACGAAAATTGCCAAATCTGGGCGGTCAGAGCGACAGGTGAGGCGCTGAACTCAAATTTTATCCCCCAATATTCGCTTGATTGAAATTTGAAAGGTCATTTTGCCCTATCTGACTCGTCAACTGCCCTATCTATCTGACCATTCAGGCTGTCTGAAAATTCACCACCCCTTCCCTTATTTCACGACGTTTTTCAATTCTAAAATTTTCATTAAATCTAGTCTTACCTTGCTTCAATAACCACCGCGACTCCAGCTGGCTGCACCGCTTGTAAAACTGCCTGAGCGATCTGTTTGGTCAAACGTTCTTGGACTAAAATCGAACAGAAGATATACTCAAAAAGTCTCCAACTCAATTTCAAGCATCTTTCAAATTATTTACCTTGCAATCTTCTACTAAACATCTCCACGATCCTCGCGAATTTACTCAACCCCAGCACTTTTTTGTTCGGCAAATACCCGATGTGGACTTTGCCAATGAACGGGACTAGATGATGTTCGCACATGCTGTGCATTTCGATGTCTTTGACAATGACCATTTCGTCATGGTCTTCGTCAAAAACGGCTTCGTTCAAAATGTCATCCAAGTTTTGCTCATAGCCGTTCGTAAAGTATAGCATGGCTTTGGCGGCGCGTTCCGGGGTTTTCAACAGGCCTTCGCGGCTAACATCCTCACCAACATGTCGTATGATGGAGCGGTAGGAATTTATCATCTCTTCTTCCTGCTTGGTGGGAGAGCTCTGGAATTTAATTTGGAATTAAAATGGATAATTGTAGTGTAATTTAAATGGCCAGAGTTCAAAGAGTAAACGTCAGATGTCCTTGAAATTTACAAGGGAAGTACTTGAAGTGTGACGCTCAGATTTTGATGAAACTTGGCAAAAATTTAGAATAATTTTTTCTAAGATATATGCGGGAATCCTAGCTCGCGCTTTGCAGAAACAACCGAGATTTTTAGATCGAAAGTCGGCGAAAATTTGGGACTTTTTGCCGAATTTCGGCACGAAAAGTTTCATGCCTATTTCAACCGTAAAGAATAATGTTTCTACAAAAAATCAAATTTTTCCGCACGAAACTGCCAAAGTTATGGCCAAAAAGCGGTTTTCTCTCTGACCGCTCTCCACGTTGAGCGTGCTCTCTCGGCGGCAAAAATCGTTCAATATCTCGGCGGCGACCGCAAAGCGCGAGCTAAAACTTTCAGGAATTGATATTTAGTCCATACCCGATGTGTGTGCAAAATTTAAAGAAAATCTGAACGTCACACTTGAAGTACTTCCCCTGTTAGTAGTAAAATATTATGTGGAGCGTAATGCAATCTCTCAAAGTTTTAGCTCACGCGTTTCAGAGCCGCCTGAGATAATCATCATCGAAATTTGGACCTTACACTAAGCGCTTTCCGTGTGAAAAAACCCTTTTTTTGGTCATAATCTTGCCCCAAACATCTAATTTTTTAGATGACGTATGCCATGAAAGACGTTAAAGATCACTTATTTAAACACCCCACTCACCTTTTTATTCTTTCTGTACCCGTTGTTGTTCTGCGGCGACAGCGACAGCTTCTCCATGTTCAAGTCTTCGGAGGCCGAAGAGGAGGCGATTACTCCGCTGCTGCTGACACGGTCCATTATTCCAAATCTCTGAAATAGTCCGGGTTCAGAGACGATGTTCTTTTTCGGGCCACTTCATTTGAATATTCTAACGCCCGCTGGGCCGGCCGCACGTAACAGGCAGGCGTTTCACGCATTCTGCGTGCGTTTTCGCCCGAGTATCGGAAAACCCGACGGAAATTGGGAATGGCGGAGGCGGGGCGATAAACAGGGGATATCTTACTGGAATAGGGTTGGGAAACTTGCCAGATACTTGGCGGAGAGTGTGGTAATAGTTAAAGGGATTATAGAACAGAGGAAAGATAGCGTTGAAAAAACGTTGTAAATGCCAAAAACGGCAAAAAATAAAATGCATAGAGACAGATGAAATTTAGTATTTTCTTACAAAAAAATGATGGCTTAATGTTGCCAACGCCGCCGTGGTATTCGACGATGTTTGATAGCTGTGAAATACGCCAATTTTAGAAAGAAATCTTGCGAATGTCACGAAGAAAATATTGTTTTTTTGCGTCTGTAGCTCACCACAGAAGAAATAAAATATCCTTGTCCAGTTTGCAACCCCGCCGCAAAGATTTCCGACAATTTACAAACAACCCATACAGAAAATTTTAGCTAAGTTTAAACGATATCTACGCTTCATGAACTTTCCTATGCAACAGCTCCCCGAACAGAGTCTCAAGTTTAGCGTGGGATTTGTAAACTCCCAGACAAGGCAATAAATAACGACCTGCCGAGGCCTGCCGAAGAAAACCAGACATTTTTCAACCCGAAAATGGGCCGCTTCCGCCGTCATTATACCTCCAATATATCTTTGGAGACGAAAACGATAGGATGACGTTTCGTTTTGGCGTCAAAACCTCTGTCCACCGTCATCAAAAAATGCCCAAATTGGTGACATTCTTCCGACCTTAAATCTGAATAAAAATCAAGAAGGAAACTACTTACTAAATACCCTTCGACAACAGTTCAAGTTTACGAATCCGGCTTCCCAAAAGAGGGAATATTATCTTAGATCCTTCCTGTTTTTTTTTGTTATCTCTCTCTCTCCCCGCAACGGATCGATCTCAGCCCACCCCGCCAAAGAGAGAACTCAGAAATTATGGACGGAGATAGCAATGTTTTATATATTCAAAACGGGTTGGAATCGGAGGGGTTGATAAGCACGATAAAAAGCGCTTCAAGGCATGGGACTATGGGATGTAAGCGGGGAGAATATTTAATCTACAAAGCTTTGTAAAGACGATTGTAAATATGGACCCCCATAACACGAAATTTTGACGTTTATTTTCTGAGATCTCAAGCGTCAGTTCTAAACCCAACTGAACCTTCAAATATAGTATTATGCATCAAAGGTATTCTGTAAAAACTTGCAGTTTTGCAAAAATTACAACTTTACATGTTGCAAACAATTAATTACGAATTTCATTGGCTAAACCGCCTTTCTCAAACTAATAATACGTAGTTTTAATGAGACTTTGATGCGATGCCCACATTAAACAGTGATATATGATGATTTTTTATTATGTTTTGTATATTCACTACATATATACAGAAAAAATAAACGTTAAGGTAGACGTATGTAAGTGAAATATAGAGCACTATTGATCCAGTAATTTCCAATCAATCATCTTTATTAGGCCATTATATACTCCGCCGATTTAATTTGGACCAGGGTCATTTTTTTTATCCAAAGCCGTTTCAGATTTCCTATGTGGCGATATCTAGTGAACATAACACGGAGATAAAATCCCAATAAAAGTTTAATTAAATTTATTATAAATAACGAAGAAAAAACATTTTTTTAAAATAAACTGTCTGAAAAGTTTGGACCAGGGCAACAAAAATTTGCATTTCTTTATCACTAGGTGGGGTGAAGCCATGATAACTTGTGAAAATAATCATGATTCCCTGCTCGTTCTAACGATATGCTATTCCGAGATCAGCGCTGTGTTTAAGGCCCTGAGGGCAGTTTTTAAGAAAATTCCCAAAATTCCCGAAATTTTTTGCCCTAGCGCTTGAGTAAGAAGCGTAAATCGTCTTAAATTAGTTTCAGTGAAACCACAGTATAGTGTACATCTAATTGCATGATGTTATAAAATAGTTTTACATCAAAAATTTTTTGTTCTTGGAGGATTTGTGACTTTCAAACTTGGGTTGGCGGTAATAGTGAGGCAACAGCGCTCAAACAACTGCTCAATCATACAGCGTTTTGCGTGGGACGTGTGAGGGGCATGCCACACTTTCCTTCTGTGCCAAAACAATATCCGATTTACACGCGACAAATGCACAATAGACCGAAAACTTCGATAAAAAAAGTTTTCGTTGGCCCAGTCAAAACATGTTGAGAAAAAACAATTGACAATTTAATAAGTTCTATAAAGTCTGACTAGCACCTCATAGCGGAATAAACGTATAATATACATATAGGAACATCTTTTTTCACTTTCGAAAACTTTTAAGTAAGCACCCTCTTCTTAAATTTTTTTATCGAAGTTTTCGGTCTATTGTGCATTTGTCGCGTGTAAATCGGATATTGTTTTGGCACAGAAGGAAAGTGTGGCATGCCCCTCACACGTCCCAAGCAAAACGCTGTATGATTGAGAAGTTGTTTGAGCGCTGTTGCCTCACTATTACCGCCAACCCAAGTTTGAAAGTCACAAATCCTCCAAGAACAAAAAATTTTTGATGTAAAACTATTTTATAACATCATGCAATTAGATGTACACTATACTGTGGTTGCACTGAAACTATTTTAAGACGATTTACGCTTCTTACTCAAGCGCTAGGGCAAAAAATTTCGGGAATTTTGGGAATTTTCTTAAAAACTGCCCTCAGGGCCTTAAACACAGCGCTGATCTCGGAATAGCATATCGTTAGAACGAGCAGGGAATCATGATTATTTTCACAAGTTATCATGGCCTCACCCCACCTAGTGATAAAGAAATGCAAATTTTTGTTGCCCTGGTCCAAACTTTTCAGACAGTTTATTTTAAAAAAATGTTTTTTCTTCGTTATTTATAATAAATTTAATTAAACTTTTATTGGGATTTTATCTCCGTGTTATGTTCACTAGATATCGCTACATAGGAAATCTGAAACGGCTTTGGTTAAAAAAAATGACCCTGGTCCAAATTAAATCGGCGGAGTATAGGTCATCAAACCCATAAAACGGTAATTAAAACATGTCGTAGAAGAAAGACTACTAAATTCTAATAGCTTTAGTTTACTACAAAAGGCCACGAACCATCGGCGGAAAGTTTTAGTCCGCGCCTTGCAGGGGCGGTCGAGGAATCCAACGACTTTTTCGACAGAGAGAGAACGCAAAAACACGTTTTGGCTATTTCCTTGCCGGTTTTTCATGGAAAAAGTCGATTTTTTTGGAAAGATTAAGTATGCAATAGAAATGGGTACGAAACTTTTCATGCTACGGTTTGCCAAAAGCTGTCACGGCCCTGTAAAGCGCGAGCTAAAACTTTCAGGATCGACACGATTCCTGGGGAAAGCATGGCCCTAAATTTAAAGAGATCAAGCATTTTAGCGGAATTGAGAAAAATCATAGCGTATATACTAAAAATTGTAGCTTGAGTTTAAAGGGAATTTTGCGGATTGGTCTAAAGCGGTCGAAAATATACACGAAAAAAACTTTAAGGTGTACTTCTCTTAACACCCTGTCTATACAAGTCCTTTCAAAAGCTGAATTTTTCCTTTGCAAAAAGCCCGTTATGATGTAATATTACACTTTATTCAACCACACTATCATTGTCACCAAAGGAAGTTTTGCTTCCATCAAAAAAGGAAGAAAGAAAGAGACCCTTTCAAACCCACTGATACCAAGAAATCAGTCTACCACACTGCCGTCTCAAACCTTAATTTGAAAGGCTAAGAAATCAATCCGAAAAAGATCAAGTGATGCGACCTGCATTACACCAGTTAACCTACTACGTATGATCAACATAGACGCACCCAGCCCCTGATTTCTTCATCTTTCAATACGTCGAATTCCGCGCGTGATATTTGGCGGTTTATGACCGTTGATATGATCGAGCGACTGTTGGCTGATCACCGACGTAACAAAGCACAAAAACCATCTCAAGGAGGACGACTAAAGCGAATGTTCTTTTGCGTACACATGGTCAAAGATTGCCGTTGAGAATGGTTTCAAAATCCTGGAAAAGCAAATCATGGTGTTTATTAGCTTCAATAGAACCGTTATTAATTCTAGAGAATGCTGCAAAAATTTACGGTCTAAATTGCGGCATATCACGTCAACCCAGCGCATTTCATGAACCGTTTAGACCTTTCGTCCACACACTATCGATTGACCAAATGATTTTTGATAACAAAGTTCTTTTACAATGACAAAATTGGTCCTAACAAATAAAGAAAATTTTAGAACGTCATTTTGAGACCAGAAAGCAAGGTTTTGCCCCAGATAGCCAAGAAAAAACAGCCAAAAACTTTCTCCAAATTCCTTTTTTGACGAAACGCCACATCGATTAAAATTTGATCAGGATAGCTTCATAGCTACGTAGTACGTAAAGCAAAGAGAGGGGGCTCTGAAATTTCAAGTATCTCACAGAAACTATTTACTATTTTCAGCAATTTTCTGTGGCATCTACCCATTGGAAACGGATGTTCCAGACGACTGCAAAGATTGTGTGCCAGCATTTCCGGTCAAGGTCTCCTATGATTCCATTTTTTCCGTATTTACCTCCATCGAATACACTTGCGATGACGAGCACATCTTATACGGCGATTCGAGAATTAAGATTTGCCAAGAGGATGGGAGTTGGACCGATAATACAATTTACTGTAAACGTAGGTGAAATTTAAAAAAATTATAAAATACAGTCGGGCCTCTAGACAACAAACTCCCGTTTACCCTGTTTTGAGATTTAGATGTTAAAGTTTTGAAATAATTTCATTTTTAGGCCGAAAATGCGGACTAAAAAGAGTCATCAAAAACAGCAACAACCATTTTTCAATTGTCGATTACCATACAAGATCTTTTTTAACGGACATTTGTATCCCCGGATTTTTCATGAGTGATGCCTTGGTTTGCAGCGAGGAAGATCCCGAGGTCATCGAAGAAATCAGTTGTGAATGTAGGTTTTGCCAAATTTCTACAGCCTCCTTGGAGGGTTTCATAGACGCCTTTATGCCTCACCTCCATTGCTTCATCAAAAAAAAAACGATTATAATTTCAGTGTACCAACAAACCTTCGACTCTTGTGACACTGTCAAAAATACGGACACATTTTTCTTTTGCAAATGCGACGAAGGTTTTGAGAATGTCGACGGAAACTATGGAACTTGCACAGGTACGCTCAGTTCTATATTTTGAGCACATTTAACATTTTTTCAGCGGTTGATCACTGTAAAACTGTGGGCTCCTCAATTTGCAGAGGTCAAACTTGTACTCCCGATGGAGCCGAGTTTTCGTGCAGCTGTGGAGCTGGATACATGGGAATTGATCGGAGCGGCTATATAATGCCACCAGCTCAAGTCAATGGCAAGAGATTGCTGTTTGACGGGCAGTCTTGCGTTGGTAAGAGAGAGGGCCACGTTACGTGGCAGTATTCTTTATACAGTCAAACCTCTGCACAACGAATCGCAAAAAACTAGAGAAAATATTCGTTTTTGAAGGGCTCTGTTGTGCGAAGGCTCGTTTTGGCCTTTAATTGAATTTGGGGCACTTTGAAAATAGTCCATTACGGAAAGGTTTCTTTATACGATAGTTCGTAGTATAGAGGGAAATTTTTCCCTATAATAGACTCTTAGAATTGCCAGAATTATATGTTATCGCCTTCTTTATCGTACTAGAGTTTAGTGTACAGTCTGTATAAGTTGCTTTTGCCCTCACTGCACTTCTACTCGGTGCCCTTTTGCCCCCAAGAGCTCTTTCGGTCAATTAGTGAACTAGCCACTGTCTCTATTGCTTCTATTGGCGCTGTGCCATCGAAGCCAAGGTCATGCCCGTCCACACAATCAGTCCTACTGGGGTTAATTTTTGGGATTTCTGCCTGAAGAGTCGGTCAAACGTTAACGCTTCCCTAGCTTCCGTCAACTGTCTTTGCCGACTCACCGCCGAGACGAGTGTACGATATAGCGACTATATATTACATCTTCCACTCGGTTTGTAAATATTATATCTTTTGCTCTGTCCTGAAGCAAATCTGCATGCATCTGCCCGTTGAACCTTTACGGTTAAGATCTTCATTTCAGCTAGACGATGCTCCTTATCCGACCTGCAGAAATTTGATGGTAAGACTCGTGCCTATGGCGCAATGCCACCTTTACAAAACGCACCGTTCTGACAGTCTTTTCTCAATTTTTTCCAGGGCTTGCAATCGTCGCGGCCGACAGTCCATACTTCAACGTCGACGACACCGTCGAAGTTTACACGTCGCTTTACCAAGTCCCAAAGACTGTCCGCTGTAATAAAAACTTCGAATGGGAAGAGATTATTCCAAAAATCCGTAAGTCTTGTCAGGAAATTGCTTATAAGTATGAGATTACCCACAAGAATGTTTAAAAATACGGATTTTTTAATGGAGTAGACTTTTCGCTATCAGCTGTCTGTGCAGTTTATACGAATTGTGTGTCTTTTATATCAGTCTGTCGGGAAAGTAATGTGGACTCGTTGTGCCTTGGAATTGCATCATTGCTTTGCGACGGCTTGCCGCTACTGGGGATTTCATGCGCGACTGCAGCGAAGCCTGACATTTTTCAGCGACAAATCCACCAAAACTCCACGTTATTTTCCCGACAGACTGATAGTCACAATTTTTTTCGACAATACCATAAATTTGCAATTTTAGACTGCACTCGTCCGGACATCACCTATGTAAAACCAGAGCAGTAAGTTCATTAAAATTTTCCGCCTGGCATCTTCATTGCCGGCAGACTAACCATTGCATTTTTAGGCCATACTATCGGCCGCATGACAAAATTGAAGTGGCTTGCGGAGTGGACACATCACTTTACTTGCGTGGACCGAATATCTTGGAATGTCTTGGAGATCACTGGAGCTTTCAGAGTACTTGCAAGAGTAAGTGGGCTGGAATTGCGTCAAATGCGACGCTTACAAAAACACATGTGTTCGTGGAAGTGTTCTTCCACATATCTTGCCCGAGTCAAAGCATTGTCAGCGAAGATATTCAGCGATTGTTGCCGACGCGCGCAATGCGATGAGTTATCAGAGAAAAACATGTTTTTGGCCATAGCTAAGCCAATTTTTTTAATGAGTTATTTTTTGTAGAAACACTGCAATTTTCGGTAGGAGTAAGGCAATTTTTTTCGGAAAAATCTTTTCACCAACTCTGCCTAGAAGCGTCAATTTTTCCTGCAAACCGCGAGCAATGAAACCCCATTCTAGTCAAGAAGAAGTTAGGGCATTACCTTGTATCATGCGTCATCCAGATACGATCTTTGCATTTCAAGCACTGCTCTACAAACCTGAAAAAGAAAACTGTTCAAGAAATAACCACTTTTTCAGAGCACCAGTGTGCCGAACCCAATATAGCAGGCATCGAGTCTTTGGAGTTTGTGGATAAACCAAAGTCCTTTGAAGTTGGGACTAAGATCGAATTCAAATGTCGAGCAGGAATATTAAAAGGGAAATCAACGTTAATATGCAATAAGGCACCAACTGATCAACCCCCCGTGAGATGGAATCCAGAAGAATTACCGATCTGTGAGGAGTCAACTCTTCCTCCTCCTCCTCCCCCTTCTACTCCTCCTCCTCCTACTCATCCTCCTACTACTCATCCTCCTACTCCTCCTCCTCATCCTCCTACTATTCCTCCTCCTCCACGTAAGTGTTTTTGGCGTCTCGTGTTGCCGCCTGAACTCTCAGTGGCGGCTTAATTTTTTCCGCGGTGCAGAGTTTTCATGGAATCCAAAAATTGCTATCATTCAGTAGTCATCATTTTGTATACATAGCTATAGATTTCAGAGGCTTCTTGTCCAACATGGCAGATTACTGATCCGCACTTGCAAATTCAAGGCGGTGATAAATCACCTTATATGCCTGGCGACAGTATTAAGTTCATATGTGATGGACCCACTGAAATGGTGGGGGACCCAACGTACAAGTGTCTCGCGGCGGACGAAGAAAAAGGCGAGCGATTTCCGAAGTGGGATCACGATGAGTTGCCGCATTGTAAACATGTTGACGTATTTGACTGCGAATTGAAGCTGAATTCGGGAGTGATTTCGAATTCCGAGGGCTTGAAACTGGGAGAGAGTGCGACGTTTCAATGTGCACAGCCCAATTACAAATTGTCACGTAAGTTGATTTCTTTATTCTTACAGTGGCGGACCTGATTCAGTGGCAAAAAATATATTATTTTCCTTCCGGGAAGCATCAAAAATGTAGCAAAATACCTCCCTCTCCAACTAAAAAACTCCGCTCAAATCGGAGCTTTATCACTTGGAAAGAGAGCTATTTTTCTGCATTTTTTGCTACTTCCCGGATGCAAAATGCTACGTTTTTGCCACCGGATCAGGTCCGGCACTGTATGTAAAAATTGTTTGCGCAAAAAACATTTTTTTAACTAGGCCACTGGACCTACGCCTAAAAAATAATAATTTTTATCCCCCAAAAAAATCCTTAATCCATTTTCAGATACCAACCCCGTCACCTGCATTAATTCCCAGACCCGTCGTCGACGCGCTTCCAACCGTTGCATTGCCCAATGGCAAGCTCCCGAGTTCCTTCAAATCGACCAACCTGCCACTTTTTACTGCGAACTCCAACCTGAATGCTCTGAACTAACGGTGGAATGGACAAGTCATCGAGAGCCTTCAACCTTGACCACTTTTCGAAGCAAGAACTCGGCGTTCGGCACAATAACTCGTGTGAAGAGTTCGGATAGCGGAAGCTACACTTGTGAAGTTCGAGATGTCAACAATGAGCTGGTGGATCAGGTTTCGGCCATTGTAAGGGTTGGAGAAGCTGATGAGATGATAACAACTCCGTTTCTTGTTAATACAAGGTAAGCGGATAAAGTCATCAAAAAGGGTTGCTACGACTTTTCGAGTCGGCAACGATTCGTGTCAACAATACTATGGATTGCGTTGGTTCGACGTTGTGCATTGGGGAGGCTAGGAGAAGCCTTAGTTAGCAGAAATAATAAGAATGGTCGGGTCCTAGGAAAAAGCCGACATATTGCAAGTCTTCGCAAGTCTCCGCCGAGCCTGCGCCAAGCGTTCGCCGATCATCCGACGGCTTTGCCAGGCTTTGTAAGCACTTCCTACATTGCAAAGCCCCCTATTGTGGAGACGTTGCAAAAGATAAGAATGTTTTTTTGCAAGGCACTCGCTCTGTGCAGAAACTATCAAGATTTTTGTCGCTTTCCCCTTCAAATCCAATGTTCTTTCAGCCCGGCCCCTCTCACTTCCCCGTTAACCCTTCCACATTTGGATTTTCCCATTCCGGAATGCATCGATCAACAGCCGATGCAACTCTCCTGCCTGCCTCAACTGGACCTCGAACGGTTGCCCTCCGGCTTCATTTCGCCTGTCTCCGTTCCATGGCCCACAATCTCCGATAACGATCCGAATATCCGGATTTCCACGGACCTGCCCGGATTAGGCTCCGCCCCTTTTACATTCACCGGCAATGAGGATGTAATCCATTGGATGGCCGAGGACATGCATGGAAGTCGAGCGGAGTGCACAACAAAAGTCGTGATTAACAGTAAGTTACAATTAAAAAAGTAACAAAAACTGTGAAAAGAAAAAAAAAATTATTATTTTTTTTTGAAGGTACCCAAATTTTTACAATTTTGATATTGCTAAAACTAGGCACAAGTTAGATTAATATCAATCGAATAATATTTCCACAAACAATCAGTCTTTTCCAAACAAAATTCGCCAAGATAAGTGAAAAACGCCTTCTGTCTGACGACCTCCTCATTTCGCATGATCTCTCATTGTCAGAAAAATATCACGTAAATGCTCTCGGTTGAAATTTCGAACTCAAATTTTTTTAGGATTGATTTACTCCTCTTGCTGAGTGTGTGAGCAAAATTTCAAGAAAAAATTTCATATTCGATAAAAGTTACAGTAATTTTTATTGAGATTATTTGGCGCTTTGTAAAGCTAATTATTATGCTCTGAGGGCAATTTATACAATAAAGAGGCGGAAAAATTATAAAAAGGTTTAGTTAAAGACTACAAAAATAAGTTTTGAGAAAAAAGAAGGCGGTTAAAACAACTTTTTTGCAGAAAACCTGCAATGATTAGCATATTACGGTAGTGCAATGTAAAAAAATATATTTACAACGTTAGTTAAAGGGTTACAAAATATTCTAAAGCCATTTTTCGATAATATGCACGGTCAGTAAAGAATTATTTCAATGTAAAATTAAAGAAAATTTCAGTTTTCAAAAGGAAAAGGCGAAATATAACGGAAAAATGAGAGAGAAGAGAGACAAATTTGAGAAATTGTGTAATTTGAAGGAAATTGGAAGAAAAATGTGTGAATTTTTATTTGAGGGGTTACAGCAGTCTTTACGAAGACGTATTTTACCTATCAATTTACTCGAAAAAATTCAAGAATAGCCATGGGGGACCAAGGTAAGCTTTTTTTTGAAATTTTCAAAAAAAAATCCGTATTTTAAAAAAAAATTGACATTAAAATAATTGTGGCGCTCCAAAAATCCCACTACAGTATCATATGAATCAAAAAATATCCAGTTTTCCCCCATTTCGATCACAAATATCTAGTGTAATATCAATTTTTGTTCAAAACCCTAATTTCTCCCTAATTTTTCTCCCAATTTCCCTCAAACTCCCACATAATAATTACAAAGCTAGAAAAAGTAGTGCTGGAAAAAAACATAGCAGTTAAATTTCACCAAGCTTCGAAGTGGATATGTTTGATCACCAGTATAACCTACAACAATGTTTTACATCCCGTGGGATCCGTTCGCTCTCTAAAGTCCACCAACGCTCTCCAAAGGCCTTATATGATATTTGGAGGCTATAGCAGAGTCTTAGCGGCAAAAGCGGCGTTCCACGAGTCGTTCGCACTGCTGACATTTTACCTCACAACACCATTCGAACCGACAATGACAGGGTTCGGTTTGCCATTCGTACTTGGTGTCATAGCCACGTCCGCAACATAATGTGTCGCATTCTTTGTCATTGGCGCATTCTCTGCCTCTTGTCCCACCAATTTCATTTTTGGGGTCAATTTCGCAATAGTCCGGCGAGTCCTCCAGAAACACCAAATCCGCCCGATTCGCTGGCATCGTGCTCAGTTGATATTCGTATTGAGGCAGCTGGTTGGTGGGGGCATTTACTTTGTAGGGATGGGCTGGCTGCGCGATATAGCGTTCAGTTCGGCTGACGGCGGGGGGAGTTCGGACAATAAGTTCGTTACTGTCGGGGGTTACGGTAACCTAAAAAAATTTAAGTTTAGTACTTAAAATGGCCTTATATATGATCAGAAATCATTTATGACTTCATTTCCCCTCATGTTTTCTAATTTCCACCCCTCGGCGACATTTTATACGACCAAACGCTTTTTTCCGAAATTATAATCAAAAATTTGAATATTCAAAAGTTTAAAATTTCCAAAAATCTCTAGTTAGAACCTTAATGGCACAATCTAACCATAGGCAACAGTTTTACATCTTCTAAGTGACATTTTATACGATGAAAAATGTATCTTAAATTTTTCGTATAAAATGTCTCCCACAACAAAAATGGCCAAATTTTCTGCCCTAAAGTCTTACAAAAAATATTCCCTCACCTGTTGAGCTCTTTCATATTTGATCTTCAAGTTTTTCGCAAATTCATCAATATCGGGTACCACTTTCCAGCAAGTCTTTGTAACACAGCTTCCACTGACTCCATGGCACTTGCACTTCGTTTTCATTGAGCTAGCGAGTACCTTCCTTCCAACGCGGTTGTTGTGTAAATTCATTTTCGCTCGGCTATCCAACTTTCGTTTTTCAGTTATATCGACAAATCGTCGACTGAATTGATTGCCATACTTGAGGTTGTCGGAGCAGCCGGACCAAATAAAATCCTTGGCGGGTTGGCGAGGTCGGTCGCCGCAGCCGCAATCGGGGATTAGGCCTTTGGCACAGGCTTTCGCCACGGAATGAGAGACGGCGCCCGCGGAGAGCGCGTACACATAGGCGGATTCTCGGCTGGCTACTGAAAATGATTTCATAAATATTAAGATTCAGACAGCTTTCATCGTATAAAATGTCACTTTTTGAGGAAAAGATATTTTAGGGCCAAAAATATGTAAATTATTGCCAAACGGCATAACAGAAGAGTTCTAACTATTAGTTACAGTCGTGTTTGTACTCTAAAATTTAGATTTCCCTTAACTAATCTACTACTACAGGGTCTTTCAAGAAACGTGAAGGAAAGTAGGAGGCGCCGAAAGTTATAGCCTCCTACTTTCCTTCACGTTTCTTGAAAGACCCTGTATAATATTTTTTCGCGATTTCGCAACTTACTATTCAACAGTGCGGTTCCAAAGCCATGTTTCGCGGAGCAATTCCATTTTTCATTCGAGAACTGCGTCTGGCATTCGTCCACAGCGTCTTTGAGACCATTGGCGACCGCTCGCATCGCGGATGGGTTGTGTTTGCAAAGCTCGAGTTGTTTCTTTGATAATCCGGGCAAAGAATTGCAATCAAAGTAGTGGGAGGAGGGCAATGGGGCAGAAGCCATTTGGGTTAGCATCCTAAAAGGTTTTTGGGTGAAATTTGGTTTTAGAAAATAAAAAAAATTGAAATTTTAATCTTGATACCTAAAATATTTCAACTAAAGATTGTTGAGTTTTAAATCAAATCCGGATTTTATGGAGTTATTAGAGTCTAGAAGAAGCATAAATCGCAAAGACTTGGGTAAAAAACTGAATTTTTCTGTTTACTTTCGGTTGTTACCTAAAATCACGAAAACTCCTCCGAGAGCTAAAGCAATCGATAAAATTCGATCGATATATTTGATTCAGGTCATTTAGAACTGAATCGATCTAAATGGCACGTGTGTACACGGTAAAAGTATAATTTAAATCAAAAATTTTAGTTTTGATGCCTAAAATAATATACTTTTTGCTCTACGGGCCCGAAGATCCAATTTCATTTTATAAAACTTGAATAAACTATGTACAATAGTCTTAAAGAATCGACCAAGAGTAAAATCAACTTACCACCAAGCCTGAACCACGTGTATAAACAGGAAAAACGGCAGGAGTCGTGTGTAAATCATGGTCCCTGCAACTGTGGTTCGTTATTATCAAATCTGAGTGTATCCTTACGGAAGAATCATGAGAAACGAGCGGAAGGAATCACATTTTCGACAGTATAAAAGCCCCCCACGGACAATGGAGGACAATTGAACCGGTTAGGGAGCGAATTTTCAATTTTTCGAGCGCCAAAAGCAAAACTCCTTTATTATTTTTGTTTTATGTAGGACCAAACTCATAAACTTTGGGCTGATTCAGCTCGTGAGGCATGCTACGGGCGGATTGTGGTTGTTTTTGGGGCGTTTATGAGACCACACACTGGTCAAGACTTCATTTTGACATTGTTTTAGGGTTTAGACATTGTGTAGGCCAAAAAATTCCTTCAAAGACAAAAACATGTCTACGGAAAGTTGGATATCAGTTTGAGAAGAAATTATGAGCTCGGAAAACATCTGGAAACAGAGGTGTGACAAAAGTAATATAAATTTTAGGCCTGATGAGCATGATTTAGATACCATATGCGAGAATTTCGAGGAAATAGTAAAAATTAGGTGAGACTGGGCAAAAAGAAGATTTATTTAACAAGGAAAGTACTTTTATGGGGGCTCCTACTTTTTGACGGGACATATCTCAAAAAATCCGAAAAAATGTGCTGATCAAGGATATATAAATCTTAGCTGCCCATTTTAGGTTTTCAGGGGTGAAAATGCCAAAAAACTGGCTTAATTTCCCTACAAAAGGCGCAGGCATTCGAAACGATAAAAAGCGCAGTCGGTCTCTTCCTTCGGAAGAGAGCGGTGTGGCCGAGTGGCTAGTGCCGTAGTCTGGGAATCAAGAGGGGGAACGCCGCACGGGTTCGATTTCCCTTTTGGGCTGAATCAACTTTTTTTGAAGTTGAAGGTCGGAAAAATAAATTTTTGGGCCAAGACTGATTTATTACGTTTTAGAAACTCAATAAACATCATTTTAAGCCAAAATAAAAATTGTAAACTTGTGAAAAATTAAGCGAAAAGGGGTTCATATAGGACTTTAAGTCAACTTCCGATTTAGTTTTCACCCCTAAAAACCTAAAATGGGCAGCTAAGATTTATATATCCTTGATCAGCACATTTTTTCTGATTTTTTGAGATATGTCCCGTCAAAAAGTAGGAGCCCCCATAAAAGTACTTTCCTTGTAAAAAAAGGTAATGTAAGATTTCCGAATTGGAATGGTTACATTGGGAATTTTTAGCATCGGATATATTTTGTCGTATAAAATGTCACAGAGCCCTAAATTCACAGTAACGGTGGAATTCGCACGACTTGCTGAGGAAATATCTGACTTTTCAGTTCACCCTGAGGGGTTTAGGATTCCAATTCAGGAACTTCTACGCTCTGTTTACCTAAGTCGCCGGAATTAAATCCAATGCTAATATAAGGAGAAAACAATAGAAAAAATGACTGAAATTGGAAGGGAAGAGGTTAGGACGGTGAATTATGACTAGCCACAGGGTCAGAAAAAGTTGTATTTTTCAAATTAGCGAAGCTTGGGTCTAAAATTCTTTTGCGTATAAAATATCACCTAGTCAAAAAATTGAAATTTTTTTTGAAAAATCTAGTCTTTTGGTAGAAAATGAAGCAGAAAACAAGACGATCCGAAGCCAAGACGTTTTGAAAACAGTGAGGCGGCACTTGCGTCCCATTAAGTTTTTATGTTCGGCTTGTTACCGATTTCCGTAAAACCATTAAAACGAATTTCCAGCGGTGAGAGAATTAGGAGTGTCCGGAAAACAGTTGCAAATTTCAAAAGGAGTCTTTAAGGCGCTTTGGATACATTGAAAAGAAGATTTTTGTAAAATACGGAAACGCTGAGCATAATTTACAATTATTTTTCATATATAATGTCGCCAATTAGAGTTTTTGTAGGCCAATTTGGAGGTGATTTAGCGGAAAGACAACGCTCAAATCATCAATCAAAAAAAATTTTGATGAGAAAAGATTTTTCGTATAAAATGTCACCGACGGCAAAATTGGTGGAAGTGGCAAAAATAGCAAATGTATGACAAAAGGAGAAGAAAAAATGGAAGAAAGGAAAAAGTAAATCATAATTGATCGTTTTTTCGTATTTTAGAGATTTTCGAATAAAATGTCACCTCTGGAAAAATGAGACCTCTGTAACAAAAAAAATTTTAAGGGTACTATAAATTCATTGTCTAGAGGTTTCATCTCCAGATTCACCCTCAAAAATATTCAAAAAAAAAAACATTTTATGAGCTGCTAACAACTTCTCCGTCCCCTCCAAACCCTTGACCATGCCGCGAAATTAATGGCCCGCAAATTCCTCCCCAATGTTTACAGCAAAACAATATCTCTCGGATGAGACTATGATACGAGAATGGGAACCGTGACATCTCCCTATAAAGCTCCATTCAACGGCGTTGAATAGAGCCCCGCTTCAAAGCGGGGTCTGGGGAAACCGATCCCAACTTTTGGACGCAATCCACTCCCTTTTTACCGGAGGGCCCGTGCAGTGGAAAAAGATATCATAAACCGATGCGCCTATCTTGGGAGCGTTGGCGGGCTTGCGCAACGGGCGTGCAATGCAATGTGAGGTGCAAATTGACTGTAATAGAGATGAGTGGAGAGGATGGACGAAAATTAGACGCTTGTTTATATAGCAGATATGAAATTGAATTAGGAATACGTAAATAAAGTGGGGAAAATTGTAATTTTTAGGTTAAAAAGGGGACGTTCTTAACAGCGAATTTTAAGAGGCCCAAGAATGACTCATATGTTAATGGAACTTGATCCCAAGCTACGTTAAATTTTTCCATGAAAAATGTGGGATTGTTAGCTTTCCCTTTGCAAGAGACACCCGAGGTTTTCAATCTGAAAGGCGCCAAAATTTTTATTTTTTTCAAATTGCTAGGCAAGAAAATAGACTGTTTTTATGCTAGGAAAGCCATTTGTTTAGAAATAATAAGGTACTAAAGACTTTTATGATCGACTTTCCTAATTTTTACTAGTGTCTCGGCTGCAAAAATCGCTGAACATCTCGGCTATGCAAAGAAAAATATGAGGATAAAATGAGTTCCTCGCTATGAGATCTGCCATCTCAAAACTCTTACATTTCTAAAATTCGATGGTGACTATACATTTCAATAAAAATCCCCAAAAAATCACAATATTTCCCCCGCTTTCCGCTAGCTTCTAACCCCGTCGAAAATTGGGCGGCGACTGCGAAAAATGCGCAAAAATTGAGGGTTGAGAAACAAACCCAGGCGGTACAATAAAAACAATACTATAATTTGGAACGGATTTACGATCGCGGGAAATGTTTTTCCGAGGTGTGCCATGCGCGGCTTTTCGCCTTTACGGCGACAATAAAAAATTGTAAATGAAGGAGTGGAGTAATTTGAAGGGAGACTGTGAAAAAGAGATTCGAATGTTATCTATGGGATCTGATGCGGATCGGTGAGGGACTATGGGAAACGAGGAGAGAAGGTCAGCGAAAAAATTGAAGTAGAAATCTTGAATTTCCGTCGGATTTTTTTTACATTTTTCTTCGAATTTTGCTTGCTTTTCCCACAAATAGGCCACAAATCAATTCAGGAAATTTTAAGCTCGCGCTTTGCAGCAGCGGCCGTGATTTTTTGAAATCTTGGGAAATGGATCTGTAACTTTGAACAGACGGTAAATTTTTTGAGACCTGTTCGAGATTTTGAGCTTGTGATTTGCAGAATCTGTCTAAAATTTTCGGTCAGGAATTGGCCAAAAAGTATGATTTTCTCTATGGAGCCTTAAAAATCCTCCTGATTTTATGCACTCTCTCGAAAAAACGTCGTGGAATACTAGTCTGTTCGTCAAGTCGCTAGAGTGATTTCGGCGGCATGCACTGTGCAGACAAAATCAGAGTGCGAGCGACAGCCCCAAAAAAGCCTACTGCACGGTGCAAGGAGCCAGAAACTGCACAGTGCATGTCGCCAAAATCACTCCAGCGACTTTGCGAACAGACTAGAATTTCACGATGTTTTTTTCGAGAAAGTGCATAAAATCAGGAGATTTTTAAGGCTCCATCGAGAAAAATCATACTTTTTGGCCAATTTCTGACCGAAAATTTTAGACAGCTTCTCTAAATCACAAGCTCAAAATCTCGAACATGTCTCAAAAAATTCACCGTCTGCTCAAAGTTACAGATCCATCCCGCAAGATTTCAAAAAATCCAAAGAATGTGGATCCCGAAAATTACATAAAAAAGCCAATCGGCAAGTTTTCGGAACAAAGTCCTTGATTCGAAAATTTTGGGGAAATTTATGAGGGCGCATTTGATTATGGGTGTCGCAATTCTCAGCGTCGGAAGCAAAAACTCTTTGCAAATGGGATAGAAATTTTCATAATCCAAGGAAAACAATTTTGAGCGAGAAAATTAGAGTATTCAAGCAAGAAAAGCATATAAAATTACCCAAAAATGCAGCTGCAAATAGCCGAAACGGTCGGATAACCGTAAAAATGGCAGAAAATATTGCCCGTTTTGGGCGATGCGGCCTTTCCAGCGCCAGAAGCGGTTGTAAAATGTTTTTATGGCGATCGGAAACTACAGTCCGCATATGACGGCAGCCATTGCGCAAGGCCAATATTTTCTGTAAACAGCGATTGCATGACATTTTACGACCGATTTTTGGCGCATGGTGTTGTTAGAACCATGACTTTTTATACAGAAAAAAAAGAGCAAGGTACAGTGGGGGACCTCATCCAGTGGCAAAAAACGTACCATTTTGCATCCGGGAAGTATCAAAAATGTGGCAAAATGCTTCCCTTTCCAAGTGAAATAGCTTTGTTTTGAAGGGCGTGCCCTTTTCCTCACAAAAAGAGCGGGCGCGCTTTTGAAATCTGAGTTTTTTCACTTCGGGAGGGAGGTATTTTGCTACATTTTTGGTACTTCCCGGATACAAAATGGCACGTTTTTTGCCGCTGGATCAGGTCCCCCACGGTAAAGAACGCCGATAATCTCGGCTGCTACTGCAAAGGTCGACCTAAAATTTTAAAGAATTGATGTAAAACATACGCAATTTATGAGAAAATATTTTGAAAAAATCGCATCTTGAACGCTGACTTGGAAGAATCAAATCATCACATTTTAGGGGTATCTTGAATGCCAACATTATACAAAGTTATCCGAAAACTCCTCTATTTTGTGACCTCCAAAAAAAAACAAAATTCCTTGTAGATTCCAAAGACTTACGTGTCAAATGTCCCGATCACCATGTCGAGCAAGTCTACAACTCCGTTGGCCCCGAGATTGCCGTCAACTTGCCGCCAGTTGAAACAGAAGGCGGTGGGATCAACGTGAATGTGCAGTATCATCCGCCGAACGGCAGTCAATGGCACTTGGATCGTCCGCTGATCGTGAACGTCAGCGTGATCGACGAGAACGGCAGCCAGGCCTGGTGCCAGTTCAGCTACATGGCCGAGACGGCCGACTGTCCCTCGTGGCAGATAAATTCGCGTTACAAGTGCACGCAAAAGTCGAACATTACGATTTGCAGTGCGTCCGTGTGTCCGACCCGCGAGATTCCGCCCAACATCCAGGAGCTGGTCTGCGTCCCGGGGCATGGCTGGCGCATTCTCGAGGAGAACATTGACTCCACGTCCATTACTCACCTCGGCTCCGCACCGAAAATGCAGAGCGCCCCGATCTGCGTCAGCGAGATGATGTCGAGTGTGACGTTGGTGCTGAATTATCAGCTGAGCAACGCGGATTGGCAGTGCAGCCGGGACTTCTTGGAAAGGGTAAAAAATGTAGCTAGCGGTAGTAAAAATAACATACGGCTAAAAACTAGCGAAAAATAGAGGGTTTAAGTATACACAGTGCGGGTCAGGATCCAGTGGCAAAAAGACATTCCCATTGCGTTCAGGAAGCATTCTGAATACCTCCAAATACCTCCTTCTCTGACCGGAAATAGCGTTCTTTGGAAGAGAGACGAAGAAAGTTGTTGGTTTCAAACGAAGAAAGAGGAAAGCAATCCCGCCTCATGCTTTACTCTCTCTTCTTTCTAACACCACAACTTTCACATTCACTCTTCAGAAGAACGCTATTTGTCAGAGAGGACGGTTTTTGGAGGTATTCGGAATGCTTCCACGCCACAATGGGAGTACCTTCTGGACACTGGATCCAGTCCCGGACTGTATAGCAAACCGCTTTTCAGATCCGCTCAAAAATGAGCCAATTCCTCGAAGAGCAATGCACGGACGTTGGCTGGACTTACAGCGGCGCTGATATGGCCAACGCAAGCAAGTTGGGTCTCAATTTCACCACGCATAATCGCGACACTCCCGCTGTTTTGGGATGTATCGATTCCATTACGGGGCATGTCCCGCTAATTCCTCCGCCCTGTCCGAATTCGGGAGTCCGCCGAAACACCACCAAGTATCATCTGCGTTGCCCTACCGGCTGGGGAGCCAATAATCGATTGAGATGCGGTGAGAAAAAGTTCTGATTTTCTGCGGAAAATGGAGATTTTTTGGGGAAAAATCTATTTTTCCAGAAAAATGCCCTCCTGGCTACCACGTGGACAATGAATCCTGTGCTCCGTGCCCTCGAGGCACGTATAATGTAAATCCCGAGTTCACCGACTGCATCGCATGCCCTGAGGGTCAGACCACGCTCTCTGATGCGGCAATGGGCGAGCACATGTGTGTTGCGCAATGCCCGCCAGGTTTTTTCAGTCGTCGCAGCGGTCTGGCACCATGTTCGCCCTGTCCGCAAGGAACTTATCAACCGGATTCGGGCCAAGAAGGATGCTTATCGTGCGGAGATGGATTGACCACGACTGAATTAGGGACTAAAGACGTCAATGATTGCAGATGTAAGCGAGTTTTTGGATTTTAAAATTTAGTTTTGACTTGTAAATAATATTTATTTTTGATTTTCAGCCCAATGCCTAACTGGATTTTATAGTCCATATGGAGTGGAGCCTTGTGAGCCATGCCCGATTGGGCATTATAATGAAGGAGAGGGATCAATGATGTGCCATCGATGCCCGCCTGGATTTACAACTGCGAGTGTTGGAAGTACAGGGCCAAATGAATGTCGAGGTAAGCCATAATGGTTTTATTGATCAGAAAGGCCAAAAAAATCAATTCTCGTTACCCTACAGTGGGGGACCTGATCCAGTGGCAAATAACGTACCATTTTGCATCCGGGAAGCATCAAAAATGTGGCAAAATGCTTCCCTCTCAAAGTGAAAAAAAACTCAGACTTCAAACGCGCCCGCTTTTTTTGTGAGGAAAAGGGCGCGCGCCCTTCAAAACGAAGTTTTTTCACTTGGAGAGGGAAGCATTTGGCCACATTTTTGATACATCCTGGATGTAAAATGGCACGTTTTTTGCCACTGGATCCGGTCCCTCACTGTATGTTTCTAGGTCCTTTTGAACAAGAAACTAGAAAATTTTAGCAATGAAAACCAGAATTTTGTATCAAAAAGTATCGCAGAGCCATAAAATTGAATCTCGAGCATAGTGGAACCTCGGCAGGCCAGATGAAGATCCGAATCCGGCAATTCATAAGTGAAATTCGTTACAGGTTATCCTCAATTTTACAGCCTCAAATTATGAATTTCACTTACGAATTCCCGGATTTTGGGTCTTCCTCTGGTCTAACGAAATTCCACTATGCTCAAAATATTATTCAAGCTCAATTTTATGGTTTTTCGATACATTTTAACACCAAATTCTGGCTTTCCATCAAAAATCTTTCGACAAATATTTTCAGTGAGTTCCTGTTCCTCTGCGGGCTGCTCAAACCGCGGCGAATGCCTCGGTGATATTTGCAAATGCGACATCGGATTTACTGGCAACACTTGCGATGTGCCCTTCAACCTTTGCAACGCTTCGTTCTGTCTGAACAATGGAGTATGCAATTTCAACGAAAACGATGGGTCTTTTTGCACCTGTAGCGAAGGATTCAGTGGGCGACGGTGCGAAATTGACATGGCAAAAATGACGCAGCGTTTCAAGCGAAAAGCGGGAAGATGGAGCTCTAGCAGCAGCCAGAGTTGGCATCAAAGCTCGTGGTTCAATTCGAGCTCCACTGGAGACAGTAAGTTTTAGAAAAATCGCACTGAAACACATGATAAGACTGTTTTAAGTCAAATCGAACGTTACCAGAAACGGAACGTCGTCAATTGGGGAAAAAGACGATTGGGGAGACTGAAAAGAAGTATTTTTCTTCGATGTAAGTGTCGAAATTAGAATAATCGATGGCGCTGAACTCGAAAATGACATTCATTTCTTTTGATCGTTACTACTCTGCTTAAGTAGTACTGTAAAGTTAGTAATTTTTTGAATTTTTTTACAAATACTAGATTTAGGGGTTTTCGATAGTGCTGATTCCGAAAATCTTATTTATTTTTTTCGGTGCACATTGAAAACCCCTAAATCCAGTATTTGTGAAAAAAATTCAAAAAATTACAAACTTTATAGTACTACTTAAGCAAAATAGTAACGATCAAAAAAGTGAATGTCATTTTAGAAATCAGTGTCATCGATTATTCTAATTTCGACACTTACATCGAAGAAAAACGATACTTTTCAGTTTCTCCAATTGTCTTTTTCCCCAACTGACGACGTTCCGTTTCTGGTAACGTTCGAGTTGACTTAAAATAGTCTTGTTATGGGTTTCAGTGCCAATTTTCTATCAACTAAAAAAATCCATGATCTCCTACTACAATACAATTTTCCTATTATTTCAGCCGAATCTCCGGAAATTCGTTTTGCCCCGACCACCAAAGCTAAAACAACATTAATTCCGCGCACAACTACCCGCCACCGGCCTCACACAACCATCCCTACAACCACTCAGACTCCAGTTGTAACAACTGAAAGTGTTGCGACTACACTTGGAACTACAAGTCAGCAAATAATACCAATCTCAGCAAGTTCCCAAACCTCAGTCGATGGCTATTGTCAGCTCAACGACTGCTATGATGGAAAATGCAGCAGTGAAGCGAATATTTGCAATTGCAACGACGGATTCAAACGGGATGGTACTTTGAAGCGGTGTATTCAAGACAAAAGCTGTCGGAATTTGGGGATCTGTGTGAAAAACAATACAAAAGAGGTAGACGGAGATTGGGATACGGGAAAATGGTAGGTTTAATTTATTTGGAATGGCTTTTTGAAGACTTTTTACATTATACTAGACAAAAAACATCGGAAAGGTACATAAAACACCGTAAATGCCTTTAAAAATTAATATTTGTACTTGGTACTGTAGTCTCTGGGAGATACCACCAAACCGCGGCCTTTTCTTGCTCCTCTATAGACAGTTTCTATTATATCGATCACCTCCTGAGCCTCTTCCATAGGCCAATTGATCTTATTGTTGTTACCTGTCCCCAAATCCACCATGATGTGCTTGTTTCGGAAGAAGAACATGATCGTACATGGGTCGTACAGCTCGTACATTGTGTTAAAATCGGGGGTTTCGGTGGTATCGACCAAGTAAATCACGGCAAAGTTCTTCACGAGATTCTGGATCTTGTGTAACGTCTGAAAAAGCGAAATAAGCGACAGGATCTCAGAGACACCTTATTTTGCGTGTCTACGAACACATAGAACATCTAAATAACAAAAACGAAAAAAATCAATATTAACTTACCTCATCCATAACCATGCAAGCCGGATCCCAATCATGGCCAAAACGAATCACAACTACTCGATCCTCCTCTGATAGAATGGCCTGGTCCACTTGCCAGCCATTGTGAAGATGAGGGAGAAGATACGACATTTCTGCAAAAGAAAAACCAATCCTTCTCCAAAGCTAGGCGAAAATTTGAAACGAAAGCACGGAAATTATGTTATTACTGATTAACAAAAAGCTACAGCAATAAAAGACGCTGCAACGTGTAGAGAAATATCAACTTCTAACACTAGCAGAGCTCTCGCTGCAAATTTTCTTTGCAAAGAAAAAAGCTTGCGAAATTTCCGGAAAAACAGGGCAAGACTTGACGCATGTGTCAACTGTCTCATTTCTCCATAACTTCTCGGGAAAGTACACATACAGTATAAAAAAGTAATCCTTCTGATCAATGAAGCCATAACGAACCGTTTCTTACCAAATTTACTTGCAAAAAAATGTGAAATTCAACAAGAAGTTGGACAAAACAAGGCCAATATTGGGCTTAAGGCACAGGATTCACAGCTCAAAAACAATAAGACTCTTGGCAATTCATCATTCGAAGGCTTGTATCTGTTCATAACCGAGCTAATAGAATATGGCAACGATATCAAGCACGTTCATGGAACGAAATCAGTCAAGTTTACCATTGAGGACTACAACAATATAAGAAAAGACCTAATCAGCAGAAAATAGTGGGCTAAACGCTGCTGCGTTCTTCACGAAGTTTCTTGGCGGCGTCATGGACGTAGTTCAGGAAGTAGGGACCGCCTTTGCTAACCATCCAGTTGTAGGCGGGGCCGGGAATGACAGCTTTTGGATGATCGTAATAAATGAGGACATAGTCAAATCTAAAAGCGTAAGACTTGAAGTATAAACCACTTCCTTACCCTTGGTTTTCATATTCTTTGTGAGGACGGACTCTGAGAGTCGAGGAGTAAGTTTCAACCCGCACTGAGTATTTGTCTGCTTCTGATGTGGGATGTTCTTCTTCTGTGAGGACCTTACTCTCAATTGTGTAGATTCCACTCTTGCTCCATCGTTTCTCACGCCGATAGATGTATACTCTCGGATTTAGGGGTCTTGGGAATCGATGGAGCCAGCGGACAATATCGATTGTTTCATCAACTGACTCGATCACCTAAAACAATGTAATTCTAATACTTCTTTCGGGAAATTTAATCCGCTTTAATATCAGACAAGTTGACAGGTCCTAAACTTCGAACAAAAATCAAATTCAGACTTACTTCAAGTTCAATGACATGAGGATCCCACTTTTTCCTGTAATTATCATCCATTTGGGCGTCTACAAAGTCTTGAGCGCTGATGTCGTCGTAAGTCCCGCAACATCGGTATTCATAGGTGTCTAGATCGGGGAGCCATCTCCTATGGACGGTGCATCGATGGTCATTGTAAAGTTTTTCCCACTTTAATTGCCCAAAGTCCTCGACTTCATGTTCGAATGAAGTAAAAGCCGGGTCAGCGTTTTCTCTTATTTCGTTTGGGTCGATTTCTATCGTTGTTGGGGCAATATTTTCTTTCCTATCATCCTTGTGCCCACTGCAACATGAGACTTCTTGTTTCTTCTTCTTCTCATCCTCATTTAGAGTGGAAACTGCGGCGAATGAAAAGACGAGGGCCCATTTTTTGTGGTTGAAAGGTGGTGGCGTTGGTTGGGTGACAACGCTGTTCCCCTTGGTGCTATATTGTCTATACCTCTGTCGATGAAAGGGATTGCATTTGTGGAGGTGCGGGCGAAAAATGGTGCAGAGACGACGGACACTACTCATTTTCTCTTCATATGGGTCTGCAACACTAAAGTTATAAAAAACATGGTCCGCGATAGATCTAAACTAATACAAGTCAACAAATATCAATAACAGATCCATAAAAATTCCAATAAGAATCAGATATTCTCGGTGGCCGACCAATAAAATCATCGAAAACATCCAAATTATTGTATTATTAACGACTTTATACACGTTATAACATATGGAATGATATTCTAAATACAAATTATTTATGCTGCTCTCTTCTGGACAGCGGCATCACATGCTACGACCTTCACCCGATCAACGGGGCCTTCAATGGCGCGGAAGGAGTCGCGGAATTCCACACTATTCATCAAGAAAGTCCAGACATTATCACAGAAGCGGTATGCTCGTAGTTTTTCGGCCTAAAATTCAAAAAAATGGTACCAAAAATCGGCGACATACCTTGAAAGTCGTCTTATTCTTCAGTCTATTGCTCAATGCGTGGTTTATACACTTGTCGAAGGTTGCCATAACACGTTGTTGTAACTGTGGTGGGATGTGGCCATCTCTGACAAACTCGTCCAGAACCTGCTCTAGGGCAATGCCCAGAGTGGTGGAGCGGTACATTTGATAGGACATGGTAATTACCTAAACAGTTACATCAATTGCTTTACAAAACCAAAAGAAGTTTAACTTAATGTTACACTAGACACATCTAGTATAACATCAGCACAAGAACACATAAAAAAGAGTAGATATATCGTTAGTATGATCAACCGGACTTCGAAATATCATAAACGACTAGTTATAGCATATTATTTCAACAAACTTAACAATAATTTTCAACGGGTGTCAAAAAGTAAAAAAAAAGTGTAACAATTACAACTCCTCAAGTTGTTGAACATCATTTTCTTCAACATGATCCTCTTCAACTTGGATTTGGCTCTCCTCGTATTTGAAGACCCGAATAAGTCCTCCGGCACAAGCAGTGAAGATTAATGGAATATTGTTCACCGTAGCTATTGTGAAGTCGAATAACTCGGCGGCCGCGCCACATTTGAACTAAAAATTAGTCAAGTTATCTTCTTTATCTTCTGTGATTCCTAAAAATCGAAAAGAACAAAGAAATAAACAACTTACAAGTAAAGGCTCTCCACTTTTTCCATCCCAACACCTTATGGCGCCATCAATACAAGCCGAAAGGATTCTAATTTTATCGGCGTCTGGCCTCCACCATGCGCATTTCACGACCGTCATGTCATCATGAGCGCATTCATGTCGAGCCTGACCGGTTTCGTAGTCGTATACCACCAGCATCCCGTTATTTGTTCCAATAGCCAGCCATGGATAACCTGGAGCAAACTTGATGGTTTCAACGCTGTTTTCTTCCTCGGCGTTCTAAACAACACATCCAGATTATTACGTCAAAAGTATCAATACACTCTAAAAGATCTAAAAATGATGTAAATTTACCTCAACTACACCAAATCTTGATACCGACTTCATATTTGTGGTGTTGATTAGATGTGTAACTCCATGTTCAGTTCCAACTGCGGCCAATGGAAGCTCCGGATGGACATCAACTGCCGTCGCTGCTCCTTTGAGACTTAATGTAGAATAAGAAGAGTCTTTTAGGGCCCATAACCTTACACTGCCATCTCCATAGATGGCCAGGAGATTCTGAGCTCCTGGGAGAAGTCGCGCTGCCGAGCATGGGGCATTTGTCTCGGTAATAATGGTCTAAAAGGCATAGAGAATAATTATTAGAGCAATTGGAGAGCTGATTTATCCAAAAATTTTTAAAAATTTTACCTTCACCTTCTCCACCTGCTTTTTGCTCAACAAGAACACATAAATCTGTCCTGACGAAGTCCCCGCAAGCAAAATGTCGGCTTGAGGGTGCCATAGCGTCCATTCAAGATCGTCGCAATAATCTACCTAAAAATAGATAAGAAACAATCAAAGAAACGCACGTCATACATCTTTTCTCCAGTTTGAGCATCAAAAATTTGTATCTTTCCCGACATATCGGCGGTTGAGAACAGAGTATTCGTTCCATTAAAAGCGACACTTACTACAGAGTCGCTGTGTTCATTGATCTTGATGTGAGGAAGATTGTCTAAACTCAGGAAAGCAATAATTTTGAGACATTTGCCTTACCATTCTGTCCAATCTCCTCGAGATTCCAAAAAACCGCTAAATCGTCTTCTCCACCGCTTAAAAGCCTCTTCCCATCAGTTGAAACGGCCAGAGCAAAGACGTCTTTGGAGTGCCCATTCAACGTTACCCACGACTCATCCGGGACCTCTTCCATGTTCTCTAAATTGGGAAAATTATATTATTTTAGGCAAAAACCTTACCTGGAAGCTCTTCATTGTCCGCATCCTGTTCTATAGGCTCTTCTTCAACAAAATCCATCGCTAAAAACGTGATGGAAAACAAACAAACAACCAATCAAGGAGAAACAAGGAAAAAACAAAATTTTCTCGCGAAAGAAAAAAAGATTTGCAAAAGAGAAAGACTTGACGCAAATAGGGAGGAAGACTTGGCGCATTGGGAGAAAAGAAGAGAATGAAGGGGAAAATGAAGAGGAGGGTTGATGAAGGGTACTGTAAAGCCTTTGCTTCACTTTTACTTGTAAATTTTAACGTATTTTCTGATTATATTTTAGTAGCACAATGGATATTCAAAATTTTAAAAAGTCTGGAAAAGTAAAATTCTTGTGCAAAACAAGATTTGACGTTACGTCATACCTGACAGATTTATCCTAAGACTCGCTAAAATACGGATTTTCACAATTTCTATTTATGGTGTAATTTAAAAAAAAATTTCAGCTGTATTTGTCTTGATGGATATAGCGGAAACTACTGTGAGATTGAACCCAAAGCCGACGGATGTTGTACCAAGAATTCAGACTGTCTTGGTGGCAAAACTTGTTTATTCGATACAAACAGCAATTGCGGGCATTGCTACGAGAAATGCGATGATAATCACTATTTGAAAGACTGCAACAAGCCAGCTTACAATAAGTTCAACGAGACCAAATGCAAAAATGGTGGGAAATTGGCGTATCTTGAGGACAAACACATGGTTTATTGCGATTGTCAAGGGGATGGAAATGAAAGTGAGTTTTAGAATTCCTAGGGATAGTAGGGTACAGAGATTGCCACGGTCAAAATTTTGGCTCCGGCTCCGGCTCTTAGCTCCCAGAGCCGGAGCCGGGGCCAAATTTGCAGCTCCGGCTCCGGCTCTTGGCTCCGCGCAAAATTTAAAAAGGCCTCCGGCTCCGAAACCCGGCTCCTATGCAAAATGTTTTTTTTTAATATTTTTCCAAAAATAAAAGTTACTAGTGCCAGAAATCATATAGCCAACGTTTTTGCAGTCAAGCCACATCCTCCGCAGTCTTTTTCAAGCAAGTTGGTTTAACAAGATCACGAAATTTTTACTTTTCTGATCGCTGGGAAGCCTGGCTCCGACTTTGGGCTCGGGAGCCGGAGCCGACCCCAAAATTTCCGGCTCCAGCTCTGGCTCCCGGCTCGGAGCCAGAGCCGCTCAGAGCCGGAGCCAAGAGCCGGCTCCGGAGCCGTGGCAATCTCTGGTAGGGTACCTCAATTATAGTATATACTCCGCCGATTTAATTTGGACCAGTCTGAAACTTGAAAACGGTTATAGATATGAACTCCATTCCTTCAACAAGTTTGATCACCAGTCGACTCTATGTTCAACTGTAGCCAAATATTTCCTCTGCCTTGAGGCACAAAAAAAAATATTCGAATTTTGTAATTTTTTCTGTCGAAAAAGTTTGGACCAGGGCAACAAAAATTTGCATTTCTTTATCACTAGGTGGGGTGAAACCATGATAACTTGTGAAAATAATTGTGATTCCCTGCTGATACTAACAAGCAGGGAATTCCGAGATTAGCGCTGTGTTTAAGGCCCTGAGGGCAATTTTTAAGAAAATTCCCAAAATTCCAGAATTTTTCCGCCCTGGCGCTTGAGTAAGAAGCGTAAATCGTCTTAAATTAGTTTCTGTGCAAACACAGTATCGTGTACATCTAATTGGATGACGTTATAAAATAGTTTTACATCTAAAATTTTTTGTTCTTGGAGGATTTGCGACTTTGAAACTTGGGTTGGCGATAATAGTAAGGCCACTGCGCTCAAACAACTGCTAAATCATACAGCGTTTTTCTTGGGACATATGAGGGGCATCCCACACTTTCCTTCTGTGTCAAAACAATATCCAATTTACACGCGACAAATGCACAATAGACCGAAGACTTTGATAAAAAAAGTTTTTGTTGGCCCAGTCGAAACATGTTGAGAAAAAACAATTTAATGTGCATCAAATTAAGTTCTATCAGGTCTGGCTAGCACCTCATAGCGGAATAAACGTACAATGTACATATAGGAACATCTTTTTTCACTTTGGAAAACTTTTAAGTAAGCACCCTCTTCTTAAATTTTTTTATCAAAGTGTTCGGTCTATTGTGCATTTGTCGCGTGTAAATCGGATATTGTTTTGACACAGAAGGAAAGTGTGGGATGCCCCTCATATGTCCCAAGAAAAACGCTGTATGATTTAGCAGTTGTTTGAGCGCAGTGGCCTCACTATTATCGCCAACCCAAGTTTCAAAGTCGCAAATTATCCAAGAACAAAAAATTTTAGATGTAAAACTATTTTATAACGTCATCCAATTAGATGTACACGATACTGTGTTTGCACAGAAACTAATTTAAGACGATTTACGCTTCTTACTCAAGCGCCAGGGCGAAAAAATTCTGGAATTTTGGGAATTTTCTTAAAAATTGCCCTCAGGGCCTTAAACACAGCGCTAATCTCGGAATTCCCTGCTTGTTAGTATCAGCAGGGAATCACAATTATTTTCACAAGTTATCATGGTTTCACCCCACCTAGTGATAAAGAAATGCAAATTTTTGTTGCCCTGGTCCAAACTTTTTCGACAGAAAAAATTACAAAATTCGAATATTTTTTTTGTGCCTCAAGGCAGAGGAAATATTTGGCTACAGTTGAACATAGAGTCGACTGGTGATCAAACTTGTTGAAGGACTGGAGTTCATATCTATAACCGTTTTCAAGTTTCAGACTGGTCCAAATTAAATCGGCGGAGTATATTAGGTTGATGCATAATTATCCGTCGTTTTTCAACAAATCGCCCGATTGGCTTTGTTTTGTCGAAGAGTTCGTGGGGGTGACCCGTCCAGCCAATTTCCATACCTTTCCAAGCTTTTTGAGACGTCGAACGATCGTTGACTTCACCGCAAAATAAAAACGCCGGTTAATTATGCATCAACCTAATATTTTTCAGTGTACATTGGAGAGTATTGTGACCATCGTTTGAGTCGATGTCACAAGGAACACACATCTCGGTTGATTTGCGAAAATGCCGGAAAATGTCGTGACGACGGCACTCGCTCGTATTGTGAATGCCCTGAGGGTTTTACCGGGGAAAGATGCGAAACAATGATTGATCACTGTGATCTCGCTAAGAATGGAGGATGTGTTGCTGAGAATACGGCAGAATACATTCCACATCATCTCAGCTGTTATTGTTACTGTAAAGAGGGGTATTTCAACGAGACTTGTGCGGTACGTAGGGGGTTGGACATGTGTCTAATTTAGAGGAAATTTAGGACGAGATCGATCCCTGCAAGGAACGAGGAGAGGATTGGTGTGGGAATGGAGTATGCCAGTCCGATGGACCGGGTTATGCCGGGAAACATGAATGTGTCTGTAATGGGAAGAACTTGCTTTGTAAGTGTTATAGAATGAGTGCAGTGGACCTTACCCAGTGGCAAAAAAAACGTGCCATTTTGCATCCGGGAAGTATCAAAAAATGTAGCAAAATACCTCCCCTTCGAAGTGAAAAAACTCCGATTTCTAAAGCGCGCCCTTCAAAGAGGAGTTTTTTTAGTTGGAGAGGGAGGCATTTTGCTACATTTTTTGATACTTCTTGGATGCACAATGGTACGTTTTTTGCCACTGGATCAGGTCCGTCACTGTAGCAGTCTAAGTCACATATCAATCTCTGAAAATTTTGGCCCGCGATTTCAGCAGCAGCCGAGACATTTAACGACATTTTCTAACGAGAGAAAAGGCTGAAATTTTTAATGCTGAAAAGCGCCAAAAAATCAGAATTTTCTGCAACGGTCGGGCTGGAAATCTCGGTTGTTTCTGCAAAGCTAGGACCAGGAACTTTGCAAATACAATAGCCTAAAAAAAAGTTATCGTAATCTATACCAAATGTCATCAAAATCTGAGCGTCACCCTTTTTTCAGCCGAAGACCGCTGTCTTTCATGGAAATCCCCTTGCGACGACAACACCACTTGCGACAAACGTTGCAAAGTCAAGGCCCACAACGAAACGGTGTGTGCTTGTCGCGACGGCTACTACGGAGAGACTTGTGATCCCATCGATTACTGCTTGTCCGGGGTCTGTTTGAACGATGGGATCTGTCATCAAGGCGTGAATATCAGCAAAAACCCTTGGATGAAATGCGAGTGTAAAGAGGGAGCTTTGGGGGAAAATTGTGAGAAGTTGACCGCATGTAACGGCATTTCTTGCGGCGCGAATGGAACTTGTATCGAAGAGGAGGGAGGCCGTTATCATTGCGAATGCAACGTTGGATGGTGGGGTTCGATGTGTGAGAAGCCAGCGGTAAGAGGATTTTTTTGAATTCTTGACTAAGAAGTATTTTTTATTGTCAGAGATACTGTTGAACTCTGTAAAACAAACTCGCTTTCAGCAAGACGTGGCTACTGCAAGATATTCCAGTGGCCTTTAGGGTCAATTTTAAGTCAAATTTAACCTTACTTTAACCAAAGGCGTCGCGATCCTTGGGGTAACCAGGCGTCCGACATTTTCCGATTAGAATTGCCTTCCTTAATCTACGTAGTATGATCAACATTTTGCTTTGACAACTCCCCGGTGCTGATCAGTACACGAATCTATTGAATTCATCCACCGCTTCCAAGGTTATGGGAGTTTGTTCCCATAAATTTGAATCCATTACAATGGCTCGGAAACGCTTTCAACGAAGCGAGTCGGAGGAAAGAGCTTTGAAAGAAGAAAAAAAGAGAGAAAACTGAGCAACAAAAGATCATGCGTGCTAATCAGCGAGAAATTGGTGAACCGGGTCCTTCTTCCAATATGAATAATCCAGTAAATATTAGGTTGGCAACTAAGTTATTGAATTTTTTTTGCATTATTCCACAGACCTTCCTAAGTCAGTATGGCTAGTATCACACTATCCCACCTGTAGTAGGGTTAGAGTACTATCAAACCCAGAGGCATCGAACTGGCAGCTCGCGTGTTGGTGTAGTACCTTGAATTTGAATAAGAGCAATTTTGAGTGGTCATTTTGCAGTTCCATACAATGCCTTTAGAACTCGAAGGACATAATGCTAATGTACAATGCTAATGCTTGTATTGTTGTTACTTATAGTGGGTATTATAGTTGTTGACTGTAAAGCCTTTAAAGGTTGTGGCAAAAAGAAAGGCAGTCAAAAATTTCAATAACTTAGTTGCCAACCTAATAGTTCAATCTCTGACAAGCGCGCAGAAATTTTGCGTAAAGATCGGGAAAGGAAAACTCTAAACAGGCGCCTAAAGTCTGATTTCGAAGCAGAAGCCCGTAGAGTAAAAAATCGGGAATCCCAGCAAAGAGTTCGTGATAATGAAAGTCCGGAATATGCCACAGAAAGACTAGCTAATGCTCGGTTAAATAAAGAGTGCTAACTGCCAAATCCATGGTTTGAATTTCCTGCTGTAAGCAAAAACACCAGAATCTTCATGGTTCTTCTAGCTGCTCGCAAGTCGGGGCCGGCCTAACCAAATTCCCCTTACTCTCAGTCTGTCGGGAAAATAATGAGCACAATTTCGCTACCCGATCGCATTGCGGAAAAGGAAAGCAATTTGACTTTGCCGCCACGCAATTCATTTTCTCGGCGGCGATACGATTTTGAAGAGGACGGAAGACTCATTATTTTCCCGACAGACTGCTATAACGAAAAAATTTTTTTGCCGCTTGTGATTTTTTGTACAGAGCTTTGACAGTTACGGTGTTCTTTGAATCAAGGGCCGTTTTAGCTTAAATGCAGCGAAGGAAATTCCCCCCACAATTGTGACCATGGCACATGCAATTTGGAAAACGACGTTTGCGAATGCGATCCAGGCTACACGGGCGTCAATTGCACTATACGTAAGACTTTTTATGCTGTTTTCTCTCGGTAACTTGTTCATAAATGTAGCAGCGAAAAGATTATATTATACATTGAAATTTTTTCAAAATCTTGCCGTCATATCGTAGAGTGGCACCTTAATTTTCAGCCAACAAAAATGGCTTCAACTTGTACTTTACTGGTGAGCCAACAGATCCGGCGAAAGGAGAGGTGACGATATCAGGGGAGCGGACGGGCGAGCATGCCATAACTTTAACGGCGTGGGTTCGATTCGAAGACGACGTGATTGGAAATGACACAGTAAAAATGACTCCAATTACTGTAGAATTAAATGAGAAACCGGTCTTCGAAATTTCAAACAACGGGACCACCTGGAATGGAGAAGAAAGCTTGAGTTATACGGGCTGCAAATTGAGGGGCTGGAATTATGTAAGTTTGTCTTTAGAAGGAAGGGATTTCGCCCGTGATCTTGGCACAAATGACTTGTCACGTCAATCCAGTGCATTTCCTGAATCGTTTCGAAACTTCGTATCGTTTTCATTGATTTAAAAGAGAGACGAAATGTCACGAAATTATCGGCACTTTTTCTCGCCAAAAATAATTGCTTTTTCTCGAAAAGGAAGAAGAAAAATAAGAAAATGCTTTTTATCGGATAGTGACATTTCGTTTTTAACGAATCACCAAAAAGGGGCGGGAAATTTTTTGTTCTTATTTTGGATTGACGTGCATGTACTTTTTTTTATTTTCAGTACGTGATCTCCTACAACAATACGAAGAAAATCTTGAAGGCCACCATCAACAATCAATATGTTTATCAAAGAGAAGTAGCGGCCATCCAACCTTCGGGGACTTGGTCGATCGTGCTGGGCAGGAAAACCCGAGACAACGACTTTTTCCGCGGAGAAGTTGGACTTGTAGAGGTAAAAAGAGCTCTTATCTGTATTCACAAGTAGTTTCAAGTCCACTGAATTTCCCTGTTTGCTTTCAGCTTCACAATAAACCATTTACCGCCCAAGAAATTCAAAGATATATGGAAAACTGCACGGGAAATCCGTTTAATCCGGAGAATGTTATTGTCAAATGGAAAGACTTGAAGCTCAAGGGCTGGCAAAGGAACGATGTGCAAGTGATTGTGCCGGGGATTTGCGCTCAGTCCAAGTGCGAAAGTGGGGCAGCGGATTGTTCGCCGGATAGCGGTAGGAAATGAATTTAAATACTACAGGGTGCGGCAATTTTTCGGCCGGATTTTAATTGGCCATAACTTTTTTAGTTTTTGGGCAAATGTTAAAATTCTTTTTTTCTCTGAATCCATAGACAACCCCATTTTGTTTAATACCAAATATGTTATACCCGTTCGTTAGACTACAGTAAAAATTCGAGACAAAGAAAAAGCTCTAATTTTCATAGCTGACAATGGAATTACCCCTAGTGCGACCCTCAGATTTTCTTTAAATTTTGCACATGGGCTGGACATAGGCCACACATCAATTCCTGAAAGTTTCAGCCCGCACCTTTCAGGGGCGACCAAGATATTCAACCATTCTTTGCGGTCAGGAGGGCACATGAGTGGTCACACAGAAAAACTTTTTGGCCATATCTTCGCTAGTTTTGTGCGGAGATAGCTGATTTTTTGTGGAAACGGTATTCTCCATGGCATGAACAGGCATGAATCTTTTTACGACAAAACTCGTAAAAAAAGACATTTTTTCTGGCGATTTTCACACACGCCGAAAAAGCAGAGAAAACGTCCAAAAGGCCAATAACTATGAACTAGGTCCCTGTATGAATAACATATTTGATATTAAACAAAATGGGGTTGTCTGAGGATTCAGGGAAAAAAAGAATTTTAACATTCGGATAAAAACTAAAAAAGTTATAACCAATTCAAATCCGGCCGAAAAATTGCCGCACCCTGTACTGAAATTACTTTCACCTTTCGAAAAAAGTGCCGAATTTTTGGACGAGCCAAAAATCTGGGTCGTCTCTAAATTTCGGGGGTGGACGATTCGGGAAAACGAAAAGTATTAATTTTCTTCGATGCAAGTGTCGAAATTAGGATAATCGATGGCGCTGATTAGTAATTTTTTGAATTTTTTTCACAAATAACCGATTTAGGGGGTTTTGATGGTGCTGATTTCGAAAATGACATTATTTTTTTTGATCCTTGCTTTTAAAATTTGGAGCGCTCCTGAAGTAAAGAACAAAAGCAAGGATCAAAAAAAGAATTTCATTTTCGAAATCAGCACCATCGAAACCCCCTAAATCGAGTATTTGTGAAAAAGTTAAAAAATTACTGCTTTGCAGTACTACCTAAGGAAAAAAAGTAACAATCAAAAAAATGAATGTCGTTTTCGAAATCTGCGCCATCGATTATCCTAATTTCGACACTTGCATCGAAGAAAAATAATACTTTTTGGTTTCCCCAATTGTCCTTTTCCCCTATCGTCCAAGTTCCTCTAAATTTGTCTCTCAAATCCGAAAAATGACGAAGATTTGACGTCATTTCGAAAAATCCTATCTAACCAACAACCCGATTCCAGACCGTTTCCCACCATTGCCTCGAAACTGCCCTTCGATCATCAAACGGTCGACAAAAAACCGTGTTATGCAAATTGAATGGGATACGAAGGACATGTTCACGGATGACAATCCTATTGTCCGGATTTCCTCCAACTACGCTCCGAATCAGACGTTTGCCTGGGGCTACTACCATGTCGTTTATGTTGCAGTGGATGTCAAGGGGAATATCGGGAGATGCGAGTTCGATGTCATCGTGGGAAACGAAAACCTTCCCGACCCTTACGAGGTCGAAGTTAAGGCGGTGAGAAAACCGGTGGACAGCGATGAAATTGTGGAATACGCCAGGTTGGAATGCGAAGGGGACCAGAATTTCTTGAAGGACACGTCACCGTTCTACACCAAGGACGTGCTGGTGAGTTACGAGAAAGATTTATAGGTTTGGAACATCACAGGAGGCGCAACGACTTTTCGGGTCAGCGACACTTCGGGTCAACGGTACTATGGGTCGCATCGGTCCGCGTTGTATACGTGGGAGAGGCTAGGAGAAGGCTTAGTAAATAGAAATGATAAGATTGATAGGGTGCTAGGATAGATTATCACCCATTTTGAGGTATGTACTCACATCAATAATATCAAGGTAAAAGTTGCGGATCTTCGTTTTTTGCCACAAATTTTGTTCTTTTATATGCTACAATAACTCAGTGTAAAGAAAACTGACGTTTGTAATAGCTAAATTAGAAAACGTGGGCAAATTGCAAGCTTTCGATAAGTCTCCGCCGAGCCTTCGCCGAGGGTCCGCCGACCATCCAACGGGTTTGCCAGGCCTCATAGACACTTCCTAGAACCTTTTTTTGGGTATTCACCTGCTCTACGTTCAGTATCGATCGATTTTTGTCTTGACCCGAACTGTCGTCGACCCGAAAAGTCGGGACTCGGAAAAACACATTGATTGTTTGCAGCATCGTTGGAGTCGATTCGAAAAGGCTCCCTTGAGCAGTTACCCCTCATGTGTTGCCACAACGAATCCCGAACAGAAGGTTAGCGGCGGCTTGACCTGGATCCGCGGCGATTGCAAGGAATCCGAGCGCATCAAACGGGAAATCATCGAGAGCTTGAATAACGCCTCAATAAAATTCAAACAAGAGCATGGCCTGGACGAGGGATTCTGCCCCGCTGATGACTGTCAAAACATTACCCGTATTGACGACAGTTGTGTGGAGGAGGGACTGCGACATGGCAGGGATGTGGAGGCGGACTTGGGAGCGGAGAAAATCACCTACGAATATCGTCTGAGTGTCAAGTAGGTGGAGCTTTAACGAAAGATCCCACGTCAATCCATTGTCTTTAGAAGGAGGCCATGTCAATCCAGTGCATTTCCTGAATCGTTTCGAAACTTCGAATCGTTTTCATTGATTTAAAAGAGAGACGAAACGTCGCGAAATTGTCGGCACTTTTTCTCGCCAAAAATAATTGCTTTTTCTCGAAAAGGAAGAAGAAAGATAAGAAAATGCATTTTATCGGATAGTGACATTTCGTTTTGAACGAATCACCAAAAAGGGGCGGGAAATTTTTTCTTCCTTGCTTTCAGCAACACCAAGTTTATTGTGCGGCCATTCATCAACATCACGCTTCACGAATGGTTCAACGATTCGAGAGAGTACGATCCCACATATCCGTTGCAAAATTTCGCGTGCGATCCGAGCTATCCGTTCGTTCGGCATGTTCAGAACGTCACCGAGACCCTCGACCTGCAGTTTTGCACGGATTGGCCGGCCGGTTCTTTTTTCCAGTCCGGGATGAATGAGTCCGCGCCCTGCCCTGTCAATAAATGTCAGCCGAATAGTACGCAGGACGAGTGCGTCGACTGCCCGGGTGGGCGGATTACGAAGGACGTCGGATGCAAGGACGAGAAGACCGAGTGCTATTGTAAGTTTTCATCATGGTTTTTAGAAGATCATGCATTAGAAGATAGACGTAAACCTCCGAATTTTGGGGTTTACGACAATCAGTTACCATCGCCTGAAAGAGACCTTGTCCGGTCAAGTTCCGATCCCTGGCCTTAAATCTCACCTCCCACGTCAATCCAGCGCATTTCCTGAACCGTTTCGAAACTTCGTATCGTTTTCGTTGATTTAAAAGAAAGACGAAATGTCGCGAAATTATCGGCACTTTTTCTCGCCAAAGATAATTGCTTTTTCTCAAAAAGGAAGAAGAAAAATAAGAGAATGCCTTTTATCGGATAGTGACATTTCGTTTTTAACGAATCTCCAAAAAAGGGCGGGAAATTTTTTCTTCTTGATTGACGTGCCTCCTCATTTCAGTTCCTTGCGCGGCGGGCCAATACGGAACATACGACAGGTGTATTCCATGCCCATTTGGCTACTACAATCCCAAGCCAAACAGCAGCTCATGTGCAACATGTGGCAGTGGTCGCACCACTAACACCACTGGCGCAGACAGTGTAAGCTTTTGCTATGAGAAGTGCGCCTACCTTCCGGGCCATGTGTTGGACGAGAAGGACGAATGCCAGGAATGCCCTCGGGGCACATACAGGAAAGGCACTCAGTGCCAACAATGCAATCCCGGCTTTACAACGCGAACGAGTGCCGCAAACAGTGAAGATGAATGCAGCGTAGTCGACTGTCCCAAGGGCTACACTTTAAACAAAAAATATAAAGACAGTTTTAACAATATTACCGGCCCCCACCGACAGTATACGACCTATTGCGCGCCTTGCGATAGGTTCTCATTCAAGGAAGTGACGGGAAACGAAGAGTGCCAACCGTGCCCGAAAGGCACCAGCACCAACATGTCGGGCAGCAGGGCAGTCAATGACTGCAATGTTACCGCTTGCAATCCAGAGTTGTCGAATTCATGCACCGATGGCAAAAAATGCACTGAGACGGACGGCGGACAGTCTTTCACCTGCCAATATCCAAATCTGGACAAGTCAAAGGAGGAAAACTGGCTTTACCTGATTCTGCTTGGCTTCTTCATCCTGCTATTTGTACTACTGCTTTTATTGTTTGTTTCGAACAAGCGAGAACTGTAAGTCAAGTTTACGACGGAAGGGAGGGGTTCCACTGTTTTCAACTTTAGCTTTTGCCACGGGCAAAGTACAGTGGCAGACCTAAGTTAGTGGCAAAAAACGTACCATTTTGCATCCGGGTAGTATCAAAATATAGCAAAATGGCTCCCTCTCCTTGGGGCCCTTTTCCTCATAAAAAGAGCGAGCGCGCTTTTGCAGAGTTTTTTTCACTTGGAGAAGGAGGCATTTTGCCACATTGTTTGATACTTCCCGGATGCGAAATGGTACGTTTTTTGCCACTGGATCAGGTCCGTCACTGTACGCGAAAAACAGGGCGCGGCCAGAGAGAAAAACTATTTTTGGATTGGATTTTTTTGTGGAAACGTCACTGTTTTTGATATGAATAACAAGGTTGATATCTTCCATACATAATTTCTCAAAGAATGTATGAAATTTCACCAAGTTTTGGACAAAAAATCTTGGTTGTTTCTGCAAAACACGAGCAAGGAATCTCGCGTGGACCGTAAGAAAAGAGCAACCGTGACGGACCTGATCCAGTGGCAAAAAACGTGCCATTTTGCATCCGAGAAGTATCGATTTTGCCACTGGATCAGGTCCGTCATTGTAGATTGCTCTTTTTTACTGTCCACGCGAGATTCCTGGCTCATGTTTTGCAGAAACAACCAAGATTTTTTGTCCAAAACTTGGTGAAATTTCATACTTTCTTTGAGAAATTATGTATGGAAGACATCAACCTTGCCATTCATATCAAAAACATGGCCATGCAGTCGTTGGATCCTTTCGAATTACTCATTTTCAATTTTCAGTCTTCGTTACATAGACGCGACCTGCCCATGGCTGTTGTTCTGTTGGATGCGGAAGGAGGGCAACCGCAGGTTCAGTGTGAACCCGACCAGAGACACTTCCAACTTGCCGTTCAGTCCGAACACCCAAAACTCGGATGAAATGGAGGACACGTCGACTACGGAAGTCTCCGCAGCCAACGATCCATTGGATTCGGCATCGGCGATCGAAAGCCTTCCAAGCGAAGAGCATTGGATGAAACAGCGGACGAAACACACTGCGGTAAGTTTTATATTAGTGTGGTATATCACAGACATGCGGTATATCATAGATCGCATTGAGTATAACTGCATCTACAGCGCACAGACTTGAGTGCTCTAAGATTTGCAGGCTGTGAGCACATTTTTTTATCATCATTTTGCTCTCTAACAGTTTTGCGAGGCGTTTTCGTCTCCCTTTGTTTCCCTGATTATAACGGCCACACCCAAAAACTTGGGCGGATTCTTGTATGATCAACTGATAAGGATCATGTTTCTGTGATTTTTTTTTTAATTGAAGCATATGATAAGCTTCACATATAGGTTATAAATAGCTTGATTTAACTAGGCGTGCGAGGGTTTTGTACTTAATTTTAAATACAGTGGCTCCTCTATAATTTCTTAGTTCCTTCCAATTCGTTTTATAGAGGTTTGACTGTAAATTTTGATTCTTGGAATAACAGGGTTTTTGGCGTGACTGTCGCAAAGAACCTTCATTTTGAGTGTCCACACTGTCTAAGATTTGTTAAGAAATTTTAAAAAAACCTGCTTGCAGACCCTCGACCCGCTAACCGAGATTCGCACCAACTTGATGCACGTGATGACCTCCGCAACGTCGGCAGTGTCCTCCGATTCGAGCGGGAAGCGGACTCCGCCGCCCATCCTGACCGGCAGCCCCTCGCGGCGGGATATGGAGGCGGCCAAGGCGGCGGCGCGTGTAGCTCGCTCCGAGACCTATCAAATGGCCACATTCGGCCAAAGCAGTCCGGTGCAAAGTCCTCGAGTCAAGGTGGAAGCCGGGATCATCCGACATCATCGAACTGTCGGCCCAACAATGGTGGAGGCCAGGCCGTTGAGGGCTCCGCAATTTATTCCGAGAGTGAATACGATCCAAGCGCCTGCGCCACGACTGGCCAGTACAACCGAAGAGGACGATGAGGGGTTCTTCTGCTGAGATTTGAAGTTTTTCCTACTATCAAAATCGGGTATTTTCTGTATTGTTTCACAGTTTTTGTCTAATAAATGATTTTTGTATTAAAATTTATTGCATATGTCCATTAAAATGTGCTGTTTCATTAGCCCAAAACCTTTTTGATGGCCTTCAATAACGGGAACTTCTCTTTCTTGCAAACATTGTTGAAGTCATCAAAATCCAAAGTCCATACGAACACACCGCCCAACCCATTACTTTTGGCGTACTTGGCCTTCTCCTCGACTGACTTCTCATTGTCATAATTGTACCACTGATTTCCCTTTTGGGCATATGGAGTTTTAGACTTATCATCCCATTTTTCCTTGGCCCCTTGTTTAAGAACTTGGCACACCTCGTAGTAAGCAAGAACTCCATCGGTCTTGGTGGTAGGCAAGGCTTTGGAAGCCGATGGCGCCGGAGATCCGGGGCCTTGATTGGGATTGGACGAGGCCAGCGTCCATCCGCGGCCGTAGGTTGGGATCCCGAGGAGAATCTTCTTGGCGGGGAAACTCTGCAAAATCTTGCATTAAATCGAATCTTTTGGTATTTTAAAACGCGTTTTATTACAAATCGTAGTTTGGCCCGGACATTGTTAAAATCGGTGTCTCAGAATTCAACGAAACTTGGTAGATTTAATCACTGCTAGGCATAGAACATTCGCTTTCTTTAATTTTTCCCAAAATTACCATATGACGGATTACTGTAACTTTCTTCCTCAAAAAAGATGTGCCCTAATCGTGAAAACGAAGTTGTATTTTAGTGCAAATTGAGTTTAGGTGTATGTTTTCGACCATGTTGAACATTTTTGTAATTATCACCAAAAACTAAAAATTACATCTAAGCTATGTTACACTTCAGGCAACATACCATTTCGGGTGTAAAAAATGCAGTTTTGAGGTGACGCAGATTTTGAAACCGGAATATTAAACTTCAAGCCTTGTCTAATAAACCATAAAAATTTCAGAAAAATCAAGTGTATAGTTTTTGAGAAATTGGACATTGAATGACTCATGTGCAATATCACCTTGACCCGAAAAAAACTGGCATTCCTGGGGTTTTGACCTGACGCAGATTTTGAAAGTTTCCAATACATTTTTATCACTATTTAGGAGGATTTGGAAAGTTTCAGAGGAAAAAAATGTATAGTTTTTGAGAAATCGGCCAAAATACCTTGTTTTAGGTCATCAGATGCCCGAAAAAAACTGGCATTCTTGGGGTTTTGACCTGACGCAGATTTTGAAAGTTTCCAATACATTTTTATCACTATTTAGGAGGATTTGGAAAGTTTCAGAGGAAAAAAATGTATAGTTTTTGAGAAATCGGCCAAAATACCTTGTTTTAGGTCATCAGATGCCCGAAAAAAACTGGCATTCTTGGGGTTTTGACCTGACGCAGATTTTGAAAGTTTCCAATACATTTTTATCACATTTTAGGAGGATTTGGAAAGTTTCAGAGGAAAAAAATGTATAGTTTTTGAGAAATCGGCCAAAATACCTTGTTTTAGGTCATCAGATGCCCGAAAAAAACTGGCATTCTTGGGGTTTTGACCTGACGCAGATTTTGAAAGTTTCCAATACATTTTTATCACATTTTAGGAGGATTTGGAAAGTTTCAGTGGAAAAAAATGTATAGTTTTTGAGAAATCGGCCAAAATACCTTGTTTTAGGTCATCAGATGCCCGAAAAAACTGGCATTCTTGGGGTTTTGACCTGACGCAGATTTTGAAAGTTTCCAATACATTTTTATCACATTTTAGGAGGATTTGGAAAGTTTCAGTGGAAAAAAATGTATAGTTTTTGAGAAATCGGCCAAAATACTTTGTTTTAGGTCATCAGAACACAGAATCGTAGCCATCGGCTTACATTTGACAAAAGTTTTGCAGAGAGCTCGAATTTATTAGTGACAATTTGGAGAAAAAAACAGTAACACGCATGTATCTCGAAAAAAAGAGATGCCCAAGAAAATTGGTCGAATTTTCCAGCAACTTGACCTATAACAGGTTCACCTTGGTCGATATCTCAAAAACTATTCACTGTTTTCCTCTGAAACTTTCTATATCCTCCTGAAATGTCATAAAAATGTATCGGAAACTTTGAAAATCTGCGCCTAGCCAAAAACCTAAGAATGCCAGATTTTTTCGGGCATCTGATGACCTAAAACAAGGTATTCTGGCCGATTTCTCAAAAACTATACATTTTTTTCCTCTGAAACTTTCCATGTCCTCCTAAAATATGATAAGAATGTATTGGAAACTTTCAAAATCTGCGTCAGGTCAAAACCCCAAGAATGCCAGTTTTTTTCGGGCATCTGATGACCTAAAACAAGGTATTTTGGCCGATTTCTCAAAAACTATACATTTTTTTCCTCTGAAACTTTCCAAATCCTCCTAAAATGTGATAAAAATGTAGTGGAAACTTTCAAAATCTGCGTCAGGTCAAAACCCCAAGAATGCCAGTTTTTTTCGGGCATCTGATGACCTAAAACAAGGTATTTTGGCCGATTTCTCAAAAACTATATATTTTTTTCCTCTGAACCTTTCCAAATCCTCCTAAAATGTGATAAAAATGTATTGGAAACTTTCAAAATCTGCGTCAGGTCAAAACCCCAAGAATGCCAGTTTTTTTCGGGCATCTGATGACCTAAAACAAGGTATTTTGGCCGATTTCTCAAAAACTATACATTTTTTTCCTCTGAAACTTTCTAAATCCTCCTAAATAGTGATAAAAATGTATTGGAAACTTTCAAAATCTGCGTCAGGTCAAAACCCCAAGAATGCCAGTTTTTTTCGGGCATCTGATGACCTAAAACAAGGTATTTTGGCCGATTTCTCAAAAACTATACATTTTTTTCCTCTGAAACTTTCCAAATCCTCCTAAATAGTGATAAAAATGTATTGGAAACTTTCAAAATCTGCGTCAGGTCAAAACCCCAGGAATGCCAGTTTTTTTCGGGTCAAGGTGATATTGCACATGAGTCATTCAATGTCCAATTTCTCAAAAACTATACATTTGATTTTTCTGAAATTTTTATGTTTTATTAGACAAGGCTTGAAGTTTAATATTCCGGTTTCAAAATCTGCGTCACCTCAAAACTGCACTTTTACACCCGAAATGGTATGTTGCCTCAAGTGTAACATAGCTTAGATGTAATTTTTAGTTTTTGGTGATAATTACAAAAATGTTCAACATGGTCGAAAACATACACCTAAACTCGATTTGCACTAAAACTGAGCTTCGTTTTCTCGATCAGGGCACATCTTTTTTGGGGAAGAAACTTACAGTAATCCGTCGTACGGTAATTTTGGGCAAAAACAAAGAAAGCGAATGTTCTATGTCTAGTGTTGATTAGATTGACCAAGTTTCGTTAAATTCTGAGACACCGATTTTAACAATGTCCGCCCCCTGTTAGGCTAAGCCCCAAAGTGTGGCAAAACGCGTTTTAAACATAACGCATGTAGTCAGGTTTCTTTACAATTGACTAAAAGTGGTCTAGAAGCCATGCAGCCATTGCTTTTGCCGATCTACCCACTCAAACTCACCTTTTTATAAAACTGTGTGAGTTTATCCACATTGAATATCCCGGTTCCGTATAATGGCGCATTTTGCGCAGTTTCCTTGGTCCATGAGCCAAAGAAATCATAGGCCATGATGTTCAGGAAGTCCAGAGAGTCCTTCAGCTGGTTAAAATCATAGATCTTAGCGGCTGTCTTGGAGTTTGGCGAGACAGCCGCCGTGACCAAGAAATCTTTTCCGGCTTCTGATTTAACGGCCTTGATGAGTTGCGTGAATTCAGATTTTTGCTCGGCGGTCGGGAATTCCCAATCAATATCCACTCCGTCAAACCCATTCTTCTTCGCGAAAGCCACGGCATTTTTGGCAAAGTTCTTCCTGTTCTGATCGCTGCTCGCGATACTTGCAAAATCACCAAAACTAGCGCCTCCAAACGACAGGATGAGCTTCAGATCCTTTTGGTGGTTCTTCAACCCCTTGAGGTCCTTGTAGCCCTTCGTTAAGTCCGAGGGCTCGGTTGGCGCAGGATTATTGCCCGAGGCATCGGTTTTAGCAAACGCGTAAAAGATGTGGGTGCAAACACCGGCCTCATACTTGTCGATGGTCCATTTCCCGGGCTCTGGGCGATACTGCGCCCAGTTCGTTAGATAGCAGCCGCGGACCTTGCCTTCGGCCGCTCTCTTCACAATTATCTTGGCTTCAAAGCCCACGAAAATCAAGAACAAGGTCAGAAAAAGGGAAGACAATCTCATCTTGGATACAACCCCAAGTCGTGAGTAATTTCTGCTCAATTTGAGAACCTTATATAGTTGTCTAGTGTGAGATGGACTACGAATTTTCGGCCGTTCCTAAAGCCTCAATTGTTTGCACATCCGCAGAACGTAGAAAACAAGAGCTACCTTTGGTCAGGAAACTCGGAATTGTGTTGTAATTTTGAAAAAGCTGTGTAAATATGAAAATTGTGATGCGATGAAATTTTCGGAATACACGCAATGAGAAGCCGGATTCGGCCAGTTGAGTTGTTGACCCGGATCCATTGAGATTCCGGGAAGGTTAGCTTTCAAAGAGGAAGTATTGTCATTTTATCGGTTTATCTTACGGGCAACCGGCATTTACCGAGAACTACTACGGTTTTTCTGTTGTAATCTACGTATTATGATGGAAATTTTGCATTGACAACTCTCTCGTACTGATCAGTACACGAAACTATTGACTTTGTCCATCGCTTCCAAAGTTATGAGAGTTTGTTTTCAAAAAATTTTTTTTGATCTTTAATAAAATGCCTGGTTAATCCTGTGGTAACTACTCAAGCCTCTTATGCACCTGTAAACATAATTCGCAAGATCTAACTGTCAAATCCATCGTTTGAATTTCCTGTTGTAAGTAAATGTTGGCTTATTTCCAAACCTGCCCGCAGAATCTCCGTGGTTCTTCTAGCCACCCGCAAAGTGGTTGCACGCAAGTGTGATGCTCTCCAGATATCACCATAAGTACATAATCTCAGAGAAACAAAGCGTCGAGTCATTTCCGTATGAAACTAATCGCACAAAGATGCTTATCCTTATCATCCACACACTTCACAGGAAAAATGTTTGTTCGAAAAAGAAATCTTTTGTTTCGTCCTGATAACGCATGTTCGTCTATCTTGCTTTTACAGGTAACTCATAAAACTTCTAGTTTGATTTATTAACTTACAGTCATCTTATTGCGCTATCCCTGCTCCTGCAAGGATGAAGATGTGGACCCCGGCGCCATCGGATATCTGTATAAAACAAGAATTTACGACTTTAAATCGACAATGATTTACAACGACTATGCTGCGACTTCAAAGGCCATAAAAACACATGCAAATGTTACAATAAAATACGTCCACAATGATAAGGACTCAATGCTGGCGGAGTATACGGTAGGTCGCAAAAAAGCTTTCTATGGTCAAGTTTGCGGCAAATCAAGAAGTTTTAGATCAACAACTGCTTTCGGGGACCATGCAAGAATTTGAAGGACAAAAAAGTTTTCGTGGAACTGGAGCGAGGTCAGGTTGTGAATGGACTCCTGCAAGAACAAGCATCATTATGGGACTTTCGGCATTCGCTGGTGTACGCGCTGACGGTTCCTCATCTGCAAGAAGTCGGTAAAAGAGAAAGAGGGGTCAGTTTTTTTAAGAACTCACCAGATTTTGAAGGCTAGAGCCTCTTGCTGCAAGCTCATTCTATGGCAACGACGTATTTATATTCGTTTTTAGACCTTCCCCCATGGCAACTGCGATTTCGTCCATAAACGAAGCAACTCTACCGAGTACATTCATGAGATCAAAAGATGCGACTTCAACCTCTTCAATCCAGCCAATCCATTCATGAAACTCTATTTGAGCAGCAAAATTAATTACTTGTAAGTAGCTATTTTTTCTCTCTAGGTCAGTGTAAAATTCACCGTTCATTTTCAGCCAAAACGAAAAGTACGTTGGAGAAGAAACGAACATCGTTGGCGTCGAAACCCTTGAATTCAAAAACATCTTGGATTCGACATACTTCCTCAACGTTTCCTCAAGTTTTCAACTGACCTTACAACATACTAATCAGTCCATGAAGAAGAAACGCTGTGATTATGGGCTTACTGTCGGAGAATGTGCTAGCCGACTGCCGTTGGAGAGGCTGGGAAGAGAATGGGCTGTTATAGCGACTTCCTTGAAGGCCGTTAATCATACTTTGACGAAAACACGTAATAATAAATTTAGTCAAAGTGACGTGTTTGAGGCAAGCAGGTTACTGTGTAGCGGAGACAAAGAGAAGTTCGATGAGGGATACAAAGTCTTGAAGGATATTGATTTTTATGAACGACCGGTAAGTAATAAAGCTTTTCTCGTTGCTGACGTAAGCACTATGCAATTATGATAAGCTGATGCAGGCTTAATAACATGAGGTATCAGTCTGTCGGAAAAATAACGGCGGATCGTCGCATCAAAATGTCTCGCCTCGCCGCTGTCGCGCACCAAATCCCAAGCCGCGGCTTGCAGTCGCAAAGCGATGATGGGCGATTCGGAGGCGCGACGATCCGCCGTTTTTTTCCCGACAGACCGATAATATTTTCGGTTGAAAGTTGGCAAGAACGTGACATTTTTTGCAAATTTTCTGGGGATACAAAAGCTTGAAGTCTATTTCTATCCTACAGAGCAGCGTTTCCATAAAAAACACATTTTTTTCCGCATAACACTTCCAACAATATCACCAAAAATTGTTTTTCTACGTGACCGGTCTCCGCGTTTTGCGTGCTCTCTCGGTCGCAAAAATGAATATCTTGGCACAGCATTCCGAATTTTTTTCGCCGCCGATCGGTGTCCAAAAAAATGAAAAATTAAAAAATGCACATTACATTTTCATGTGTGTAAGGGTAGCCAGAAGAGATACTGGCAAAAACAAAAACTCTTTATGTAGAGTAATCAATTTCCTTTCAGAGTATGTAAGTTTTGTCTTCAGGTTGCCCGCTACCTTTGAGAAAATCGTCACTAAAAAAATGGAAGTTTCGATTTTGAATGCCAAAAAAATGTACTTTCTTGGGGCCACCAAAAAAGATGTTGGAGTCTATCGTAAAGAGAATTTCAAGGGCTACAACATATTAAAATTTCAAGATTTTTGTGGGGGTTTGAGTCAAGCTAGAGTGAAAAAACCCCTGATTTTGGCCATTTTTTGCACTTTTTCTTGATTTGTTTGCACTTTTAGTGCAAAAATAAAAAACCATCCGTCGGCGATGGAATCTGTGTGTCATGTCGGATATGCATGCCAAACTTGAAGCTTCGCCGACGCTCCGGAGTCGCTGAATATCCGTTTAAACACGAAACCTTAGAGTACTATTTCTGTTGTTTGAAGTCGCTTTATCTGCTCCAAGATACCTTTTGATCAAAAGTATATTGTCTATATACAGTGTATAACAATTTCTTATCATTTACTCACGATATATTTTTTTTATTTCGACAATTGAATTTGGCAGAAAATCCTTCCTAGAGCGTTTGTTTGTTGCAAGAACCAATTAAATTAACCGCCAAGCTGAGTTAGACTTTTGCAATTAAGTCGTTACGCAGTTGTTATACACTGTATATAGACAATATATTTTTGCTCAAAAGGTATCTTGGAGCAGATAAAGTGATTTCAAACAACAGAAATAGTACTCTAAGGTTTCGTGTTTAAACGGATATTCAGCGACTCCGGAGCGTCGGCGAAGCTTCAAGTTTGGCATGCATATCCGACATGACACACAGATTCCATCGCCGACGGATGGTTTTTTATTTTTGCACTAAAAGTGCAAACAAATCAAGAAAAAGTGCAAAAAATGGCCAAAATCAAGGGTTTTTTCACTCTAACTTGACTCAAACCCCCACAAAAATCTTGAAATTTTAATATGTTGTAGCCCTTGAAATTCTCTTTACGATAGACTCCAACATCTTTTTTGGTGGCCCCAAGAAAGAACATTTTTTTGGCATTCAAAATCGAAACTTCCATTTTTTTAGTGACGATTTTCTCAAAGGTAGCGGGCAACCTGAAGACAAAACTTACATACTCTGAAAGGAAATTGATTACTCTACATAAAGAGTTTTTGTTTTTACCAGTATCTCTTCTTGCTACCCTTACACACATGAAAATGTAATGTGCATTTTTTAATTTTTCATTTTTTTGGACACCGATCGGCGGCGAAAAAAATTCGGAATGCTGTGCTTGGCAAAGCCTGCAAAGGCGAGCTAAATTTCCTGACTTCATGTTGGCCTATGCCCAAACATTAGTTTTACAAAGATTGAATTTCCAGATTGTCTACAGGATGTTAAACAGCTTCTACGGGACTTGCGGGGAAAACGTCCCGGTTGACCATTCGCTGAAAGTCGCCGAGTTGTTGGTTAAAATGATGCCAGTTCAACCTTTCATTGCAACACTCCTTTTGCGTGCGGAATCCGAGTCTGTCCAAGAGCCTAATAAATGGGGGTACTTGTATGATGTTATTAAGATCGAAGCGCAGAGATATGAAGATGTAAGTATGTAGTGTGGAAATATCGAAACCGCCTTTATCCATGTTTAGTTTGCCGACTTCTGGAAGCAAATGAGGCGATTCCATGTGTTCAAGCCGAATTATTTGTATCTGTCGCAGCATGGAAAAGCTTTTGCCAAAAGGAGGAAGATTACAGGTAAGCTGCAAGGCACATATCGGCAAAGAATGTGCGTTCAAAAATTTCCTGGCCTGAGTACAAGCTAGGAGTACTAGAAGTGAGGTAAATCGGGCCGGAATGGGCCAAAATTATACATATCCGGTCAGGCCAGGCCCGGGCTTTTTCAAATCTGCTCAGGTCCAATTGCTACTTCTAGAATAGATGAAGAATTTTCCCGAGGGATTGATATAATAGTAGACGATTATCTTTTTTATTCAGCTCTTAACGGCGTCAGCTTGTACATTGTCACCCGACGCTACACCGATGATCACCACAAATACTCTCTCGAACATGCTGATCATCTAAATGTCACCGAGCTGGCTAGTCTAGAATGTGCCAGTGAAAATTGCTTGCTTCGGGTTGTGAATCACAACGAACAAATTGAACTTAACGATAGAAAGGTAAACAATTCTCGACCAGACTACAATAGACTTTGACTGATTTAGGAAATTTCGCTAACTATCGCGCTAAACAGCACTATGCCCCTTCAAGCCGGACCTGCATTACTTTTCAACTCTGCGACAGAGTTGCTTCTGACCGGTCGAAAAGCCGGAAGTGCTGTTCAACTAGAATTTGAACTGAAGGTAGCAGATCGTATCACGGTGGTGAAAAACTTGTTCAACAAAAGGATGACAATATCAGGGAGTGTTCGGTTGAGCCCTGAGGAAGTTGTAGTGGGGGAAGTGAGAAAAAGGTAGGATGTATTAAAAGAGAAGATTACCAAACGATATGTGTTTTTAGTTTTGGAGATGAATCAGTGAGTTTGGTTCGAAAGTACCCTGGAATTACCGTACCATAGAAGCTTTAAATGGCATAAATATGTATTAATTTATCGAATAAACCGTTTTACATTGATGGTTAACGCAAGTTAGATGGCAAGAAGCAGGCCAATACGAAACGATTATATACAAAATCCTTCAGCGGCAATTTTAATTTAAAAAGAGCTCAAAAAGTGACCATATCGCAAGCTGATCAGAAATCGACTTTTTCACGTTTCTGCTGATCCCTTGCAGTTTATAAGTCAGCAATGTTCAATTGACTGTAGCCCGTTTCCAGACAGTTAATCCGCCCATTCTCAGAGTAACAAAAAAACGCGCAACAGACGAGCAAAAAAGAGGGGAACTGCAGAGGTGTTTTACTACGTAAATTTACGTATGTATAGGTGGTAAGGCGGTACAGCAATAATACGGTGAACACAAAACATATTAAAATATTCAGCCTTTGACCAGGGGGCCTGAGAGTTAAAGTTGAAATAGCGTCTTGCGTTTTACAACGGCTCCACTTTCCATCAATTTCTGGCTTATTGAACGGCAGCTACAAGACTGCAGGGACTACCTGCTTCGTTAAAGAAAAACACGTTGTGTTCGATATAAGCCAGCTCAACGTCTGAATTCCCAGAATCTCTTGACTTTTGGCTCTGTTAATCCCTTTCTTCGTGCATTTCCGCCCCCAACTATGCAAAGCGTCATGCTTGTTTCAATCAATGATTGAAACAGTCGCACGGCCATGTACAATATTCTCTCAATATAAATGCAACGGAGATCGCGTTGCAGACAGCACCTTATCTTTTTACGCTAAAATTGCAGTTGTTTACTGTTAAGTCTACAGTTACAAAATCTACTGCATAAAAGTTTTTAAGTTTTTAATGATGCCTCCCAAAAATGTGATGCTGATTTTGCTGGCATCTTTGTTATTGTTTATAACGATTCAACGACTTCGTTCGTACGAAAACTTTACATTGCTAAGGAATTGCACGGCAGAGGAAATAAAGGAAGAAGTCACTACAGCGCAGTCGGAGAATAAGACTATTGAAGTGCTAATAAAGCCAGTGGTTGGGATCAACGGGTTGGCAGCGCTGCCTCCGTTCAAGGATAGTGTCACACATATGATTGTAAGTTGTAGAAACAAGTCTCACACCCATGTAAATGGTACTATACTAGGTAGGAAAAAATTGATGACATGTTTTCACAATCTATCAACGCGCAAAAACCTTGTCGCAAATCTTCAAAAAGGCGACAAAATAAAATTTAAAGTTCGTGACGGCCAGGCACATTCAATCCAAAATAAAGTTTCAGCCCAGTTCGCTACACGGTACGAAAGCTGTCAAGGCTTTTTTGGATTGCGTAGTATTGAGCAGTAAAAATATTATAAAAGCCCGTTTCTCAAAAATCTAAATGTGTTTTCAGTTCGCCGACCGCTACAAACTAGGGGCATGCCTCCTGCCAAAAGTGATGTCCACAGTTATGACTGCCGTTCTGTGTTATCTCAACGACGATAAGGCGTTTCTCAATGCATCAAGAGACATTGCAACGGAACGTTTTGGAATTCGGTAGATTTACATAACTCTCTCTAACCTACAGTACGATTTTTTAATGCCTCAAATTTCAATTTTAGCTTCTGTGAAGAAAAAATTGAGCGGTATTCAATGTCCAAATTCGAGGACGAGTTCAACAAAGACCACAACTACACCATGTTTACCGTGGTGAGAGAGCCGATCGACCGATTTCTTGCTGCATTTGTGGACAAATGCTATTAGTAGGTGCTAAAGTTTTTCATTGAAAAATACCATCAATACAAAACATTTTACTAGGCAGCTGCTGACGATGTGATACTCAGAATCGTTTGAAATTTTGGCACGAACGTTAAGACTAGGTCTTTTTCTAACTGCTGAAGATTTCAGCTCGCTTTTTGCAAGGGCCGCCGAGATATTCACTCATTTTTATCGGCATGATGACAAAAAGTGAGGTGAAGAAATTCGGGTTTGAAGCATTCAGCTGCTGATTTCTTTTAGCCAATACATCGTAGGAAATTTTAAAACCCGAGTTTTGCAGCGACTTTCCAAAGCGTTTCGAATGATATTTAGCACATCCCATTCGGATTTGGCTGTATTTTATGCAGATTCCTTATAAAAAAAGTGATTTTTTATCAAATATTGGAAACCGAATCAATCTGAACTTTTAGTGAGCCTCGTCGAAGCACAAATCATTACGATTGTTACGGATGCGGGGAAAGTATTAAGTGTTTCATCAACCGAATGCACACCCGATTCTGGTATTACTTGGGTGGCCGGCATACCCTTGACGTGTTAGATCACCATGTCATGCCACAAACTTGGTAAATATTTAATTTTTTGTGTGATTAGCGATTAAAATTGTAATTTTTCAGCTTTACGGCAAAAATCTTGACTCTCAGCACTTTCTAAAGTTAACTCTCTATACAACAAACAATTGCAGGCACTGCGATATGCAGCATTATCTACAGAAATACAAAATCCTCCGATATGTCAGCCACACTTCCGAATCCTACAATTCGTTCCTGAACGAGCTGAACTCAACTCTTACTGAGACGAATGTGCCGCAAGCGCAAAGACAACACGTCCTCAAAGCCCTCTCCACATCGTCATCATACCACACGACTACGGGGAAGTCGCAACGGCAGCTGTACGAGGATCGAGTGAGAGGAAACCCGCATTTAATGGAGAAGTTGATTAACATTTATTACTATGATTATGTGACATTTGGATTTAAAATCCCCGAGATAAATGTGTAGATGCAAAGAAGTTAGGGTGTATTTGAAAAATCAGGGAATTATTGTGAATTTTACTTTGTGATCTCGTCTATTTTTGTTCCACATGCTTTGAATTTCAAGAATAAGCAGTTTAAGGCCGCTATTTCCAAGCGTTCCACAGATTTGAACTCCTTGCTGTTGTCAGTTCTAATGCTTTGCATACGTACGAGTCTTTTTAATACGTACATGGAGGCAGTACAGCTTTAATACGGTGAACAAAAAGCACATTCGAATATTCAGCCTTTGACCAGGGGAAGCCAAATTTTTAAGTGGGAATACTGCCTTGCGTTTGTCTTGCAACAGCTCGCCATCAATCCTTGACTTATTGGAAACGCTTCTAGGACCATAGCGACCTTCCGTTGTATAAAATAAACTGTTTAATCTCCGAAAATTAGTAGATTTTTATCATGTCCTCATGGCTTTGCCACTGCTTGTTCACAATTTCGGACCTTAATGAAGCCGCAACTCCGGCTCTTCTGTTGGCGGTGGATCGTCACAAGTCTTCAGCTTCTCAAATCTTGGGCAACCAGTACTGGGACGAAGAGCTCGATAAACTTGAGTTAGCGACCTTCGCAGAGAACGGAAAATCACATCAAGCAGAGGGCCGTCGTTCTTGATCTCATTACACTGAAAAATATTACATTTTTTCAGTATTACATCTTTGGTGCGGTCTTTGAGGGTCGTTTCTCCGCCAAAAGCAGCCTAGAACACACGATTTCCAGCACGGCATGCAAAGCGCGAGCAAAGCTTTCCAGAGTGAAAAATTCAAAAAACTCTAAGCGTGTCAATTGAAGTAATGCTTAGTTTGTGCCGATATTTATCCCATTTTGTTTGTTCTATGTCAAGGATCCCTATTGCTGGAAAACCCCTACACAACTACCTTTCTTTTATGCCCATTTTCGTGGCCCCTTACAATTAATGGCACAGAATTAATGACGTCAGAAACCTACAGCTTTCTTCAAGAAGATTTTAGCAAGTGGGTTTTCACACTGCTTCACGAGATACTCCTTCAATTCCTCCTTGTTCTTCTTGCTTAGCGCCTCATAATTGATCATTTTGAGGAACTGAACAATTGCTTTGCATTTCACACATTGAATGAAGCTCGGATCTCCCTCGTCATCATCGTCATCGTAATCGTCATCGTTTCCGTGTACAGGAGTTGGTTCTAACGCTTCATAAAAAATTTTATTTCTGGGAACTTACTTTTCTCATAATTTACATTGGCCGTCAAGTCAATTGGACTTTTAACTTCGGCGTTAGCAACGACAAGGAGAATAAAGGAGAGTAATAATATAGGAATCACCCGCATGTTTCGAAAATTTCAAACAAAACAAAGGAAATTTGTCAACGGAGAATTTCATCGTCTCCTGATAACAGGATTAGTTCCTAGAGAAAGAGAAATGAATTATGAAAAATTACTCTCTGTACTTTGTAAATATGTAAAAAAATGCGACGCTCAGATAAAAATTGGCCAAAATTTAGAATAGTTCTTTCTATGACGTGAGGCGCTGCTAGCTCGCGCTTTGTAGGCACGACCAAGTAAAACTCCAATTTAGATGTTGGTTTAGGTGTTCAATGGACGATGAGACTAAATATTCAAAATAGGAATGTATATAAAAGACAATGAAACTTGTTGGACTATAATCGGACAGGGGCAAAAATGATCAAGGCCGCGGTTTTAGTTGTCCTTTTGGCTTTTCTGTGCAATGCAACGCCAGTAAGGATCGAGGGGGTGGCTAAGGCTCCAGTTGGTCATAAATTGGAATATTTGGCGGCTGTAAGTTAACCAATGTAGTAGAGCACGGCCATCTTTATCTTTGAGAAGGATGCAAAAACGGGGTCAGAGAAAAAACTCTTTTTAGAAAATTTTGATTTTATTGTGCGAAAGTACCCCCACGTTAAATTGCGGCATCTCAGGTTTGGTGAGAAATACCAGAAAACTGCATTCGAAAGAGCATGCCAAAACCCCTATTATCGCCTACAATCGGCTAGTCTTTGGGCGGTTTGGCAACCATTTTAGTACTTTTGAGTAGCAAATTTTAATTTTGAGCTCATCGGTCTCGGTTGTATCTGCAAAGCTCGAGCTGGGAATCTCGCATAAGCTCTAGGGCATCCTTGATAACCATCAATATTGATTGACCTTTTTTCAGCTCTGGCGTCACGGAGATCGAGCCCCAAGCTCTGCCTTCAAGGGTGACCTGTACAACCAAAGCTATTGGGATAACGGCTATGGCCAGTTAACGAATGTAAGCACTCTATCAATTGTGTAAAGGTAATGCGTTCAATTCTAGTACGGAATAGAGCAACAGCGCCAACTTGGCGAATGGATTTTCAATCGTTACGTCGCAGAGCTGAGATTTTTGCCAACCCATTTTGATGGGAAAGCTATCAAGATTCAGTCAACTTACTATAATCGAACACATGAAAGTGCGCTCTACAACTTGAGAGGAATGTATGGCGACAACATCACCTATGATGAGTTGGATATTTTTTCTATCCCAGGCAACGAAACGGATGTTGTCGGACTGCCTGATTTTCATTGCGCTTATGCGAATACGCTGTCAAAGGAAACACTCAAGACAAAAGAAGTCTCAGCGTTCGTTAAGAAACATCAGGTAGGGATGATCGTTGAAAATGTAGGAACATTATAGTACCTGATCTTCTTCAACTGATAAAAAAATTTCAGAGAGTAATCAGCGAGGTGGGAGATGCTATCAGCTTTAATGCATCAAAAGTTGTGCTGCTTTGGGCCAACCTTGATCCATTTGTTACCGAGAAGAAGAAAGGCCTGCGCCTGGCTCCGCAATATGAAGCTGACTACAAGGAAATGCGAGAAATCTATGTTCGAGCAATCAGATTTACGTATGGGTTGGGTAAGCGCCGTAGACCAGGGGAATGTCAAGATTTTACGCGGTTTTTTCTCTCAACACAAAATTGGCGCTGAATACAGAATCTTATTTTTAGATATTGCCCCTCAAAACGGACTTGACTGGAGATACGAATCGGTTCGAATGAACGCTGGCGGACTGCTCACCCGAGTTTACAATGACCTCAAAGCCAAAGGCTCCTGCAACTTTTTGAATCAACATAAACCGAGCTGCAAGGAAGATGGAATAAAGGACTTGAAATACCGAGTTTTCTCGATGGTACTAAAGTCTTTTTGTTTATGATTCTGCAACTTTTAGCACGACACAAACATGCTAGGACTTCTCAATAGCTTCGGCTTCCCAGAAGTTGATTACGATAGGAATGATAACGTTGAGTTGGCCAGCTCGTTCTTTATTGAGCTGTGGAGAAGCCAGCTGACCAGTCAGCGATATGTCAAGTTGATTTATCGACGAAATGCCACGGAAATTTTTGATGTCAGCAATCAAATCAGTGGTTGCAAAAGCGTGGGAAAAGGTCTTGGCTGCAGTCTGGAAAGCTTTTTGAAGCGAACAGAGAAGTTTGTCATCCCCGACTTTGATGAGGTATGTCAAGGAAGGTTTTGCTACTAACTTCAGGGTTTATTTTCAGTATTGTGCCACGCAATTCAAGGAAGATTCTGAAACGACGACTGTTTCCGAATGATCCGAAGATACTGTGCATTTGTGGATAAAGAAATTAGGCGTAATAAAGAGACTTGGGCAAAAACTTAACTTTCTTATGGCTCCTGTTTAGCAAGCATTATCGAGACGAACAAGGAACTGTGCTTTGGGAGGAAGCTTGAGGATTCGCCAAATGGCTTTTGGTTTTTTAGAAAATTGACCTTCTATTTATAATTCAACCAAAATGGCGATTGCCTGAACAAAAATTGTAAAACCTTTTAATTCCCATTTTCCACTCACTGGAAATTCACATGCATGTTTACAGTAGCCATTTCCACCATCTTCAATGTCTTATGCTTTTCCAGCCGCCCACCGTTCCGGGAAACTGTTTATTATTCGCGATGTTTCCACCGTTTCGTCTGGCTCGCTGTTTCCGCGGAACATAATTTATTGTAAAACTATTTTGACAACCCAGGGTTTACAATAAATAATTTTTGTTTATGGGTGATTTATGTGCTGAAAAAACAAAACGGGAGGACTGCAGTGACGGCGCTCTTTGAGCATGACAAAAATAACTCTATAATGTGAAACTCATGTAGGAGAAAATGCCATAAACTTTGAATAATTTGCAAGATATTATACATAACACTCAATGTGCGCTGTTTTTTTCAAAATGCAACATAACAATTGGAAAGAAATTAAGCAACCCATCGGCTATTTTATCCAATCGTTTCCGCCATTCATGGAAATTTTAGCTTGTCATTACTGGAATACCAGAGATATTGAGCCGCCTTTTTAGGCAAGAAAGTCACCCACATCTTTGTCGTTGAAAAAACAATTATATGTTGGTATTTTCCACCACTTTCAGACCCCGCGGGAAAGTTCCATATGGAAAATTTTGTCTTTAAAAAGCAATTATTAGAACACTTTAAAAGAAAGTTTTTTACAAACTGAAGCTTCCCTCCACGGGGCCCGGACATTGTTGCAACGACCATCACCAAATTTCTTGAAACTTGGCCAGTAGAAGGGCCTGAGCATGCTGATGAAAAGCGAAGAAGGGTTTCGCGAAATTTCAACCAGTCCGGGATTACTGTAACATTTTGTGTTTTATAAAGCGGCCGTTGTGGTGGGCCGGGTGATGGCTCTATGAGTACAAAACTTTCTGTGTGGCGGTTTTCGACCATGGCCAACATTTTCCTTACTGAAAAATTTTTTGTATCTCTTCATCTTATGGTAGTACTGTAACCTTCAACATACCATATCGATTACCGTTAAAAATTGGAAGGAGTGTAACCAGTTTTTAAGCTTGATTATAAAGGTTGGACACACTCTCCGTAAAATAAGACAAAAAAATCCAAAATAAAAATATAAGTTTTTGAGATATACGCGTTCAAAGTTGCTATGTTCGGGTACTGTAGGACCAAAATGGAGATGATGAATTCTCAAACGGTACCATTCATTGCCACGCCTCACCCATTAATAGAGTAGCCTGACAAGGAAAGTACTTTTATGGGGGCTCCTACTTTTTGACGGGACATATCTCAAAAAATCAGAAAAAATGTGCTGATCAAGGATATATAAATCTTAGCTGCCCATTTTAGGTTTTTAGTGGTGAAAACTCAATCGGAAGTTGACTTAAAGTCCTATATGAACCCCTTTTCGCCTATTTTTTCACGGCCGTGCACGGGTTTACAATTTTTATTTTGGCTTAAAACGATGTTTATTGAGTTTCTAAGACGTAAAAAATCAGTCTTGGCCCAAAAATTTATTTTTCCGACCTTCAACTTCAAAAAAAGTTGGTTCAGCCCAAAAGGGAAATCGAACCCGTGCGGCGTGCCCCCCTTGATTCCCAGACTACGGCACTAACCACTCGGCCACACCGCTCTCTTCCGAAGGAAGAGACCGACTGTGCTTTTTATCGTTTCGAATGCATGCGCCTTTTGTAGGGAAATTGAGCCAGTTTTTGGACATTTTCACCCCTAAAAACCCAAAATGGGCAGCTAAGATTTATATATCCTTGATCAGCACATTTTTTCTGATTTTTTGAGGTATGTCCCGTCAAAAAGTAGGAGCCCCCATAAAAGTACTTTCCTTGTGAGAAAAATATTTTCTGATCAAAAAATAAATATTTGAGCTTTATTTCAGGCTTTATACGATGGTTACTGTAGTTTCTAACTTTTGTTAATTTCGCTAACCATTTTTTCCAGATAACACATTTAGACTAGCTATCCCATTGAGAAATGTGTATACAACGTAAAAATCAAAAAATCAAGGTCGCAGTACCATCAATTCCTGAAATAAAGGGAGATTACGGTAGCCGTATCCGTTTTTTTCGCTGTTTGGCCGCGGCATTCTTTGGAGCTGCAAGTGTAACCAGATTTGGAAATGGAAATACACCCAGAATAGATAGAGGAGTATTTGAGCAAAAAATAGCGAAAATAAAAATATAAGTTTTTGAGAAAATCCGGGATTACGGTCATTTTAGGGGGTTTTTGGGCCGTTTGGCCGCGGCATTCTTTGGAGCTGCAAGTGTAACCAGATTTGGAAATGGAAATACACCCAGAATAGATAGAGGAGTATTTGAGCAAAAAATAGCGAAAATAAAAATATAAGTTTTTGAGAAAATCCGGGATTACGGTCATTTTAGGGGTTTTTGGGCCGTTTGGCCGCGGCATTCTTTGGAGCTGCTAGTGTAACCAGATTTGAGACTGGAAATTTGTTCAGAATATACAGGGGAGTATTTGAGCAAAAAATAGCGAAAATAAAAATATAAGTTTTTGAGAAAATCCGGGATTACGGTCATTTTAGGGGGTTTTTGGGCCGTTTGGCCGCGGCATTCTTTGGAGCTGCTAGTGTAACCAGATTTGAGACTGGAAATTTGTTCAGAATATACAGGGGAGTATTTTAGCAAAAAATAGCGAAAATAAAAATATAAGTTTTTGAGAAAATCCCGGATTACGGTAATTTCGGCCAGGAAATCCCCTAAAATGACCGTAATCCCGGATTTTCTCAAAAACTTATATTTTTATTTTCGCTATTTTTTGCTCAAATACTCCTCTATCTATTCTGGGTGTATTTCCATTTCCAAATCTGGTTACACTTGCAGCTCCAAAGAATGCCGCGGCCAAACGGCCCAAAAACCCCTAAAATGACCGTAATCCCGGATTTTCTCAAAAACTTATATTTTTATTTTCGCTATTTTTTGCTCAAATACTCCTCTATCTATTCTGGGTGTATTTCCATTTCCAAATCTGGTTACACTTGCAGCTCCAAAGAATGCCGCGGCCAAACAGCGAAAAAAACGGATACGGCTACCGTAATCTCCCTTTATTTCAGGAATTGATGGTACTGCGACCTTGATTTTTTGATTTTTACGTTGTATACACATTTCTCAATGGGATAGCTAGTCTAAATGCGTTATCTGGAAAAAATGGTTAGCGAAATTAACAAAAGTTAGAAACTACAGTAACCATCGTATAAAGCCTGAAATAAAGCCTCAAATATTTATTTTTTGATCAGAAAATATTTTTCTCAGGCTACTCTATTAATGGGTGAGGCGTGGCAATGAATGGTACCGTTTGAGAATTCATCATCTCCATTTTGGTCCTACAGTACCCGAACATAGCAACTTTGAACGCGTATATCTCAAAAACTTATATTTTTATTTTGGATTTTTTTGTCTTATTTTACGGAGAGTGTGTCCAACCTTTATAATCAAGCTTAAAAACTGGTTACACTCCTTCCAATTTTTAACGGTAATCGATATGGTATGTTGAAGGTTACAGTACTACCATAAGATGAAGAGATACAAAAAATGTTTCAGTAAGGAAAATGTTGGCCATGGTCGAAAACCGCCACACAGAAAGTTTTGTACTCATAGAGCCATCACCCGGCCCACCACAACGGCCGCTTTATAAAACACAAAATGTTACAGTAATCCTGGAATAATGCAAATTTCGCAAAAACCTTAGACACTTTTCATGTATGCCCTGTGGGTGTTCTATGAGCCAAATTTGAAGAAATTCGGTGATGGTCACCGCAACAATGTCCGGGCCATGCTTCACTTTGTAAAAAAGTCCGTTTTAAACTAGAGACTCCGAATTGGTTGTTATTTGATTCCTTGAAGTTAACAACGTTTCTGCAAATAAACAACGAGAAATTGATCGTTTGTTTTCTAGAAATACTGCACACAAACACTGCTATGGCTTGTTAAAGGCAGCGTGAATCTTCCTTTGTTACCATGCAACAGTTTATTTACAATGTTAAGCTATTATACTTCTACAGGCATATTGATAAAGCTGACAAAATATGTGCTGTATACAACTTGGTTGCAAAAACGTTGGGTGTATGATCTCTGGCACTAATAACGTCTATTTTTGGAAAAATATTTTAACAAGGAAAGTACTTCTATGGGGTGTGGAATTAACGGTCGAGATATATATCAAAAAATTCGCAAAAATTTTGTGATTCAGAATATATATAAATTAGCTGCCTAATTTTGGTCTAATGACATGTTTTTGTCCTCAGAAGTTTTCTCGCGACACCATGCAAGTGTCTTTTTGACCGTGTTTTTACCAATAAAAAAATTTTGTTTTGTGCTAAACTAAATTCTGAGGCCTTGACAAGCCTTAAAATATCAAATTGGATTACAACTACACCTTAAAGGTAGTTCCAATGTAAAAAATGGGTTCTAGTGTGGCAAAAGGAACCGAACCCGCTTCCCTCGGATTTCCAACCCAGCGCTCTATCCACTCGGCCACACCGCTCTCTTCTGAAGGAATAGACCGAGCGCGCTTTTGTTGCCGCAGATCCTCGAGAAAAACGTTTATTGATAAAACTCGCTGATAGACCAAAATTAGGCAGCTAATTTTTATATATTCTGAATCAGAAAATTTTTGCGAATTTTTTGATATATATCTCGACCTGTAACTCCATACCCGATAGAAGTACTTTCCTTGTAAAAAAATTTTTTGCACGGGAGCCGGGATTCGGAGCCGCAGACCTTTTTAAGTTTTTCATGGGAGCCGGGAGCCGGAGAACTTTGCCGCCGAGAGAGCACGTTAAACGTGGAGAGCGGTCAGAGAGAAAAACGCTTTTTGGCCACAACTTTGGTAGTTTCGTGCGAAAAAAAATCATTTTTTGTAGAAACATTATCCTTTACGGTAGAAATAGGCATGAAACTTTTCGTGCCAAAATTCGGCAAAAAGTCCTAAATTTTGGACCACTTTCGATATAAAAATCTTGGTTGTTTCTGCAAAGCGCGAGCTAGGATTCTCGGATATATCTTAGAAAAAATTACTCTAGCTTTGTGTCAAGTTTCATCAAAATCTGAGGAAGCAGAAGATATCCTCTTTGCAGTTTCCGCAGTGTGTTGACGTTTTAATGCTATCACCTGACCAAGGTGTACAAATTTGTCTTCCTTTTCAATTGCTGTGTTCTGAACTGACATATCAAAAGGAGTCGAGCATGTCCCCATCCACTTTGTCTTTGAGAAATTTATTTTTAAACCGATTTGTCTAGCCGCTATTATATATGTTGTTGGTACAACATATATAATTTTCAACTTCAAATGTCTTGACTTTTCCGGTATGGTCAATGAATGCCATTGGTATTTTCGTATGCTATATGAGTCAAAAGGAGGTTTCGAAGAAGCGTAGGCAAAAAATTAGAGGTTATGTGACGTGCCAATAAAAGAGAAATACAATGAAAACTGTGCTTAACGAACTCCCGTTCAACGAAACCTGCATTTGCGAGCAACCCCAGAAATCCCTGGAGTTGCTTTTTTACTGTACGGTAAATCCAACAAAAATGAACCGCAAGGGACCAAAAAAAAATATTCGTTATAGAGGGGTTTTTCGATACAAAGGCTAATTTTGTTTTAAGATTGACGTTTGGGATCCCTGACATGCTTTGTTGAAGATGGGTTACGTTTTTTAGAGTCTTGTTTTACAGAGGCTCCACTGTATAACACGCATATAACAAACAACCCACGGCGAAAAAAGGATGTGTATAAAAGAAAACTAGTGTTATGCGGACCTCTTTCAGTGATAAAAGATGATTTTTAATCCACTTTGCTGGCTGATATGATATAATCATTACATAATTTCAATCCGCAACTCCCTCTTCCTATTTTTTGTCCGTTTTCAGCGGCATTGTTTAACATCTCGATGATGATTGAATACGAATAGGCTCATAAAAACGGCAGCTCATTTTGTAAACTGGAAATAAAAATAAAAAATAAAAAGTTTTTCGAGCAATGAAGGCGGAGCCAGGGCTGTTCATTAAAAATGGAGACGATTTGGATGTACATAACTTGGACCACAGAGAAGTTGTATATAAATGTGATTGTAAAATCGTCTACAATAAAAGTTTACAGTTTAATTTCGGATTTGAATACCTCGCGGAACAAAACCTCCCCATAAAAAACAAGTTCAGAGGTCCTATTTGTGCGGTTTAGACCAAGCTAAAGCTCCCAACCCGTCTACAACGAATACGTTTGTTGGTCCTTTGCTATTTATTTCTTCTCCAAAGGTCCCACTGTAAGGAAGTATAGATACATGTAGTCTAGAATTTTTACCGTTCTGTGCTTTGAGATTGAACGCAATCAAACCTCTGCACAACGAATTCTGAAATTGACTTTTGGGAGCTGTTCGTAATAGGGAATTTTTTAAGCGGGTTTGCTATACAGAGCTTTGATTGCATTTTGTGTTTTTAGAAATTTCAGAATTTTGAACGACTGTTTTTTTGAGTGTTCAAAATTTTAATTTGTACTGCCCAAAAAGAAACTATGAGAAATCAAAAAAAAAACTTTTTTCAGGTTCTCAACTTGGGCTGAGACCTTCAACGGGTATGGCTCTTCAACTCGGATATTTGGCTGTTTTGACAGTTGTAGCCAGTGGATTGCCAGTTAAAGATCCGTTAGGACCAACACAACCAAAAGGCCACAAATTGGAGTACTTGGCGGCGGTATGAATTTGAATTTCATAAAATTGTGTTTTTCTTTATTCTTTGTGAAAAAAAAACAATCAGGACCATCGTATTCCACGTTTTTTGAAATTAACTTCAAACAAGAATACAAATTTCAGCTGTGGCGCCATGGAGAGCGCGCTCCAGCCGGCACATTCGCACATGATCTGTACAACGCCTCGGATTGGGAGAATGGATACGGCGAGTTGACTTCGGTAAGTTCAGCGGCCTTGTTTCGCCTTCTTTTCGACATTTTATATCACCTTTTCCAACGCGTAATTATACACATTTCCCGTCTTCAGTACGGCATTGAACAGCAACGTCGCCTGGGGAAGTGGATTTACAACCGGTACGTCAAGGAATTCGGTCATCTTCCCGACGAATTCGACCCAAAGTCCACTCGAATTCAATCGACTTGGTACAACCGAACCCGAGAGAGTGCATTGTACAACTTCAAGGGGCTGTATGGCGAGCGCATCGACTACGATCAGCTGAATATCTTGACGATTCCGAAGAACGAAACGGATGTCATCGGACTGCCCTATGACGGCTGCGGTTATGCACATGAATTGGCGGTGGGAGCGTTGAAAACCAATGAGGTTGTTCGGTTTATGCGCAAGCACAAGGTAAGAGAGATATTTGGAGGCTCAGACTGTTTGTCATCTTTGGACATGCCCAAAAATTCCTTAATTTTTTTATAGCGGGGGACCTGACACAGTGGCAAAAAACGTACAATTTTGCATCCGGGAGGTATCAAAAATGTGGCAAAATGCTTCCCTCTCTTTTTTGTGAGGGAAAGGGCGCCCTTCAAGGCGAAGTTTTTTCACTTGGAGAGGGAAGCATTTTGCCACATTTCTGATACTTCCCGGATACAGAATGGTACGTTTTTCGCGACTGGAAAAGGTCCACCACTGTAGCTTGAAAGTCGGCAGAAAAGTCACATTTTTTGCGAGTTTTGGTAAAGTTTTGCACTTATTCCTATCGTGGAGGGCAACTTTCCCACAGAAAATTATTTTTTTCGCATGAAACTGGCAAATTTGTGGTAAAAAACGTCTGTTTTTCTCTCTGACCACTCTCCGCGTAATGCGTAATCTCTTGGCCACAAAGATCGTGATACAACATTCTTTGTGGCCAAGATCGGCTGTATGTAATAGTTAATTGAATCACATTTTTGTGCCCTATGATATTTACAGTTTTTAGGAGTGGATTTCCCGTCTGCTCAAAGCCACCAATTATGGGAACCTCACCTACATTGTCGACCTCTACTGCGTGGAAGACCCAATATATCTGGAGGTAGGTGGAACGATCTATTGTAAGGAGCGTCCTCGAGATTTCGAGGCTCATTTCCCCTGCCTTGACCGCACATTTTCAGGAGCGCAAAGGCTTGAAACTGGCCCCCGAATACAAGAAAAATTTCAACAATATCTTTGACATCTACGTCGAGGAAATCAAATTCATGTATGGAATAGACGTTAAGCCACAGAACGGGATTAACTGGCGCTATGAGTTGGTTAAAATGCAAGCTGGAGGCTTGCTAACTCGCGTTGCGAATGACATGTCAGCCAAAGCTTTTTGCAAAGTCAAGCCGGATCAGCCGTATTGCAAGGAGGATAATGTGGCGGATTTGAAGTATCGAGTGTTTTCAATGGCAAGTTGAGCGACTAGGCAGGCCTAAGAACTTTGTTTTAGCACGACACCAATGTCCTCGGCGTCCTCAACAGTTTCGATTTCCCAAAAGTGGATTACAATCGAAATGATAACGTTGAATTGGGAAGTTCTCTGTTTTTCGAGCTCTGGAATGACGAAGAAAAAGATCGAAAATACGTGAAGATCATCTACCGCCGAAGCCCTGAAGAGATTTACGATTTGAGCGAGCAAATCCGCGGCTGCAAAAGCATTGGAAAAGGGCTGGGATGCAGTTTGGATGACTTTTTGAGAAGAACCGACAAGTATTTGATCCCCAGCTCTGAGAAGGTAAGGGTAATGTAAAAACATGTTACATGTACAATGTCAAAATTTTAATATTAAAATTTCAGTATTGCGCCCAAAAACTGCCTCAACTTGGGACTTTTGAGACTATTCCTCAAGTCCACTTTAAACTCTGAGCCAAATTCCCTCACTGCCTCAATCTTCAGCTTTAACAAATTGGGTATGCTTGTAGAAATACAGTGCTGGACAAAATGATATGGTCACCACATTTTTGCGCTGGCAATTTGTCCTCAGTGAATGAATCGCTTTAATATTTGGCACAAGTGAGTACGAGGCAAGGTAACATGCACACAAAAAGTATCAAAGGATTTCAAAAAGTGCAAGGTGAGTAAAATTTGGAAAAACGCGAAACCGCCAAAAATCGGCTGGACAAAATGATATGACCACGTGGTTTAATTCAATCTTTTACTAATCAACGCAATTTAACAAACAATCCTAGTAATGAGTGAGTCCTCCACTGATTACTAGGACTGGTATGGGGACACGTTCGGCCAGGTTTAGTCGGCTTTGAACGCGTTAAACCATGTTTGATGCAGAGCTACCCAAACTGGCGATTATCTTCCATTAACGCTTTCTAAAACTTTTAAATGACGTTTTTATCATGTGATCTAGACGTGTAATCACCTGTACAAGCCTTCGCTTTTCGCATGAACTCCATGGTGGTCTGGTAGTGTGGATTCAGCAAACATCCGGTTACCATGTCCAGCTTTGGCGACCCATTTGCTATTTGACCCTGGGGATAGATGTGCTCCTTAGGTTTAAAATGTAACCCGGAATCTCTCTAAAATCCGGCGAAGCCAAGAAAAGTCCCCGCTGACACGATCACAGCCTTGTAGATGCAACTTTGCCGACCTTCACCTTAACCAGCAAAACCGAGTTTTTCAAATGGATCGTTAGCGACAAAAAACAGTTCATTTTATGGCCCAGGATGCATGAGGTGTGCTGTAGCTTCTAAAATTACATAGGCCATCGAATGAAAGCCGTTTTGCATCGCCAAAAATCCATTTGAAAAACTCGGTTTTGCTGGTTAAGGTGAAGGTCGGCAAAGTTGCATCTGCAAAGCTGTGATCGTGTCAGCGGGGACTTTTCTTGGCTTCGCCAGATTCTAGAGAGATTCCGGGTTACATTTTAAACCTAAGGAGCACATCTATCTTCAGGGTCAAATAGCAAATGGGTCGCCAAAGCTGGACATGGTAACCGGATGTTTGCTGAATCCACACTACCAGACCACCATGGAGTTCATGCGAAAAGCGAAGGCTTGTACAGGTGATTACACGTCTAGATCACATGATAAAAACGTCATTTAAAAGTTTTAGAAAGCGTTAATGGAAGATAATCGCCAGTTTGGGTAGCTCTGCATCAAACATGGTTTAACGCGTTCAAAGCCGACTAAACCTGGCCGAACGTGTCCCCATACCAGTCCTAGTAATCAGTGGAGGACTCACTCATTACTAGGATTGTTTGTTAAATTGCGTTGATTAGTAAAAGATTGAATTAAACCACGTGGTCATATCATTTTGTCCAGCCGATTTTTTGGCGGTTTCGCATTTTTCCAAATTTTACTCACCTTGCACTTTTTGAAATCCTTTGATACTTTTTGTGTGCATGTTACCTTGCCTCGTACTCACTTGTGCCAAATATTAAAGCGATTCATTCACTGAGGACAAATTGCCAGCGCAAAAATGTGGTGACCATATCATTTTGTCCAGCACTGTATGTATGTAGTTTGATATTGTAAATAAACCTTTTGCAAAATAACAAAGGAAGATTCACGTTGCTTTTAGCAAGCCACATCAGTTGCTAAAATATATTTAACGATTGATAGCTCTAGCAGGATTTGTCGGCCAAAATGTGATTTTCACTTTTTTGGAAATTACCACGTATGTAACAGTTTTTCAAATCTCCAAATTTAGCCAAAAAATGTTTTGCCTTTCAGTTGCAGTTTTCTTTTTCTGCTTACTCCTCTTGAATCATCCACAAGAACAAATCTTCGCCTCGCTGACAGACGCCATCAAAATTCAGCACGCCCAAAAGAGGCAATTACTTCATCTCCGTTGAAGAGGATTAATACTAAACAAGCGAGCGAATGTTTGCCGTTTTACTTATTGTCAAGAAGACAGATAAGCCAGCTATCAGTGTTATTCTCCCAGGTTTCATTGTTCGTTTGACGTGTGGCGTTTGACGACCCTGTTTATCGGCCATGCACCTTGAAGCCTTACCATGGTTTCTATTATGAAGGCATGTTTTGCAGGCCTAACGTTGTGCTGTTTTATTCTAGCGCAAAAACAAGTTGTCAAGAAATATGACGGTACGTATATAACAAAAGAAAAAAACTATTATAACAAGGGAAGTACCCCAAGTGCAACGCCCAGATTTTCTTTAAATTTTGCGCACCCGTCGGGCATGGACTAAGTATCAATTCTTGAAAGTTTTAGCTCGCGCTTTGCAGGTACAGCCGAGATTTCGAACCATCTTTGTCGCCGAAACAGTACGCTAAGCACGGGGAGCGGTCAGAGAGAAAAACGCTTTTTGGCCATAACTTTGTCTGTTTCGTGCGGAAAAAATTGATTTTTTGCATAAACATTACCCTTTATGGCAGAAATAGGTACGAAACTTTCTGTTCCGAAATTCGGCAAAAAGTCTTTAAATTTTCGCCGACTTTCGATTGAAAAATCTCGGTTGTTTCTGCAAAGCGTGAGCTAGGCTTATCGCATATATTTTCGAAAAAAATATTTTAAATTTGTGCCAAGTTTCATCAAAATCTGAGCGTCGCACTTGGGGTACTTCCCTTGTAAGTTGAAGGCAGAATTTTAGAAATTTAGAACAGCGTAACAATTATCCCAACTTTTTTCAGCTGCTCCCATACTCCCGCTGTTCATTGGAAGCAAGGCAGTAATGAACGGCGATTTTCTGATTGCGCTGTATAGTACGGACACCATGGCATTTATCGGGCGGTGCAGACAAGCACGACAATGCTCGGCTCAAGGCCATAAGATCTACGATTACAAGTAGTTGTCACTATCATTTTGAGGACACGGATTTGCAATTCATTTATGATATTTTTGCAGGAGAAATACACGGTATCCCGGCAAGGACTTCATGGACAACCTGACCGGACATCAGTACAGAGGAAAGCTTTTCTCTGACAAAATCAAAGTAGGAAGACAAGATTATTACCGTAAAACTTTGTTTTAAACAGTTGGCAGGCGTCGAATTCAAACAAGTCTTCTTTGGAGGCGTCGAAGGTCCGCCGGAACACACGGACCCGTCGGATATTGACTTCCCCTACGACGGATTTGTGGGCATAGGCCTGGGCCAAAAGCGCGCCTTCATGCGCTCCTTCTTGTACCAGAGCCCGGCCGGCCGACGAAACATCATCATTGTTCAGGATGCCTACAAAAAACCAGTGTTTAATGCAAGCCTTTAGTCATGGCATTGCTGCGTTTTTTTGAGAATACTCTAAAATTTTTTGATTTTTAGGACAACGTACGAATTGAACAAAAACAGAGTGGAAAGACCTATCTGCACTCAGACATAAGGCCAAGCAGCACGGACAAAGTACCGGAATGCGGGATTTTTGCGCAATCCGTTGTCTTGACAAAACCAAAGGGCGGAATGGAGTGGTTGATAAAGTCAGAGTAAGATATTTTAAATGTTTGACGTGCAAATTTAGAGAAAAACGCCCAAACTCATTTACAGTGGGGGACCTGATCCAGTGGCAAAAGAGGTATTATTTTGCATCCAGGAAGCATCAAAAATGTGGCAAAATACCTCCCTCTCCAAGCGAAAAAGCTCCGATTTCAAATGCTCTTTTTGTTAAGGAAAGGGTGCGCCCTTCAAAACGAAGTTTTTTCACTTGGAGAGGGAAGCATTTTGCCACATTTTTGATACTTCCCGGGTGCAAAACGGTACGTTTTTTGCCACTGGATCGGGTCCGCCACTGTACGTCTAAAATTTCAGCATTACAATCGGCAATGACACGTTCAATTCGTACATAAAATTCAATCCATCAGGACCGACAAAGCTTCACTATTTGAGGATTACACAATATCTTGGAAAGACTAAGTTCAAGAATTCTGAAGCGCGTAACCTCCCGAGGATACACTTCCGTCTCGATAAACAGGACTTCATTCTCGACGCAAGCGACTACATTGTGAAGGACAATTCAACTCGTGTTAGACATCTTACAATAAAGGTAAAAATTGCCGAGTTAACACAAGCTATGATGACGCAATTTTAAAAAATGGGATGGCAATCTCTTACAATCTGATATACCCTTTTTCGTTTAGCAATATCTGTTGCTGCTAGCAAAATACAAACCGAATTGTAAGCATTTCTTTTTATTTTTTCGTTTTTCGACACCGATCGGCGGCGGGAAAATCGTTCAAAATGTTGTACGTCAATCACAAAAAGTCTTCTTTTTTGACTGTCTGTTTAGCGGGGACGACTTATGCCGAACCAAGGCATACAAAATTTACATCCTCTGGAAACTGTAGGTCCTCTACCTTTGGTCGACAATTTTTGAAAGTTTGTAAACCGGGCGGAATCGAGTTACGGCGAAAATATTTTGAAAAAAAAATCTGGCTCCGGAGTTGTCGCTATTTTGAGTCCGTGGCATAAATCTTGCTACCGTTTCAGGCTGGGGAAGACATTACTTATCCACTTGAGCTAGGTTATGAATTCTTCCAAAAGTATTGCCTGCAACTCTCGTATGACAGCTCGTCGTCGGCTTTCAAGATCGGGCTTGCGCCGAATGTCGTGAACAAATTCGTAAGCGATATCGATCCGGGGGACGACGACTACGAAGACGAGCCCGAAGACGATTATGGCCACACAACGGATAAGTCTGAAGAAGATGATAACGATAAAGGAGATGATATAGTTGACGGAGAATCAATAACTCCGCGCACTTCTGTTGTATATACTCTGGTTGCTATCCAATTGATTTGGCTATTTTGAAGTAAAAATATGATACTGTCATTGATAAAATATACACTGCTGGACAAAATGATATGATCACCGCAATTTTGCGCTGGCAATTTGTCCATGGTAAATGAATTGCTTTAATATTTGGTGAAAGTGAGTATGGAGCAATGTAACATGTACCCAAAAAGTATCAAAGGATTTCAAAAAGTGCAAGGTGAGTAAAATTTGGAAAAACGCGAAACCGCCAAAAATCGGCTGGACAAAATGATATGACCACGTGGTTTAATTCAATCTTTTACTAATAACCACAATTTAACAAACAATCCTAGTAATGAGTGAGTCCTCCACTGATTACTAGGACTGGTATGGGAACACGTTCGGCCAGGTTTAGACGGGTTTGAACGCGTGAAACCATGTTTGATGCAGAGCTACCCAAACTGGTAATTATCTTCCATTAACGCTTTCCAAAACTTTTAAATGACGTTTTTATCATGTGATCTAGACGTGTAATCACCTGTGCAAGCCTTCGCTTTTCGTACGAACTCCATGGTGGTCTGGTAGTGTGGATTCAGCAAACATCCGGTTACCATGTCCAGCTTTGGCGACCCATTTGCTATTTGACCCTGGGGATAGATGTGCTCCTTAGGTTTAAAATGTAACCCGGAATCTCTCTAGAAACCGGCGAAGCCAAAAAAAGTCCCCGCTGACACGATCTCAGCTTTGCAGATGCAACTGCACCGATGTGCCCCTTAACCAGAAACGTTTCCACAAAAAATCAATTTTTTTCAGCACGAATATAACAAAGTTATAATCAAAAAGTGTTTTCTCTCTGACCGCTCTCCGCGTTTAGCGTACTCTCTCGGCGACAAAGGCCGTTCAATATCTCGGTGGCGCTTGCAAAGCGCGAGCTAAAACTTTCAGGAATTGGTACTTAGTCTATGACCAACGTGTGTGCAAAATTTAAAGAAAATCTGAGCGCCGCACTTGAGGTACTTTCTTTGTTAGCCTCAAGAGAAGGCTGTTCCGACGATGACGCTAAAACAAACACTTCTAATTGCTTGAAAATTAAGTTTTATTGCACTGTCGGCGGCCATAAAATTTTTATTAAAAGTCCATAAAAGCGCCGTTAATTAAATTTACACTGATAAAGCCAAAATCGAATCATTTCCCGAAAATATTTCGCACCAATGGCGATGGGAACACAAAGCTGCGTTTTTCTCGCTCTTCTATGCCGTAAGTCAAGTTCGTCTCCGATGTAGAGTCAACATCTTTTCAGTAGTCGCGCACGGAAGTGAATGTCCAACGCCGGAAGGAAACGTTTGCGACTTGAACGTGTACAAATGCTGTGACCTTCGGTTCCGCGAGCATATAGGAATCTCACCCAGCACTTGCCGTAGGTTACGAAACAATTCTCATCATTCGCTTAGCTGGTGAAACCATCGACGAACCGCAATGCATTCAGCAGGCACTGAACCTCGGTTTATATGGCTACGGCCGTGAAGGGGTGAACAAAGTTTGCGAGTAAGTCGGCAGCGGTTTTGTGAAATGACTAGCTTTAGCACCACGTATAACGTTTTGATCCGGGTTGTTCGTAAAACTGTTGAAAGCAATGTTTTTTCAGCGCCTACAACGAGTTCCGCTCCTGTCTTGGAAGCAGTTTGCGTTCATGCACTACCGCCTACTATCATCTCAAAAATGGACATCCGATCTGGCGCTCAAAGGGACTTCAAGCCCTGTACAGCGGCATGAATTTCATCTGCGGTCCCGGCTTAGAGAGTATGTAAAAATATAAGGGAAGTGCTTCAAATGCGACCCTTAGATTTTGATGAAAATTGGCTTAACTTTGGAATAATTTTTTCTTTATATTATAATTGCAAAATTTTTGCGAGAATCCTAACTCGCGCTTTGCAGCAAACAACCGAGATTTTTAGATCAAAAATTGGCAAAAATGCGGTACTTTTTGTTGAATTTCGACCCGTAAAGTTTCGCACATATACTCCCCGCCAAAAGTTTTGACCCCCCTTCTAACTCGGCCCAAAGTGTACCAATTTGGACCAAATTTGGTACGTAGTTTACTGACAACCTAGTAGTAAAAAATATCATAGTAGGACAAACCAATTAGCTATATTTCAAAATCCAGGGACAATTTTCAAAAATCACCTCGAAAAAACGGGACAAAAGTTTTGACCCCCCTGCAAAAAATTAAATATCGCCAGCGGATGTAGCCCGAACCTTTTACAATCGATGCCCCATACCTGAATACAAATTAATAAATGCTTTTTCGTTGAATGCTTTGTTGCATTTGAGGGTGCAACGCGTTAAACTGATTTTGATGTAGAGCTGCCCAAAATGGTAAAAATCTTGTACTGGCGCTTTCCAAAAGTTTCAAATTATGTTCACATCATGTGATTTTGACGTGTTATAACCTGCATTAATCTTTTCCTTTCGAAAAAAGTCCATGATGGCCTAGCGGTATCGATTCGGCCGATATCCAGTTGTCATGGTCAGCCTTGGTGAGCCATTTTCTCTTTGACTAAAGGTCTAGATAGGGTCGCTAGGTCCTCAATCTAATCCTGATACTCCTATTTACTCTCAGCATAGACAAAGGTTTCGATTTGACACATTTTGGAATGGGTTTCATTCACCTCAATCTTAAGTTTGCCGTTACTGTAGATGCCCCCGAGTACGATGCCATCCCCACCGCCCATTTGGCGTTCCATACGTCTCAAATGAGTATGGCGGGTGCTGTAGCGTCCTAAATTACCTGGCCCATCAAGTAAAAACCGTTTTTGGTCGCAAAAAATCCATTTGAAAAAAGCGGGTTTTTCTTTAAGGTGCAGATCGGTAAAGTTGCATCTACAAACCATTTGGGATCGTGTCAGCGGGGGTTTATTCTTGTTCTGAGAGTAGACACAAGTCTCAGGATTAGATTGAGGACCTAGCGACCCTATCTAGACCTTTAGTCAAAGAGAAAATGGCTCACCAAGGCTGACCATGACAACTGGATATCGACCGAATCGATACCGCTAGGCCATCATGGACTTTTTTCGAAAGGAAAAGATTAATGCAGGTTATAACACGTCAAAATCACATGATGTGAACATAATTTGAAACTTTTGGAAAGCGCCAGTACAAGATTTTTACCATTTTGGGCAGCTCTACATCAAAATCAGTTTAACGCGTTGCATCCTCAAATGCAACGAAGCATTCAACGAAAAAGCATTTATTAATTTGTATTTAGGTATGGGGCATCGATTGTAAAAGGTTCGGGCTACATCCGCTGGCGATATTTAATTTTTTTACAGGGGGGTCAAAACTTTTGTCCCGTTTTTTCGAGGTGATTTTTGAAAATTGTCCCTGGATTTTGAAATACAGCTCAATGGTTTGTCCTACTATGATATTTTTTACTACTAGGTTGTCAGTAAACTACGTATCAAATTTGGTCCAAATTGGTACACTTTGGGCCGAGTTAGAAGGGGGGTCAAAACTTTTGGCGGGGAGTATAACATATTTCTACAAGAGAGGGTATTTTTGGGATGCTTCTTTTTGTTGACCTAAAAATGCTACCAAAAAAAACAAATTGTCCCCTTGCAGCTCTTTTGGTCAACGACCGTTGTGTGACAGAAGCTTACCGGGAACACGTGTCTGACCTGCACCATTGCACCCAAACATTCGAAAACAACGTTCGAAAAGACCATCCGCATGCCTGCACGTGAGTTGACATACTCTCTTACAGTGGGGGAGCCTTATCCAGTGGCAAAAAAAGTAGCATTTTGCATCCGGGAAGTATCAAAAATGTGGCAAAATGTTTCCCTCTCCAAGTGAAAAAAATCCGATTTCGAAAGCGTGCGCGCTCTTTTTGTGAGGGAAAGGGCGCGCCCTTCAAAACGAAATTTTTTTTTCACTTGGAGGGGGAGGCATTTTGCCACATTTCTGATACTTCCCGGATACAAAATGGTCGTTTTTTGCCACCCACTGGATCAGGTTCTCCACTGTATTTCAAAAAATCCTCTTCAATTTGAACAGCTAACATTTATAGCTACGAGCGAGAGCTGACTGGATGCTATGAGCTGGTTTATCGGCGTGCTTGCAACGCCGAAGTAGCGTGGTGGTCTTGCGAACATCAGCGCAGCTATGCAAGCGGTTTCCTTCCTCAATGTGATGCTCCGTGCACCAGCCACCAGGGCCGCGGAGGACGACTCACCGCCGCGTTAAACACCACCGCCTTTTAATCTGTTCAATATTTGAGGACACAAGAACTAACATTTATCTAATAAATATACTTTTTCAACGATCAAGACTACAAAAAAACCGATCATCACCGTTGTCTTAATGCACAGGCTTAATGCGTTTGCGTTGCAAACACCGAGAAGTCGGGCTTCGAGCAAACAATGTCGCTGTTTCGAGTAATGTTTTGCCAATGTCCGCAACAGTTCACCGAGCCGACACCTCCGGCTTTGTCCGCCCCAAAGATGGGCTGCAAATAGCATGGGACAACGAACTGAGCGCTCGACAAAGAATAAATGGCAGAGCAAGTGGTGGCGAGCCCAAAGAAGGCGCCAACAACAATAATAGCGCAACAAATGAAGCGGGTCTTGGGGTCGTTGTTGGCCAGAACTCTGAAGGAATTATATTTTTAGTTTAACAGCTGATATGTAGATGGCATTCGTTCTTCTCGTTGGAGAAGCACTCCAAGTTCGACGCCCAGATTTTGATGCAACTTGGCATAAGTTGAGATAAATTTTTTGTAAGACATACACGTAATATGCAATATTTTCAACTTGCATTTTTCAGAAACGACCGAAATTTTTGGGCCGATCGTTGGAAATATAGTGGGGGACCTGATCCAGTGGCAAAAAAGTATCATTTTGCATCCGGGAAGTATCAAAAATGTGGCAAAATATCCTCCCTCTCCAAGTGAAAAAAACCCCGATTTCAAAAGCGCGCCCTTCAAAACAAAGTATTTGCATTTGGAGAGGGAAGCATTTTGCCGCATTTTTGATCCTCCCCGGGTGCAAAATGGTACGTGTTTTGCCACTGGTGTTTGCTACATGTGACAATTTTTTACGAATTTCCACGTAAAAAACTTGAGCGTTTAATTTAGAAGTCTTCCCTTGCCAGTAGAATAGACCCTACCAGTGCCGAACTTACTCCTTAAAACTGAGATCTTCGGGCTGAGAAACTCCCTTTTCGGACGAATTTCCTGCGGCATTTAGTCGGAGGAAAAACAGACATGGGAATATTAGTCCCGTCATTGTCATTGTGCTTCCACCAACAAGGTCGAGCAGTGGTCCAAAGTTTGGAACAGATTCGGCGACAAACACCACCGCCAGCATTGTTAAAGTGCGAACCGAAATCCGCTTAAGCCCGAACTCTGCAAAGTGCAAAACATTGGGAGAACTTTGATTATTATTGTAAAAAATAAAAAATAACATACCATGAGGCACCTTGAAAATGTCCTCAATCTCCTGATTCAGCGGGTTCAGCACAATGGTCAGGGTGAGTATGCAATGAATCGTGATGAGAATGTTGACAGTTTGCTGGATCCAGTCGATCTGCAGACTGTTGATCACGGAATGCTTCATGGAGTCGCCGTATGTGAGGTAGCCGACAAACGAGACCGGCGCGTACATGAATGAAGTCACTAAAAAAGGCAAAATTTTTCGTCAATTTCTTAACTTTATAACAAAAGGAGGTAAAACCTTATTCTGGCCACGACTTATAACTTTGCGGAAACTGGTCAGAATTAGTCCCAATTTGGCGTGCAGGCTCAATTCATCGTTGTCAATGCCCGGACAGCGGATTTAGTTAATGAGGGACCTTCTTTTTTACGTACCATCTTACCTTTCAAAAACGGCTGCAGCCTGCGATTTTACACTTTATACGATGAAACATGTCCGGAACTAAACTTATTGCCTCCGTCTAGAACTAAATGAGCCGTCATAGCATTAGTAGGTACCCCTAAAACTATAGAGCTACTATAGTAATTTAGTACCAACTAGGTCGAAACCTTTTTTCCTAACTTTAGTTCCTAAGCTTGGGCGCAGTTCGCAGAGTACCTTTGCTGTGGCCAGAATAAGGAACTTTTTCCCAAAAGGATTTGAATCCCGTATGGCAATGAGCTCAACGACAACTCACGTAGAAATGCCGTCACAACACTCTTGGGGAAGTCGCTTGGTCTCTTCATGTCATGCTGGATGGTTGGGAAGGCGGCATGGCCACAATAACTGAACATATAAGTACCTATGGCCAAAAAATAGTTGGTTGGAACCATCGGCGGCAGCTCTCTGTGCGGGCTGCAGGTTCCAAAGTCCAGAATCCCGCCAAGAGTGATTAGAACGGCCGACACGGCCGACGTGAACATTCCAACCACAACGGCCGCCCAGAAGTCTTGCGGAGACTTCAGAAAAGTGCACGGCAGGAAACAGGCGGCAACAATTAAAACAACGTAACAATAACTAATCTCGGACTTGACGTGGATGAGGATCAGATCACGAATGTTCTTGGCGGAGAGTAGAAGGTACACCACAGCGATACCGAACTGTGTCGTGTCGATACAGAAGGAAACGGCAGATCTAAAATAAGCCGTACAAAAGTGTCATCCCTTTTTCTGCGGTGAGTGAAATGGTATAAGCTACAACTCAACGTACTTCCATTTTTTGCCCAACGCCCTCCTCGCGATTTCCGGATACGGCTTTCGGCAATGTTTTCGATATTTTGGATATCGATCCAACAGCATGTTCCAGCATTTCCCCAAAATATGGGCAGTGTACATTGTGACAGCACACATGAATAGAATCAATCCAATGCTAACATATAGATCTGAAAATTGAACACGATTCTAATGAATATCTTGCATACAGCTGAAGGTGGAAGTACTCAGAGTCTGTTATATATAATTACATACAATTCAAGGCCGTTATTTGGTTGTTACATTTAAAAAATCAAAAAATCAACCCTTTCGTGATTTACAGGGGAAGTATTCCAAATGCGGCGCTCAGATTTCCTTTAGATTTTGCACATCCGTCGGGTGTGGACTAAATATAAATTCCTGAAAGTTTTAGCTCGCGCTTTGCGGGCGCCGCCGAGATATCGAATGATTTTTGCCGCCGAGAGTACGCTAAACGTGGAGAGCGGTCAGAGAGAAAAACACTTTTTGGCCATAACTTTGGCAGTTTCGTGCGGAAAAAGTTGATTTTTTGTAGAAACATTATCTTTACGGTAGAAATAGGCATGAAACCTTTCGTGCCAAAATTCGGCAAAAAGTCCTAAATTTTGGCCGGCTTTCGATCTAAAAATCTTAGTTGTTTCTGCAAAGCGCGAGCTAGGATTCTCACATATATCTTAGAAAAAATTATTCTAAATTTGTGCCAAGTTTCATCAAAATCTGAGCGTCGGACTTGAGGTACTTCCTCTGTTAGTAAAATTTATCCGCTTACTCGTTTGAACGGTAGCAACTGGCAGTGTTACGAGCCCACCTCCAACCATATCGCCCAATATAAACAGCGCCGTGATGAACCATCCCAGTCCACTGGGTGTGTAGTGCTCCTCGCAGCCGGAGTCGGTCGAATCCGCGGAGTTTCGTTTCGTACCATTGAAGCCGTTTTCGCTTGAAACTGTCGCGCCTTTGCCGTACGGTCGTATGCTCTCCATTCGCATCTAAAACTATCGTGCATGAAATCGTGGGGCAAAAAAATTGGCGATTAATGAAAAGACGGCCACCAGAAACAAGGACATGGCAGAAAAGGCCACAACAATGCGCTAGAGACTGATCAAAACGCAGAAAACGGTCGGATGAAAAGATGGCCGTCCCTTGGAGATCACTGACTTCCGTCCCCCCCGCAACCACCACGTGATTTCACATAAGAGAAAAGTCAAAAAAAGGGAGATTTTGAAAGGACAATAAAGACATTTCGACGACGATGATTGTTTACTTCGGATTTGAAGAGAAAATCGAATCGAAAAGCAAAAAGATACAAGATTTTTGTTTTGCATTGGTCTTCAAGTGATGGGAAAACTGGTCGTCGAATTTTGAAAAAAAAACTAAACCTTTGGCCTTACGAATACTGTGAAAGAAATCTAAGAGAAACTACAACAAAATAAACATTACATGCCTCGGTATACGAGCGCAATAAAGGCAAAAGAAAGGTCACAATCTACGAATTTATTTTTTAAAAATCGCTCTTCTTGTTACTTTTTAAACTTGTGATTCAAACAGTTTCACTGACACCGAAAATTAAAAAGTTCAAGGCCCCAGTTAAAGAGCAATCCATATTCAAATCCTCTGCTGAGACTGGTTGGCGTGTAGGATCGAGCTCTTCCACAACTTTTTCCACGCTGTGGAAAGGGTTAAAAAACGCAAAACACAAATTTATTGGGATTGCGAAAGCCATTGATCAATCCGCTTGACAGTGGAAACGCAGGTTAAAAAATTATGCCGTGAACATAAAAAAAACAGTCTCTTATCCGGACGCATACTCTCCGTTGCAGAAAATGAGACTCAATTGATCGGGTATGACTGATATGCCCGTGTTATTTACTTTACTCTGGCGTTCCCTTACCGAGAAAGGTCATAAAACACGGTCGCCAAATTGGCTTCCAAAAAATCACCTTTGGAAGAAAATCAATCCAAAAACAATGATTTTCTTCGAACTGAATGCCCCCGCGGTTGAGCATACAACATTGTGAATCCCCACAATCTTCTTAATGATCCAGTAAACTTGCTGTATCCGAACAACAATAACAAACAGGCGTTTAGAAAAGAGTAAATAAATTCAAATCCATTTATATATATATATTTATAATACTACATTACACGTGATTGCATAATATCGACAAATTGGGAGTTTTTTGTTTTTTTATAATGGATCAAAACGTAACACGCGCTATGTTCTAACTAGAATTTCGAGTAAGAATTTTGAGTACGATGAAGGGAATTAATGAATGGTTTATCCGCTGAAGGCGTATCAAAGGCATTTAAGCTGAAGGCATATCAAAGACGTTTCGCTACAGTCCTTACCGTTATCTGGTTATCTCCACAAAGAGATATAGGAACTAGGACGATTGGGGGAACCAAAAAGTATTATTTTTCCTTGATACAATTGTCGAAGTTAGGATAATCGATGAGTGCTGATGACATTCATTTTCTTGATAGTAACTTTTTTCCTTAAGTAGTACTGTAAATTTGCAGTTTTTTTGATTTTCTTCATTAATAAGGGGTTTTCGATGGTGCAGCTTTCAAACAGGAAAAATGAATAACTTTTCGACATCAGGAAGGTCGAGACAAGACTTGGTTGCCGGGCCAAAACAAAATTGAGACGGGCCGGGCCGTGCCGACCTGCTTGGGGCCGCAGGCCGGGCCGCAGTTTTCGGCCCGGGCCGGCCCGAGAGCCATGTCTAGTCGACCCTCCCCCCCCCCCCCCCAAAAAAGAACATTTGTAAAAAAATGCAAAAAATTACTTCTTTACAGTACTACTTAAGGGAAGAAGTAAAGATCTTAAAAATTAATGTCGTTTTCGAAATCAGCACCCTCGATTATGATAAATATACGAGAATTGAGCGATTTGAAAGTCATTCTAACTTGGCGAATACACAATTTACACGATAATATACAAAAAAAACGTTGAGAAAATTGGCAAAGCAAAAGCAATTTTTCTTACAATTTTTTGAAAGGAACGGGACACCTTAGCCCAAGACCTAAACATGCAGCTCAAACTTGTGCAGCTTCTTAACGGAAATTTAACTCGTACAAAAGAACACTCGAGATTACAGCCAGCATGTGGAATATTTCGGAAGAATGGCTTTTTTGTCTGAACACCGGGTACAACAATTAAAATTTCTGTGTCATTGTTAACGCCTCAGCAGTCCAGAGCGCCCATAGCATACGCTCGATAAAACAAATAATATAACATCCGTGAAAATCGTTTCCAGAGCCCCGAACGCGCAGTACAAAAGACTACTGTTCTTATGGTCGGTTGTACGACGCAAGCTGAAAGTCGAAGAGGAAACAGGATAATCATATTATGATTGATGGAATACTGAACTCCCTGATAACGCCAACAAAGACATTTGTTAAGTGATAAGGCTTTGAGTTGAATTTCGTTGCCAATCGGTTGTTTTTGTTGAGAAAATATAAAGCATATGCAAGTTTTTTTTTAAAAAAGTTTTTTTAATTGCTGCAGCTTCTTTGACGTTTTGTTTCATAACAAAGATGTATGATGTCACTGACAAGGATGCCAAGTTTATCAGATGGCTTCTGCAACAAAAAGATTGTCTTAGTATTACTTGCTTTTAGACTGCTTGCAATGTGGACTGTCGCATCAAAAAAACAGCGAAAACTTGGTTTTGCAATTTTTTAATAATCTAACAGCTTGACGGCTTTTTTACTGGGAATTTGACAGTATTTGGCACAATTGCAATATTTCTTTTCTAGACTTGTTGTTAGCTCTTTCAAAGTTTTTCATTTTTTTGGAAGCTGTAGCGGGCAGCTTCTCATCTCAGATTTACAGGGGAAGTGCTCCAACTGACACGTTCAGATTTTCTTTAAATTTTGCACACACGTCGGGAATAGAGTATCCAGGGTTGAAAGCATTTGAAACAAAAGTTTCAGTCACAGGTAAAACCTGTAAGTTGTTGGCCAACTAATACCATCTTGCGTCATCCTTGTTCACTTGAACTTTTGCCGGCAATAGAGGTCTTGAAGTCATCTGTGTGCTTTGTGTCACCGAATAGCCCCCAATCTTTTTAATTCATTTCATTTGATGTAAAGCTGAACACTGTTTTTGTTCCTTGCTCATGCCTCTATGAATCAATTTTTGTCGGCGATGCAGTGCGAACCAGGAATCCTTCTGGTTGTCCATAATATTGATTGAGAAGACCGGGAGAGCCGAGAGAAACGACAAGTTCAAGAGTGCCAGGGGAATGACGACACTTGCAGTGGGACCGCAGAATTTGAGAGGCACTGGGCCGGGATCTCGACGAAACAGAGACACAACGCCAGCAGAAGGTCCTACGGGTCGAAAAGAGAAAAGCAGAAACAAAACGAGATGGAGAGAGAAAATGAAAAATTGTCGCAACTCTCACAAGGCAGCCGAGAGGGCCGTCTGTGCGCTGGTGGGAAGCCCGGGTCTCTTTTCGTTTCCTTCAGCCCCACTTTTTTCGCTTTTCCCTTGTCAGTCCCCCCTGCTTCACCAAAAGCTTTCCCCTACAGCCGCCCCCCTTCCCGTCGCCATTTTTTTTTCAGATCCCAGACTTTCCGTCTCCCAATTTTGCTTCTCGCCCGACGTCCCCGGCCCTCATGACCTGCCCCCCATTTCGTTCGTCCTCATAGCCCCCGTACTTTCTTCTTCGATTACTTCTACGGCTTTTGAAAACGGAGGGAATTCGTTTTTTTTTCGTCGCCTTTCGTTTATTCGGGGTCTTTTTTTGTCCGCCGTCCAAGTGTTGGCTTATTTGGGACCGTCGAGAGACTTCCACTAGGTTTGAGTGATTGGAATAACGAGTTATTCGAGGAGCTAATAAGGCAAAAATCGAACTCTAGCCATGTTTGGCGGCGTTTTTAAGGCCTATTTATTAATGTGTCTATGGATTGTTTAATAAGGTCCGAAGTGCGCTTTTTTAAACCTCCAGCTGTCTATACTCTATACGAAGCGCTTGAGTATCATCTTTTCTTATAAATGCCACAAACCGCTTCACTTTTTCACGCAACATCTTTCCAATCTCTACCTCAACACTGTTCGCTTGGTGTGGCGGCATGAAAGTCCAAAATATATTCTTCAAAAGAATGCTTTTATCCCGGAAAGATGGAAAAAAGACGCAAGCGCGTAGACGCAATTCGGGGGGCAATTCGGAATGTTGGGAACAGTTTTTGGCCGGCATTTTGGGCACATGAAGTTCATGTGTTCGGCGGATGGGCCAATGTTTGAACTTTTGCCTCCAAAAACTTGTTCGTTTTCGGTAAGCGGGAAGATTTCATTTATGTGTGTTCAAAAATCGCTTTTAGACGGATCTGTTAAAATTGTCGGAATTTGATAGACTTTTGGAAGGCCTCAGGGCCAGAAATGTAGGTTGCGTCAGCCTGTTCACTGTTTCTTTTGCTTCTTTCATTTTGACTATTGGTTTAGCACTGTTAAAAGTACTGTTAAAAAATGGTTGCCGCTCTCTGCTCGACAATCTCTTAGATCTTCTCACAGCTTTTCAAAATCTCTGTCTGCCATATTTTGACGACGAAATGACTCATTTTTTGTTTATCACTTCTATTTCTGAGACCATGTTCGAAAACGTGATCGCTTTGTCACAATTTCCGGTTAATGTTTGGCTTATTTCACCGTCAGTGTTCCTCTAATAAATAAAAATTTTACGGAAGACAAAAAAACCTTCTTCGTTTAGTTTCTCTTTCAAAATGACGTTTTGGTTTTTGGGCTTTGTCTCCGTGATCTTAACCATGCGGGTATTGGGCCGTTTTTTGTTGATTTTTAAAAAGATTTCGGTACTATAAGCCGTATTTTTGTGGCATTGCTGTGCTTTTTGTGGACGTAAGTTAGGCCTAGATTTATTTATTATTATTTTGTGATTTTTCCCATAAAGTGATTCGGTTTTGCCGTCTGGAACGGCCTGCCGAAAGCCCTTTTTTTGGGGTAGCTTAAAAGTCTTGAGTTCGAAGGCTGTCGCCGTTTCCCGCAAAAATTCTGTTTCCGTTTTTGGTCTTTATAAACAGTGTTGGGACGGGGCCGAGATGAATTCCTCGGCCTGCTGCGTAAATGTTCTTTTTTTCCACTTTCAAGTTTGCGGGGCGCTTCAGGACACGGGGACAAGAAGAGCGTTCCCAACGTGTTTGAGCGGTCAGTTTGCGAAACGGTCAGGTGCTTAAAAGCTTGCGGGAAAATTGGCCATTCTTTTCGCAAAAAGATATACTCAGCATAACCAAGAACACAAAAGAATATCATAGTATAATATATGTATATACTGGCTGAAATTAAAGGAGCTATTTGTCGGAATTTATACAGATGAAAAGCAAGTTATTGTTGTAGATCTATCGAACACTCATCTCTCTGTTTTTGGGCAAGACATAATGATCAAGAGGTTGTTTTACAACGGCGTTTTCGATGCTCAATGTCACGTTGAATTCACGTGGCCGCCTGAGTACTGCGCTTACAAGAACCGCGCTTCTGCTCTCCTTTGTGCGTCACTCGAACACCTTGTCGCAGGAAATTTCTTTGTTTACTCTGCCTGGCCAGGCCTTATTTTCAGGGATCCCCAAAATGTCTAGCTTTTTCGAAAACTGAAAGGATCGCGTCGCCGCTTTAAATTATCTCTGTTATCCTAACTTTTTGCAGTCTTCTCTATTGGTTCAGGATCAGCGTTTAGAACGGAGGCCCTAAATGAAAACTAGTGGCTGAGAATCAAGCGTCCCAAAACGTAGTACCTGAAAAAGGAACACAGCTCTTGCATAGGGCATGAAAAATACAAATAGCGAAGATTCAGTTAATTACTGCACATTGTTTTAACCAGAAAAGCAGCTAACGGTTTATTCGGAGATTTTGAATTAAGCCAGTGAACCTTTGAAGTCTTTTCGCATTTTTAGACGTCTTTTTCTTAGTTAGAGCTTCATTGCTGTCAGCTTCCAATTCGGAGACTTTTAGCTTGCAGTTGCCTCGTCTTTATATCTATTCATGGGCTCTGAAACAACCTTTGACTATCAAATTAACGTTCCAATTGTCGCTTCGAAAATGCTAATAAAATCAGTCTCATTCCTTCCGATTCCTCGCCTCCTCCTCCATCTCATCATCATATAATCAATGGCCAAGAATCTGCTGCCGTCGACTTCTTACAGCGAACAGATGTGTAAAAAATCCAGACAATGCATCAATCAGGTCCAAGAAAAAAAAAAGTTTTTTCCGCCCGTAAAAAAAGCGAAGACCCCTCTTCGGTCGGGAAAGCGGAGAGGCCGGAGAGAGCGCGGCGTGCGCGGAGGGCGGCAGAGAGCGTAGAGAATTCTTGTGATTTCGACGCGGCCTTTCGTCTTATCAACGACATTTTCCCGCACCCGCCGTTTCCATCGTCAACGCCAATATTGTGTCTGCCGCCGGTGCGTTGTGGCTCCGTTTAGCGGGGAGGGAATTGGCAACGTGTGGTCCGTAAATCATTGATTTATTTCGGGGAGTTGTTGAGCATGTTGCGCCACGCCAAAGACGGCTGCAATATGCATGCAAAGGTAGCTATAGAAATTGCGTTTTTTCAGCCAAAAAAGGGAAGTGATTTTCGCGGGGGCACGCTGAATTTTGAGACGAGTAATATGGTCTGCAATGTCACTAAAAGGTCATGCTATCTTTCGTTCTTCTCTTCACACGACCCCATGTCCCTTACACGAACCCCGCGGCCGCCAAATAGACATCACAGTTCGTTATTGGCGCCCTTTTTTGTGCTCTTGGACTTCTTAAAGCTTTTTTTTAAAGAAGTCCAAGCTTTGCTGCGGCTATACAAATTGCGCCAAGTTGCCTCAATTTTTAACTTTATGATTCTCAAGGTTTAAAATGCATATAATTTTTGACCTTTTTTTCACAAGGAACTCCCCTTTTTGATTATGCAAATTTTTAGTTTTCTTTTTTTCCCAGAGGTCTATAATATTTTCAGCGGCCGAAAACTTATCCTTTAATGTTTTCTGTAATGAATACCAACGTTAATTAGTGATCTTTTCGCCCTCTTCATTCCACCAATTTAACACAAATCTTCGTTTTTTCGCTTTTTCTTTCGATCATCCGCAAATATTGACAAAAATCTTTTTGCTCGCCATGAAAAACTTTTCAAACGAAAAAGATCTAGTCTCGTTCCCTTTCCATTTTTGTCAAAGTTGTTATTTCCATTGAATAGGGAAGGATCGATTGCTCGGATTTTTTTTTCACTTTGGATTCTTCAACGTCAAATTTGCACTATTTTTCAACGGAATTTTTCTTGTTTAAGGATGGCGTAGTCCCCCCAAATTTTTTGTGTGTTTTGCTCACTCTGCGTGTTTTTCATTAACGAAAATTATATTGCCGAATTTTCTTCATTTTTCTCCTACTCTATCACAGCGTTTTTATGACTGTGTTTACCGGGGCTAGTCTGTGAAGCATTACCTAGAAGTTTACCAACTTTTTTTTTGAAAATCTTCACATCACACACTAATTTTTACATTTAATTTTTGCCCCGAAAACCTCGATATGAAATGCATCACAAGCCTAAAGCTATATCTTAAAAAAGATGTAGCTTTAGGCTTATTATTATTTTTATATCTAACGGCCGCTACTTCCTTATGGCTCGCCACCTCAGGCAGTCAAGAAAAACGCTGGCGTGCATTCATATTTTTGTTTTATTGTGATCGATAGGCTCCGTTAACGGCAAAGGGTTTCCATCGATGGGTGAAAAGGGTATTGCGTCTCGAGTTTTTTTTACGGGGTGCCTCTCCGCGGTGAAGACGGTGTTTTCAACACAAAAACCGTTTGACTACCTTCCCGTGGGCTTGCGAGTCCGTTGACTTTTGGCTTTGCCATCTCCTGACATGACCTATGTCCCCGTGGGGCTGCGTCCGCTTTTCCGGCAGTTGGTCTCCCTTCCGACGAATCTTTTGGACTTTGTGTTTTTTTTTTGCTGGTCGTTCCGTTCTTTAACAAATGTCGAAAAATGCTGGGGCCTTGTGCGGCCGATTTTTAGTTGGTCGGATGCAGGAATGCAACAACGCTTCATTAGCTCTTTGTTCTTCGCAGGCGGCGTGAGCAAAGATCACTGCGTGAATGTTATGGGAATTATGTCGAACCAATAGATTTCTATTTGTTAATGAGTTGTTTGGACGGCAAAAAAACAGATTGAATTTATCAAAAAGCCTTGAATCTTCACTCCATTTCGGCCATATGATCACGTCTTTTTTACAGGCCACATTTTTGAATCACTCTCAGAAATGGGGCCATTTCTGAACCCTGCGTAAACTTGCGTGTCGCCAATATTGTAATCATATCGCCCGATTTGTCAACACCCACGATTTCAGGTGACCTTTCGAATAAAGCCAGCCTCACCTTCTGGAACTTCGTTATAAAACCTTCAACGAGCCGCCACAATAGTCGCGCGTCAGTTGTCCGCGTTAATTAGTCGAAAAATCCCGAGCAGACGATGGCAAGCGGAGCCAGGCCCTCAAGCAACCAACGTAATGAGAGTGCTACGTCGGCGCCGAAAAAGACGCGTACGCCACGCGGCCACGATCATTGCAATGAATATGTAAGTCGCGTACCTTGATTATATGCATCCGAAACCACGGCAGATCCACGGCTATCGTGGGCTTTTGGCTCTCGTAGATGTACAACTTTGTGCCTTTTTATCTCCTATATTTTAAACGAAGTTATTCTCTGCTGGCTGCCGGTTTATTGTGAACATTTTGAGCTGACAAAAGTTTACTTCTCTTTTACCGTACACGGTCCAGGTTTTTCCTCCGGACCCAGAGAACTTTCGGAAAAGATTTCTCTCGTGACGAACCCCCAAATAAACCGAGAGACAAGAAATCTTTTTCCAACCTGATCAGTGATTGGTTCAGCCAATTCGTGACGCTCTTCAAGCGTTACATTTTTCGTACCATAAAATTTTTTGTGCTATAAGTGTAACGCCATTAAACGGGGCTTGAAAGTGCAATAAAAACAGTGACCGACGACCGCCTGAAATCTTTTTGATTGTAATTTATTGACAGCATGAAATCAGAGTTGCCTTGTGTTATATAACATATATTACAGTGCGTCGTGTGCGGAGATCGCGCCTGCAACCACCACTACTATGGCGTGGCCGCGTGTCATGGCTGCAAGTGTTTCTTTTGGCGTTCCGTGAAACAACAACAACAATACGTCTGTCGATATGATAAAAACTGCGACATTAGTCCGAGTGAGTTTCTTTTTGAAAGGCGTAAAAAAATTTTTTGAGTGAAAAATATGTAAATAAAAATGAAAAGACGTTGCATTTATTACACATTATTCATTCAAATTCCGGTTATTTTAGATCATCGAAACTCATGTCGTTATTGCCGCTTCCAGCGCTGCCTTGCCGTTGGAATGCAACCCGATGCTGTTCGCATGCAGAACACCACACGCACCGAGAAACGCCCGGCCACATCCAGCACCACCGCGAATAACGCGGTGGTCAGTAGCACCGTTCTCGACTCCTCCACTGGGCCCTCCTCCATCGAGAGCCTGGAGCTGAAGCCGTACATTGAGGTAGGGGTTTTATGAGTCCTCAGAAAAAGACATTTTAATAACGCTGGTCCTAATATAAGTTTTTTAAGACCGCCGAAGCCAAGAGAGCCCGCGCCGACAATGAGACAATGGTACGCGCGATTTTTGAACTCGAGCGTCGCGTGAATGAAGTCGCCGACTTCAGCGAAAACGAAACTCCTTACGATCTCTGCTCCTTGGACGAGATATTCTCACGGCCCGAGATTTTGGAACGTTATCGGACCAGTGTCATCTACTGTGTCCGCCTGCACCGTGCAACAACCGAAGAACTTGAATTCTGTAAATATCGAACCCTAACCAAAGCTTTTGATATGGTCTACTCGCTGGAGAGCCTTGGGATGTCGCCCATCTCCATCGAGGACAAGATCACCCTTCTCCGCAACATCTACGGACAACTCACCGTCTTCGACATTGCCTATGGTACTGTTCAGGCGACAAAGGACAGAAGTCTGCTTTGTCTTCCGACCGGAATAACGTTATCCACCAACGAACAGATCCAAGACAACTCCTTCATCAACCAAGGCCTGATCACGCAGATCGCGGGGGTCTTGGTGACCGCCTTGTCGAAGGCCGAGCTCACGGAGGAGGAAGCCGGAATTCTGAAGGCAATCATCATTGCCAACGACGGTGTTCAAGGCCTTTCGGTGAATGCGGTCGAAGCGATCGGCGCCCTCCGCGGACGACTCCACTCCGCCCTGCACCAAGTGTGCTCGGTGGGGCAGTCGGCGGACCTGGCGACGCAACGCTTCGCCGCCCTGTTGCACATCCTGTCCAAGCTGGTCATGCTGAGCCACGATCTGATCGAGCAGTTCCGCGTTCGCTTCACCTTCCAGCACTTCGAAAGCGAACAGAGCACGACGCCGTTGTTCTACGAGCTCTTCGGCGACCTGTTCTATCAGACGCGCGAAAACAGCACCATCATTGAGAATATCCATACGCTGGCATTGGCCAAGGCAAAGAACAGGTCAGTTAGTGAGAGTGAGGACATGTCGTGTTGATGCCGTTCTAACCCTAACTATTTTTTGGAATAAACAATGTTGTGAAGTCTTAGTAGTAGTTTCTGTAGTGTTTGAGGTGTGGACGAAGAGAAACGATCATAGAAGTCTCGATGCCTTAAAACTAAACGCCAAAGTAGATTTCAGTAGGAATGACAGCCTCGAATTCGAATCATCATCAAATAGGATCGTCAAGACTCATTTTGGCTAATAAAATTTTAGTGACTTTATGAGCAGTGCCATTGCAATAACAACAATAATTCTTGCACTTTCAGCCCTGCCACTGTCGTGACCGGATGACTCGCAGCGAACAGTGCGTCGGCAGGGGCGCGTGCGCCCCTTGCTCGTCGCACTAACAGCAAAAAAGCCAATGGTAGCCAGCTCAGCCAGCACGTGCAATCATCCCGCCCACGGTCCAAATGGGTCTGGCGTCCGGTCCGGGAGCAGCGCGCCTCTTTTTTGCAACCCTTTCCCCAGAAGGTGGGGCAAAAGCCGGCGCTCCGCGGCTCCACGAAGCTGAACAAACGCCGCTCTCCGAAGCCGGTCTGGCTTCACGAGGCCGGCGCGCCAGCCAGACGACCGTTAAGCGAGCAGTGCACGCGTGCATCGGGATCGCCGAACATCGCCGATCGAGGAGCCGAAACGAACGTTGAGGATCCAAGTGTCGACGACTCCGACTTGTGGCCACTTCCCGAGTTGAAGCCTCCGAGTGAGCTCGACCACGTCGACGACATGGATGACCTGTTCATTGACGTACCGAGCGCGGGAATTGTGTCGGCGGTGGTGGAGGCGGCGGTTCCGGCCCCACTCCTGTCCCCGATGCCACAGATCGGAGAGCCGTTGGAGGACAATGTGATGCACGAGCTACAGCCGGCTGAGATCAGTGTTGGTGAAGAGATGAATGAGAATCCGGAAGGCACGTCTTCCGACCATTGGCTTTTAATGGAAATGGCCTGCTTGACTTCAGAGCCCTCTTTCCATTCGTTGTCTACCGAGTGCTATGATGACAACGGTCTCAACTTGAACTGGGATGACAACTTCTAGTCATGTTCCTACGAGATTTTAATACCTGAGATTTGCATTTTTTTATGGCATTTAACAACAACCCCATCCCCAGCGCAGTTGACAAACACACCGTTACTACAGCACTCAACGCAGAAGAACATCTACCTGTTGAATCTGGTTGAATATATTAATAATAACTTTGTAATCGTATTTTTCTTCATAGAATGTTAACCTATCTCACTTGCTTGCGCAGTGTCAACCGGCGGACCGATTGCGCTTTTCGCATTTTTTAAGCTTTTCAAAAATCATCTAAAACTCTGTCAGCGTTTCGAATTTTGGTGACAGTGCAATCGAGCCGCTCCTCTCAACTTTAATGTTTCTATTTGTGAACCTCTCGAGAGGCACCAGCCTTCCGAACCCCTATAATCTCTGTTATATAATCGCGTTTCGTCTATAATTCTCTCTTATAGAAAACCAGTGTATACTACGGTTTATTTGTAGTGAACTCCACATTATAACCATTCTTAACCTTTTTGTTTTGGAAACACAATCAGCCAAACGTGCTGTACCCATAGCTAAACGCCTTGTAGATTACGTGAAATACTCGAATAAATAAGCGACACCAACTGGGAAGAATGAAGTATTGATGACTAAATTAAGGGAGGACTTTGGCAAAAAGAATTCTAAGTTGATGGCAAAAGTTCTTGTCAAATAGATGCATAAATATTATACTACAAATCCATTTTGAAGCCGGCGGGAAATCGAAGCCATTAATCAATTAATGAACAAACAGAAATGAGTTATTGAGCCCTTACAGTGAGGGACAAATCTTGAAAGAAAATCAGTCTTCGTAGAGATGTTCAAGGCTCCTGCCAAACAGAATAGCATTTTATGTTTGTGAAGCCCGAAAAAAGTGTAAAATCTTTGTCTAACTTCGACCAAATATCTCAAATATTTCAGCAAAAAACTGGTTAAAAATCTTACAAGAATAAACCGATACTTAATTCACTAATTTTTTCCATGTACTACAAACCGTTGCACATTTTAATTTCGGTTTTTTTTTTTTGGGTTTTCTCTTCCTAATGCGGTGGCTGACTTCCATGTCACAAGCCACTGTCAAGACCGGATTGTGGAGACTAGTCGCACTGTGTAGAAGTTTCCGGATTCAAGCGACATCCCAAAAACCATTTGCGCGGTGCAAACAGCAACAAATTGCATTACAGTCGGGGACCTGATCCTTCCATTTTGCATCCATAAAGTATCGAAAATGTGGCCAAGTGCTTCCCTCTCCAAGTAAAAAGACTCCGGTCCGCTCATTTTGTGAGGGCAAGGATACTTTCAAAACGGAGTTTTCTAGTTATAGAGGGAGGCATTTTGCCGCATTTTTTGATACTTCCCTGATGCAAAATGATACGTTTTTGCCACTGGATAAGGGCCTTTACTGCATGTGCAAGGTGCACTGTTGTTTTCCCACAATGCACGTCAAAAAATTTTACAATTTTCCCATAGAAATTAGCATAAAAAGAAAAAAATTGTACTCTTCAAAATTGGTGATAAATTCATTTTCAATTTTCTAAAAGTTTCATTTGTTTTGATTGGTGTAGACTTGAGAATGACGCGTTCGGACTGGAGCTCCGGCTCTTTGCCATACGGCACCGACGTGTACGATGTTCGCGGTGCGTATAGACAATTGGAGGCGTGGAGGCCGTATATCTTGCTCCTCGACGCCGCATATGTGTTGTTTGTCTGGAAGGTGGCGCCGAAAATTCGGAAGCTAAGGACCGATCCGAGGCTGTTGAGGGACTTGTCGATTATCTGGAACGCCTTCAACGCGGTCACCTCAATGTACATGTTTTTATTGCTTTTGCCGGAATTGATCAGCTCCCTCGGAAACGGTAGGTTCATTTCCGAAAATTTGGGGAGTTGATTGCAGGCTGGTATCATACAACCTGTAAGGTGGGAACTTTCTACACGGGACAGTGGAGTGGGCATGCCATGTACTTGTTCTGTTTGTCCAAATTGTGGGAGCTGGGCGACACAATCCTGCTGGTCCTTAGAGGTCGACAGCTTCTCTTCCTGCACTATTTTCATCACTCTGTGGTGCTTATTCAAGTGATTTTCACCTATTATTCAGCTGGTAAGCTGTTATTAATTGAATATTTAACTTGTGGATGGAAGTTCCTTATTCTGGCCACAACTTATAACTTTGCGGAAAGTGGTCAGAATTAGCCCAAATTTTGGCGTGCAGGCTCAATTCATCGTTGTCAATGCATGGCATTTAGCTTGTGAGGCACCTTCTTTTGTACGTACCACCTTACCCTTCAAAAGCGGCTGCAACCTGGGATTTTACACTTTATACGATGAAACCTGTCCGGAACTAAACTTATTGCCTCTGTGTAGAACAAAATGAGTCGTCATAACCTTCTTAGGTACCTTTAAAACTATTCAGCAACTATCGGAATTCAGTGCCAGCTAGATCGACGCCGTTTTCCTAATTTTAGTTCCTAAGCTTGGGCGCAGTTCGCAGAGTACCTTTGTTGTGGCCAGAGTAAGGAACTTTTTCCGAATATATTTAACTTGTTTTTTTAAATGTTTCACCAGATTCTACACCGTTTTTTTATATCTCTAAGAAAAATCATCTTTTTGTCGTTTTTTTATAAAAATAATTTTATTTTTGCACGACCGCTTAAAAAATTCATTTTTCCCCCTATTTTTAGGATCTATGGCCCGACTTGGAACCGACATGAACTCCTTTGTCCACTCCTTGATGTATTCGTACTTTGCTTTGGTCAATGTTGTCCCATCAATCCGCAGATTTGCCCCCGTCATCACTTGCCTGCAAATCAGCCAATTCGTCGTGGCTTGTATTGGAATGCTGAGCCTGGCCGGATACGTAATGGCCGGATACGAGTGCGAGACCAACAAGATGGCCCTTCCATTGCATTTTGCAATCTACGTCATCTTCTTCGGCTTGTTCACCCAATTCTTCGTCGACTCGTATGGCACGAAGAAAGGGTCGGAGAGACAACGGCCCGGAAGAAGTTTGAGGGCCAAAAAGAGGGTCTAGTATTGTCAATTATAAAGTGCGGCTATTAAACTCATGTTAAGATAAAACATGTACAACAAATGTGACGATTTATTGTTTTGGAAAAAGTTCATTATTCTGGCCGCAGCAAAGGTACTCTGCGATCTGCGCCAAAGCCTGGGAACTAAAGTTAGGAAAAACGGCTTCGATATAGCTAACACTGAATTACTATAATAGCTCTATAGTTTTAAGGGTACCTACTAAGGCTATGACGGCTCATTTAGTTCCACGGAGGCAATAATTTTTGTTCCGGACAGGTTTCATCGTATAAAGTGTAAAATCGCAGGCTGCAGCCGTTTTTGAAGGGTAAGATGGTACGTAAAAAAGAAGGTACCTCACTAACTAATTGCAATTTGGTTAGTGTCTGGGCATTGACAACGATGAATTGAGCCTGCATGCCAAATTTGGGCTAATTCTGACCAGTTTCCGCAAAGTTATAAGTTGTTGCCAGAATAAGGAACTTGTAGAAAAATGTTCAATAAATGTAACTGCAACAATTTGGTATCTTATCGTGGAGCGTACCGCGCGAGGTTCATTACAATATTTATACATTCTGGAAGCGGAGCCTTTACTCTATATCCAGGCCATTTTTCAAGTCTCTAGCTTCAACGGCTAGCGAGCAATTAATTAAAGAAGGAGGTCCACTTTGAAAAAATAGAAACGATTCGGGGAGGCCGGTTGTGTCCCAAAAGTATACAGAATGCCGTGCGCATAGATGATAAGATAATATTCTTTATTTTATGAAAACGTTCAAAAACTACATGCCAACGATATGCATTAATTTGAGGATAATAGTATATGCAAATTTGAGGCCTTAGTTGATGCCACGGCCACCATATCCGCCATAGCCAAGCCGTTCATTTCCATATCCGCCAAAGCCGCCAACATAGCCGTTCCCACGACCCCCATGATGTCCATGCCTCTCGCGTTCGCCATAACCACCAATTGGTCCATTGCCATAGCCTCCAATCCCGATTTCAGGTCTGTAGCCGGCAAACGGTTGATTTCCATACCCGCCGATCCCTTGGCCCAGCACTGGTCTGCCTCCATAGCCGCCTAGTCCGTCGCCAAATCCACCGCCAAGTCCGGCCTGAGGTCCGGCTCCAAACGCGCCCCCTCCTTGTCCATACGGATACAGTTGAGCCCACGAAACAGTAATTAAAGTGACAACCAGAAGAAGTTTACGCATTTTTTCGTAGCGATTCGAAAATATTAGGTTGGGACGAAAGTTTTCCCCTTTTTCTTGTTTTTTTCCAAACAAATTTATTTTGACAGTTGTAACGGGAAACCAAACATAACATCCACCGTCGGTATCCACTACGTATTGCCAACGTTCCGACAAGGATTCAATTGGCGAGCTTAAAAACTGGGGTATTTATAATAAAAAATGTCAGAAAGACCTGTTTTGAGGTCCCCCAAACAATCGAACCGCACATCTCCCAAACGGTAGCTTAGCGATCTGATCAAATGGTAATCAGAAGGTGCCAAGGCTGGGGTGTAGTGTGGGTAGGGCAGCAAAGCCCATGCATTCTCCATGAATTTTTTGCGCGCGATTTTTGCAATGTGGTAGCAGGCGTTGTCGTGAAGGAGGAACATTTGTTCCACTTTTATCTAGCATTTTCGGCGACGCGGTCCAACTGGCGATAATAATGTTATTTAGTGACAGTTTTACCATCAGGGAGCCATTCCTAATAAATACCTCCCATACAAGTCCACCAATCGCAGAACATGACCTTTTTTGGGTGAATTTTGGTTTTGGGGTTGGTTCACCGTGATGGTCGGGTTCAAGCTACTAAAGCTTGCGGGTATGGTTTATATACATCACCCATTTCTGGTTCCCTGTAATGATATTGGTCAGCCAAGTCAGCGTGCGGCGGTACGACAAAAATTAGGAGCAACAGTATAAGCCGTGACTCCGAAAGTTCGTGCGGAACAAATTAACCACACTTCCACACTTTTCCCAACCGATGTAGATGGTCCATAATGGTAGTATGGGAGAACCCAAAGAGCTCTCCAAGTTCACGTAATGGCAATTTGGGATAGCTCACGATTATGCCTTTTAGGGCGTCATCATCTATCTCAGATGGCCGCCAGAACTTGGTCGTCGAACTCCTTTTTTTGAACCTCTGGAACCAATACTTGGCCACACCCTAAAAGAGGACGTCCTTGCCTATAACATCCTCGACTTCGGTTATATCTTCCATGGGTTTTGGTATTCTGCGATAGTTTTAAAATTTGACGCATCGAAACAGCAACTTTGGAACGGAAATTTTTCCACGTTTGGAGAGCGCTATGGGGACAAGTTACACATCAGTCTATATGCTATCAAGTCACCCTTACATAGTCACATGATAGAACTTTCCAGGAAGTTCCACAACTTCCATAACTTTTCCCGAAAATTAAGGGGAAAACTTTCGTCCCAACCTAATAATATGAGTCCGACACGAATGAATAAATGGTGAAATCACCTGGTCTTTTAAACGTATGAGCGCAATGGCATTGCGCAGAAAAAATAGATAAGAGTGTTTCGCGTTGCTGCAGCAGAGAAAATGCAAAAATTTGAAGTGAATGGTTCTTTTCCCCAACAGGAATATCGGTAAGACCATCCGAGTCCATGTTGGGGACATTCGTAGTCAAGCTACAGAGAGGGGCAGTCGAAAGAAAGCCTATTCAGAAAAACTCATGCTTCCGTTGGAAATTTGGTTGTTGAAATACAACAACGAATCGATGAAACCCAAGAATCGTCGACCCGAATTTCATACATATAGTTGACCTGAAACTTCGTTAAAATCACATTTCTTGGAGCAAAAACAAAAGAGGTCTAATTGTAAGCAAAACCGGCCTAGCCGTCTCTCTTTATGAGTTGAAAATCACGGCAAAACTTTTAGGGAAATGATAGAAAACTACTTCGAGCACAGTTTTCAACTCTCAAACGCAACTACCGAGCAGAAAACTCTTCTTTTTTGGGTGTGTTTCTGCGAGTGTTTGTATCAAATTAATGAAAATTGGAGTAATAATTGCGTTAGGGCGCATGGGGAATGTGACGAGAGTTTGTTGTGAGAATTTTGACTGTTTTATTTTCTGCAAATATAATAACATCTCATAAAGATTTTCACGTATTTCTGGAAATTCTAAAAAAAATTCTATAAACTTTTTTCAACATCACTTCTACACACATCTTATAGTTATAACTTTTTTATTGTTTAGTCATTTTTGAAGCTTTCTTTTGCAACAAACATTGGCAAGGAGACTGCGCTGCACATGTCATATTTTTAATCACCACACTGATTCCCTCTTCTGTCTTATCGGGGTCACACAAAAGGCCTATCCCTTAGCACCGCATAAATATTATCAAATTCCAAAGAAAATACATATTACTCACATTCCTTTCACTGGGTCGGCGTTACTTTCTTTCAAAGTAATTTTTAACTTTTTTGATTACTGTTTGTACGTTTTTTGAGAACAAACTTCTGACTTGTTCTTCAGCGCGTTTGATTTGCTTTTGGAAATTTGTGTATAGGAATCAGCCTTGTGACTTTGAAGATGTAAATCTTCCGGAAATAACGTCAAGCTTTTCAATTTTATTTTTTAATAAATAGATGGGAAGTGTGCTAAATGCGACGCTGAGATTTTCTTGAGTTTTGCAGGGCCGTCGTCCTAAGTCCTTACATTAAATTCCGGACAATTGTTGCTCGTTTTTTACAGAAAGAACCGAGATATTTAACGATCTTTGAGAGTGAGTGCAAATCAAAGAACAGGCAAAAACAAAACGTCTTTTTGGCAACCTTTATTATTAAAGTTTTGACTAAAATCTGAACGTCGCAATTCAAGAACTTCCTCTGCTTTTAAGAGGTCATATAAACTAGAGAAAATGTAGCCAAAAATTTGAATTTCTAGCTTTCCGATCTTGCCTTTGTCCTGAGCCTTGTATAGTACCTTTCTACTTACAGGGGAGGTACACCAAGTGCAACGCTCAACTTTCCCTTCAATTTTGCACACTTGTTTTGCGTGAACCAAGTATCAATCCCTGAAAGTTTTAGCTCACGTTTTGCAAGCGCCACCGAGATATTGAACCATCTTTGCCGCCGAGAGAGTGTGCTAAATGCGGTGAGCGGTCAGAGAGAAAGGCACTTTTTGGTCATAACTTTGCTAGTTTCGTGCGGAAAAAAATGATTTTTTGTGGAAACATTACCCTTTATGGTACATATAGGTATTAAACTTTTTGTGCCAAAATTCGGCAAAAAGTCTTAAATTTACGCCGGCTTTCGATTTAAAAATCTCGGTTGTTTCTGCATAGCGCGAACTACAGTGAGGGACCTGAACCAATGGCAAAAAACGTGTCATTTTGCATACTGGAAGGGACCAAAATGTCTCCAAACCCTTCCCTTCTCTAAGCTAAAAAACCACACTTTGAAGAGCCCGCCTTGAAGGAAAGAGCGCGTTTTTCAAAGCGGAGTTTTTTTAGCTTAGAGAAGGGAAGGGTTTGGAGTCATTTTGGACCCTTCCAGGATGCAAAATGACACGTTTTTTGCCATTGGATCAGGTCCTTCACTGTAGAATTCGCGCATATATCCTAGAAAAAATTATTCTTAATTTGTGCCAAGTTTCATCAAAAGGTCGCACTTGGGGTACTTCCCCTGTTAGCCCGATGTGATCATTCCGCTTTGTTTTCCCTCAATTTACATTTCTTTTCTTCGGCTATCAATAAGCCGATTAATACATACTCCGCCAGCAGCATGGTCCTTGTTCTTCCAAACACCATTGCCTCTGTGTTAATGAAATTCGGTGCGCCCAATGATTGATAAACCCATATCAGACCTTCATCGTTCAAAGACAAACCTCGCATGTTCGCGACGTCGGGGTCTGTTTGCGTTTGGACGGTCTTATTATTGCTCGCAGTGGACGTTTTTGCTTTGATCACGCATCGAGAACTTGTGATCGTTTAAAGACCGAACCTCTGCCTTTTCACGGTCCTGTTTACCAAAGTGCGGTACTATAAAACCGCGGCAAAGTCGGGTGGAAAATTTTTTCAAAAAGGTGTACGGTGTTTTTTTTTTTTTTTTGATTTTGCGTTAAATTTCTTAGATGTGGAGGTTTGTTTTTCATAAAATTGGGCATACGTGGAGGGTGTTGACTTCGAAATGACATTCTTTTTTTGATAGTTACTTGTTTCCTTAAGTAGTACTGTAAAGTTGAAATTTTTTGAATTTTTTTTATGAATACTCGATTTGAGGGCTTTCGATGGTGCTGCATTAAAATGAAAAAAATGAATAAGATTTTTGAAATCAGCACCATCGAAGACCCCTAACTCGAATATTTGTGAAAAAAATTCAAAAAATTACAACTTTACAGTACTAACTTAAGGAAAAAAGTAAAGATCAAAAAAATGAACGTCATTTGCGAAATCAGCACCCTCAAGTATCCTAATTTCGACACTTCGAAGAAAAATAATACTTTTCGGTTTCCCCAACCGTCCAACTCCGATTTGGAAGCGAGAAGCAAAAGTGGAGTATTGGCTAAAAACGCATATAATTTTTAGCAATTTTGATATCCTAATCTATTGCGTGTTATGCCAATCTCATCTTTCAACCTGCCTTGCCCCCATAGTCTACTCTTTTTTAGCTTAATCACCTTGCAAAACAACTCCAAACCCCTTCGAAATGGACGTTGTTTGGAAGCATGTCGACTCTGCCGATCCATCGTTGGATGGTAAATCCGTTTACGAATGCCAGCCCGATTGGATCTTCTGTGATCCAACATGCAAGCCGGAAAAGCCGAAAAAGTCGAAAAGTGTGGACGCGGTTTCGCGAAAAACCCTGGCAATGTTGTTGAAGAAACTGCTGCGGAAAGATTGAACGTTTTTCAAAATCCTCATTGTATTTATTATTTAGTTAACCTGATCTCAATGTATTAAATGTTTTTACGATGTTTTTATATTATATTTAATAACCAGTTGTTTGCAGAGCAGACCGAGTTTTTAATAAAATTTTGATCAAACTGAGAGAAGATTATTCTACATATTAGGCTTACAGGGGAAGTGCTTTAAGTGCGACGCTCAGATTTTGATGAAACTTGGTACAGATTTAGAGTAATTTTTTCTAAGATATATGCGAGAATCTTAGCTCGCTCTTTGCAGAAACAACAGAGATATTTAGATCGAAAGTCGGCGAAAATTTAGGACTTTTTGCCTTTTTTTTGCACGAAAAGTTTCATGCCTATTTTTACTGTAAAGGATAATGTTTCTACAAAAAAGCAAATTTTTCCGCACGAAACTGCCAAAGTTATGGGCAAAAAGCTATTTTCTCTCTGACCGCTCTCCACGTTTAGAATGCTTTCTTGGCGGCAAAAATCCTTCGATATTTCGGCGGCGCCCGCAAGGCGCGAGCTAAAACTTTCAGGAATTGATATTTAGTCTATCCCCGACGTGTGTGCAAAATTTAAAGAAAATCTGAGCGTCGCACTTGGAGTACTTCCCCTGTTAGAAGTGTGACCGTGTCATTTTTTTAGTTGTGCATTTTTTACAGATAGAATTATGTTTTTGGAACTTGTGTTATATCGCCTGAAAGAACGTTAAAAACCCTATCTACTGATATATGTTCCATATGGTCAGGCTTATAATACTGGTTTTTATAAAGCTTTAAAGATGACCCACTTGATGCTGTGGTTCTGGGGCAGGTTTGCAGAAACTACTGAAATATTCAGAAAAACGACTTGCTCAGATCTCGAGCCTGTTCTACAAAATCTATTCTAAACCAATCTTTTTGAGAACGACATGACGAATCCCAAGATTTCCCCTGCCCAATTTCTTGACGCGTACATATTTTCTGTTGTAATCGGATGCCCATTCAACCGCTCACTCAATGTTTATTCTGCCGACAAAAAACGACCTCGAGAGACTGAATCCGAACCGATTATTATCAGCACCAGATTCCGCTGATATTTCGCGCATTTCCCTTTTTTCGGCAATAATTAGCATTTCTCTCGCCCAACTCAATAGAAGCCGAACCAAAGAAGCATAAACATCCGAAGCTAAGTGAAAAATGAATGCCGCTTTCGGCGAGTGATAAGTGTGACGTTTGCGTCGGCGAAACAATTGAGGAAAATCCGGCATTGCTGGATTTTCCTCAAAAAATACATGGCAGCCATTGGGCTAAAGGTGGGACAGGCCCACAAATCTCGTGAAAAAAAATGGCCAAAGGGCGTGGTAGGCATCTACATCATCAAAGCAAAAGATGGCTCATAGGGCCACTCAGTCGATAAAGTACGGTAGATACGAATGTAATACCCTTATACTACAGAGAACACGAGGAATGGTATTAAGAGCAGGTTGATTCAAAAACCGGATCAAAAACTTGCAAATTTCCAAGTGGAACCAAACGCCTGGGATACCCAAAATTTTTAAAAAATCGCCATAACGTCAGAGTACTAAAGCCAAATAGGATGAAACTTTGCACAGCTTATTCTTAAGGGTTGTTTAACACTTGTGCAAAATTTCATGACATTTACGAAAAAAAACACCCGAGATATGATCAAAAAATGGGGTGGACCAAAAACCTGGGACACTGTATGCCCTCAAACCTCTGTAGAAGACTTGAGCACCAATCCAGCTCTTTAACTTTCAATTTTAAACGACTAAACTGCAAGTCCAACTTTCTAGTTGGCTATTTGTTTTCTATGTAGGCAAATTCCATTCCGCTGGCTATCAAGTTTATTGTGTGAAGGCTAAAAATCCCGCACAAGTTTAACGCAGCCTCCAAGTCCATTCCATCAGCAAATATTCTAATATTTTATTATGTAAATTTCTTGTTGTAAAAAACTCAAAGCACCACGAAATTGGCTGCCAAAGACCTTGGAAATCAAAATATTCAAACAAAGGAAATGCAAATGGAAGAAGAGGAGTCGGCATAAATAATGTCACATATACGGGAATGTATGTAAAGAAAATGCAATACTAATTGAGTCGGAAAGACGGCAAACCGTAGACGTAAAAATAAGCGCTAAAAAATGAAAAAAAAGTAATATCAATTCCATCCCCTTTCCGATTAATATCACAATTTGGTTATCGAAAAGTCTCAAAATCTGAGACGTTTTGGTCCTAGAAATTAAATAAAATCAAACTTGATGCGAATAAAATGTGCATGCAAAACCTTTTTACACATATCTACAGAGACGAAAAAAAGTCCTGCTGAGAAGATAGACGTCGGAATAAAAAAAAAATCTTTTGGGATTTTTAAAAGTTAAAATTTTGGCGTCTAAGTACAGGCAAGTATGAGGGGAGCCATTCAAATCGCGGCAACGCTCTATTGATACTGGCTCTGGCTTTGGTAGAACCCGTTGCCGTAGGCGTTGATCTCGTTGAATCGAAAGCCTAGTGTGTCCATCGAGCCGACAAAGTTGTTCTGGATGTTGAACAAGCCGGTCTCATTCACCATCCTCATATCCAATTGTTGGGTTAGCGTGTCCTTGGTGATTTGCGGCATTTGGCCGTGTCGTTTGCCCTTGGGATTGGCTTTCCGATTGCGGCATTGGATGTTGTCTTTTTTCATTGATTTTGGGCGGTCTTGCTGAAAAATTGAAAAAATTGTTTCGGTTAGTATGCAGATTTTTATTTATTTTTATTTTCTTTTCTTTTTTTGCAATTCCTATCGTCTTATTTCCAAATATTCGATTATGATAATGCAAAAAATGTTAAACGGACTCGCCTTGCCTAATTACCCATTACAGCGCGACCTTGAGTTTTATTCCATGAGTTTTGTAAAATCAACCGGCACTGACCCTCCGTCTTCCCTCCGTCTGTCAAGGCCTCGGCTCTACGCGTCGCCAGCACTCACTGCGCCGCCTCAGAGCACCCCTCTCAATGTCTTGACACGTCTCGGTTACTCGAGATGTTATCAGCCGAGTCTTGACGTGGTGGAGTTGGTTGTTCGAGGCCTCCTTTTACGGGTAATTAATGACCTATTAATCATGAATGCAAAGAGGCAAAATACCTCGGCGGATTCCGGGTTTACTGCGCCGTAATCGCTGCTGCGCGATACGGTAGTGCTATGGGGAAAAATAAAGGCAAAAAAATTGCATGGAAGACAGAAAAAAAATTTAGCCTAATATCATAGCCCTGGTGAAATATATCGCCAAACCATGGGATGCACAAAAATGCGAGTGTTTTTACGACATTCCAGCCATAAAGGCCATTTGTCGGAATTCTAGGTATAAAAAAACACCTTGATCATAAAGCGCTCCTCTCGGACAGCTTTTGTTTTCGTTTTGCCGGCAAAAAATGTAAAAATATAAAATTGTCGAAGAATATAAAAATCTATTAAAAATTAGTCCATCCCAAAAATTTTTATTTTTTTCATAGGGAAGAAGAACGTTTAAAAAAGTCTTACATTATGAAGTTTGTAGTACAATCCGCAGGCATTGCAGACGGGCTGTTGATTCGCATTCCGCCTCCACAACGTCGTTTTGTCCGTGTTGCAGTTCACGCAATAAATACCGGTTCGTTTTTGGGTCGTCTGAAAAGCGAGGGTCGAATAATTATTTAAAAAATTTTGCAGAAATATAAAGTTTTTTTTTATAATTTTTTATCAAGAAGATAAAAAATTTTTAAAATTTCATTAGGATGATGATGATTTTGTCGAAAATCCGGCTAAATTCTCCTAGTTTTCAAACAAGATTGCGCGTTTTTTGAACAAAATTTCCATTCTCTTCCCCGAGCGAAAACAAATTCGAAAGCTTGTAATGAAGAGTAGATTGTTATCATCAACTGGCGTCAGGCTTCTTGTAGGAGCGTTAAGGCTCCATATTTCAAAAAAAAGCTTTCCATTGAAAGCCAAAGAAAAGTTTCTGACGTAATTTGAGCCAAAACCGTAAACTTGGTCGTAGCGATAATCCGATCTATTGAATATGTCAATTGCAGGTCAATGCAAAAACAAATGGATTAGTAATCGAAACGAGCGTCGCTTTTCCGATCCCATTTTAATAGGATTTGTTTTTCAACAAGCTTAAAACAGCCTAGTTTGGCTACTGTTTTTGTCCCATTCTTCCGCACTGCCCTACGCTCTGGATTACATTACCCATTAGATGACGTAACAGACCGCTTAAAGCCATTGTTTTGGGATCACGATCTGGCTGTCAATCAACGCAAAAGCAATACAAAGACCCGTATAGCCCGAACTATAATTGTTGAGGGAAAGTGGGTAGAATGATCCAAAAAATGATCGGAATCGGTGATAATTATATGCCGACAAACCGGTTATGGGAACGAATTTTGAGGAAGATCGCTTTGTCGGTAAATTTTTGCATCGTGACAAGAAGAGAGGCCATCGAGTACGGTAGGTAAAGAAAGTGGGCAAAATTTGGTAAAGCCGGTCAACTTTGGCCCTATCTGCTGAACACTTTAAAAAAGAGACAAAATTTGAATAGCGCAAAAATCGAGCAAATCAAAAAAATTCAGATGGCTTAGTACTAGGATGATTTATATATTTTTGCCAAAATTTCTCACCTGACGTTTCTTCGGCTTCTCCAGCGGCCTCCTCGCTCCCTGATTCACTTTCTGGTAGAGTCCGCACGCGTTGCACAGATACTCTCCACGCGCGTCTCTTCGCCACAACGGCGTCGACGTCGCTCCGCAATTGGTGCATTCTCGATGCTCACCGGCGCCAACCGGCTTAATCTTGCCCAACCGCGGCTTGATGTCCATTGCGTCCGGCTTGCAGTCGTTCACATCCACACTCAGCGCATTACAGTCGTCCTCGCCGAGCGTGGGGATTCCGTTGATGGTGGAGGCCTCGGAGGTGGACGGCGGAGTGGATATGAGCAGGTTGGGGTTCATGTTCTGGTAGGACGAGTAGTCCGCATAATTCAGACCGTACTGCGAGCTGAAAAAGTTCTGCGCCTGCAGCTGGGTCTGCACGAAATCCGTGTTCTGCGCGATTAGTGCGGCCTGTTGAGTGGAGAGCTCTGGCGCCGCGGTGGAGACAATCATTTGGTTTTGGGCGATTTCGGCCGAGTTTTGATTGGCATCTTGTTGTCCGGAGTAGTAGCTGGGGATGATGAAGCTGTTGTACAGGGACTGGTCTATCGCTAAACAAAGTTGCATGATTAATCAAACAAGTTCAACGCCACCTACCATATCCATTCTTAATTTGATCCGGATGGCAGTACAGCTGGTTGGTGTAGATGAACTTGGACGGCGAGCAGTTGTTCTCCTCGTTGTTGGACGAGTCGCTGAGTTGGAACTCGTTGGTCATGTGCGACAAATCGGAGCCGGTGGAATTCAGGTCGGTGGCCTCCGGGACCGTATAGATAAAACCGTTCGAGTTTTCCATCGGCTAAAAAAGAAACATACAAATAATGGACCAAGGGGTCAAATGTTGGACCATCAAGGGGTCAAATGACAAAAAATTCGCCCACAAATCGCATGGAATTACGACTAACTGGGACTTCAATGAACGTCGTAAATTTCTTCGGTCGCAGGGCCGTAAATGTGCTATTCGCAGCAAGTGAACGGGCTTGATTGTATACATATAGAAACAATGAAATAATGGGAAAGCTAAGATAAAAAAGCAGCACAAATTACAACGCTTTGGATGAAAAGAAAGCAAATTGATTTTTTTTAGCTCAATGGAGGTTTAAAGTTTCATATAAACATTGGCATTTTCAGCAGTTCCTCAGTAACCCCAAGCAAGGCCAGAGAGTTGAGGCAGAAGCCGACAAACAGCATTGCATTCGCCTCTGTTTATTGTTGTTTCGTGCCTTTGAGGAAAACGCCACGCGATTACCGCAGGTGGGCCGGATTGCGTCGCAAAAGGCGGCAACAGGAGCGATCAGTTCCTACAAGCGGATCAAACGCAAACGCACCATCAAATTTGTTTAGAAAAAACCCAAAGTCGAAGTTGACGAAACCCCCAAGCATTTCGTTTTCTTAAAATTTGAGAAGATTGTTTTTTCGTCAGACAACTCAGGATTACGGTACCTCCAAAAAACTAACGGGTTTTCTTGCATGCAAAGTCATGGATGGGGCTAGGGTTGCAGTAGTTTTTGTCAAGCTGTTTTCAGCAGTTCCACAACGCCCACAACTGAGTGGAATGGAAATTTGAATACACGCAAAATATGTGTTGCAATGCTTACAAGTTCGTCCTGACAGAGCGTGCGGCCTAATCAGCGAATCCACCAAAAGTTGTGTAATAAGGCCTTACCCTTTAACATTGCAATTCGGAACGCTCCGAAAGCGGTGCAGTTGCAGCGCGGAAGCCATAAAATCTCACGAACACAGCGCTCGAGCGGACAACAGACTGACAAATTTTGTGATACGAAAGAGCTGGTAGCCATCTAATCAGATAATCAAACCCTAATCGTACACGCTCGTCCGCCTTCGCCCCCTCCCCCCTAGGTTCGCTCGTTTTTTGAACGCTTCGGGGCCTATCTGGCCGATGGATCAGCCGCTTGGGGAGATAAGGAATTTGGGAGGAGATTTGAGCCCGCAGAGGTAATTTCACAAGCAAAAGTTGCGACAACATCGCAAGATTTACAAAATAAAGTCGGAAAAAGTTTGAATGAAATTTTTGCAAATGAGGTTTGAATTAAACCTTTAGAATTACCCTCCCCAACATTGAGCCCCAAAAAATTATTCAAAAAGATTGCGATGCACTGATTTCGGGGTTTTGTCGAAGCCGCGAATGGCTGAATAATCGTCTCCCAGCATCTCAATGGAAGGAGGGAGAAAAAAAATTGAAGAGGCGGGCGCTTAATTTTGCGTCCTCCGACCTCAGCCGACACACAGCCAATCAGCGAGGGATTTGGGGGGAATCCGACCGACTCGGAAGACGGTAGGAACTACCTGCCAAGGAGAAAACGGATCCTCGAAATGGGATTCTGAAACATAATGTCGTGGCAAGCGAGAGGCAAGAGGCAAGAGGCTTGCAAGTCCTGAAAACTCGCTATTTCTGCAGGAAAGAAACGTCGTTTAAAGCTTGCCTTTTCAACTGTATATGGGACTTGTGAAAATGCCTGTAATTTCGAAGGTGTTTCGCTAAAATCCACAGTCCTTCAGGAGCAAAAAAAGCTCTTCCGAACCTCTCCCTCAGCGGAAATTAACCCAAACCCCCTTTTCCGTCAACGTTTTTCTGTCCGAAACGAAAGAAGTTTTAATTTCCCGCTCTGCTTAAGACGTTCCTACGTGTTGTCCGGAATTCCATTCCTAGTTTTTGGGATCAAAACAAAATCGGCTGGTGGATGGGATCACTTTTTCGAAGGGATTCTTGAGATCGCCAAGAAAATGCTGACGTTTTCTTGGACCTTAGTAAATCGCAAATTTAAACAAATTTCTCGAAAATCCCGACTGGTTTTTTGCAGCAAAATCACTGAAAAGTTGCAACTTTGGAAAGAATGACTATTGAATTTAAAAAAAAGGACTATTGAGATATTCAAATTTCTCTGATATTTAAGATTTTTCGAGTAAAAACCAAAAACTTAATATACAAGGCTCTTTGACCAAAAAAGTTCAATAATTCATATTGATTTGGATTTCTGTTGAATCATCCTTTTCTACTCGCTTTTTGGCCGTACCTACTTTAAACTATCCGTCCATTCAAATGATTCCGGGACAGAACCCCTGTTTTTTTTGGTAAAACATTTTTTTTCGTTTTCAGATAGTTGATAAAAAGGCACATTAATTTAAGCAGTAAATAAGCCAAATTTTTTCAATCCATTTGACATCAAATCCCGCCCATTTTGTAAGACAAATCCGGCGGCGTGAGCGGAGCGCGCGCGGATAACGATCAAATAATCAGGAACCGAAAAGGAATGGACGGCGAACCCGTGTAAAATGGCGCCGAAAACAGCCTCCAGAGGGCCACAAATCTTCGCCGGGAATAAAGTTGAGGCGCGGGTGTGCGCCTGACAGAAACGGCATGTCAAACGGCCACTGATCCGGTGGTAATCGAGTGGAGCGACGGAATATACAAAAAGAAATAAAAAGTGATAAAGAAAAACTTGAAAAAAATCCTCAAACCAAAACCTTTGACACCTGAGTTGCCTTTACAGGTCGAATTTCGAAACTTCAGTCACTCTTTAGAGCCTTGTGAATAAGTCGAGAGATCCCCCACAAGCCTTGAGAACCCCAGCCAAAACTGAGAGCCCAGCCTTTGACTTCATGTACTCCGTATTTTTCAAAGACAATCCATTTATTTCTCGATTAGAAGGGATTGGCCCGAGGGCGTTTGCCGAGCGGCCCTCCGGCTAAAGGAGCATTGGGATTTGTCAAGAAGTCGCCAAGGGCATTATAACGCGCGAAACTGCTTTCCCGACGGGGCATCGGACAATGTGAAGCAAGTGGCAATGATGAGTGAAATCGGTGCCTTCAAATTTGCATACGTCTCGATTGACGGCCATGGATTACTGGGTTTGTCATTGAAGTTTTTTAAGGTTTAAGGAAAATTATTTAAAAAGGAAATAGTGATTTTTGTGTTGCTTTACGATCAGCAGAATCAATATTATAACAGATGTTTCGGTGTCTGGATTGCAACTGAATTGGCTTCACTTTCATTTTGCACAAAGTCCTACAAAAACGAGACGCCAAGAGAAGCGGAGGCCATGTTTTCCTCATCAATCACTCATTTCGGCGTCTCAGCCCCCTCCCAAAAGTTCCTCATGACCGAAGGCGAAAGCGACGGAGCGAAAATGCGAATCGCTTCAAGGACTCGTGTTTCTGGGTTTACAAGAGTTTTGTCGTGTTGAAATCATAAGGTCATACGAAATTCTACAGTGTGAAATCATGTAAGTAACTCGCAGTAAATCTTCAGCAACTCATAATATGCCACAATAGATGGAAAAAGAGGTCATATGCAAATTTCCACAAGCATCAAAACATACCGAAATCAAAGCATCCACAAACTTTTTTCCGTTACTTTTCTCCGCGTTCATTGCTGGCTTTTATTCTCCGGAAATTCGGACACTTTAAACGAACCCTCAACTGACCAGCAGGAAATGAAGAGCCAATATGCAAATTAGTGTCAGCCGTTTTTTAATGCACTCCATCGCGAAAAAAGGTTCCGAAATTTTTCGTGTGAAACGAGGGACCCTCTAATAATACTGTACGGGAAGGAAGGCTCGGATTTTTTAATTTAATTCTTCACAACAACGAAAACTTTTTTGCTCAAGAGGACTGCTGGCCATTAAAATTCATTGCCTGGAGCGCGGTGTCGTTTTGTTAATCCATCGCGCGGAAACAATGACCGCAGGGTGGGCTCATGACGAATGGCCTTTTTCGGGGCGAACGCTCTCAAAGTCGACGGCCCGAAATTTATGATAATTTAAGGGGGAGATTTTGAAATTTTCTGAAATTTGTCGAAGGCCAAAATTTCGCGCCAATCAAAGCTGATGTAGGCCTCAAAGTTTTGGAAACAAATTGCGAAATCGCTGTATTCTGTCCAAAACAAAAGGACCGCTTTTTGAAGGCACCGCTTGCCCCGTCTTTACACACTTCTCCTCAGGTAAAACTGGAGATGTCACCTTGTTGCGTGTGCGGATTTTCCGAAGGGAACTACCGAAGGAACACTGTGTTTTACATGCCGACATGGTTTGTAGAGGCAACAGCCTATGGTAAGGATGGTCTGGACAAAGAAAAGAGGCATAACAGAAGCAAAATAAATCGTACCGACAAGGTCCCGTTGAATTTTAGGGTCATCGAAATTACCGAAATTTTCGATTATTTCCGCACGGCTTCACTTAGTCTTCGAATTTTTCAATTCGCTTTGACAATTTTTCTATCCGAGGAGATTCAAATACCATGTGATTTGTCAATACAGTAGGCTTTTTGCACCTCAGTCAGTCCCTCCGGTCAGCTTTCAAATCCCGACAGACCGGACGTAAGTTTATTTGAATCGAAAAATGAGCTGACAGCGTCTTCAAATCGGCGCTTTATACGGCCAAATCTTGATATAAATGGCTCTCATTGGCTATCGTACACAGCGGCCAAAGGTGGCGCCCGGCCCCATGGGGAAAGCGCGCAGCGACGGATGTAAATGGCGAAAAGCACTTAATCCTAATTTCGAATCCGGAACCCCCATTGAAAGTGGGCCTGATGTACGGTAACGGAGGTGGCGTAAGCGAATGGTATGAGAAAAATTTCCACGTGAGTCGTGTTACATAACGGGAAGCGCAAAATTTCCGCGCTGGCCAAGTTTATTTCCAAATGGCCCGCTGAAGAGCTGGCTCATAAAAAATTTGCATAATTTGACAGGGATTTGTCTTCCTCGACTGCGATTTCGCACCCGGACAGATGCGCGAATTTTCTGTCAAGTTGCGGAGGTTTGAAAAATAAAGACTC